CAGCCAAAGGCAAGGTTTATGACGAGAGAGAGAGAGAGAGAGAGAGAGAGAGAGACTCGGAGAGAGAGAGAGAGAGAGAGGGAGAGAGAGAGAGAGAGAGAACATAACAATGACTAGTGCATTCATATCACAATAAGGATTCTTCAAGTAAAGCCATGGCTGGCTAACGCCCCCTCCTTTGTATTGGCTTTTGCCATAGGACGGTGAAATAAAATAAACGAGCACCTGATCCATGCATTCATCGACTAGGGGTTGTCCAAGACTTACACATGCATAAACTGCTTGCAAGATGGCGAGGAGCGCACTTTCTTTTTCAAGGCACTGATGAAGTCCTTCGGTTGGAGAAGCAGTGTGATGTAGAAGCCGCTTGCATTCAGCTGCTGCATCACCTGGGAAAATTCAAGGCACACATCATAGGTATATGATCAGTGTGTTGGGACACAGCATAGGCCTCTAGCTATAGGTGAGGCGGGGACGAAATGCTTCAATCTGAGCAACCAGATGCAGTGAAACTTCAGTATAAAGTACCTCGGATGGAGCATGCTTTCCTCTTTGCATTGGATATAAACCACTTCATTTTTTAAAGACACTGCATATCACTTTCCAGACATTTGACCTTGGGACGTAGAGGCTATAAAGTACAATGTACTGCTTTTTGCGTCCCTCGGTGGTACGTTATACTAAAGTTTCACTGTAGTACCGGGGGTGGAGGCAGGAGACTTTCAGAAACACATGCATATTGCTGGTTATCAGTTCAGAATTTCCACATTCACATCCGACACATCTTGTAAAAGAGGACAATATGCAGACCAACACAGTGGTGTACAGGTGGTTGCTCACTAGCCATGAGAAAGCTGCACATGAAGACCTCTACCTTGTCTCTGTCCGTATTGAAGAGGTTGACTGGCACTGAGTTGATCTGCGTGACTACCCAAGGCACGAGCTTGCCATTCATGCCCTGCGCCTGTAGGTTTACGCCAGAACGTGATGCTGCCGTGTTTGGGTAGATACTGGTGATCTGTATGGATGCAATGCAACGACAATGGATACGTACACATCATGGTGGGTCCAATGAAAAGTGCGCTACCTGTGCAGGCTTGCTGCACTGGATGGTTGGTGAAGAGCCTGACAAGATTGATGAAATCCAGAATGGCATCCTCGCCATTGCCATTCAGGAATTACTGCGGACTTCGCTGCCTAAACATACTGTATTCCATATCAGTCTATTGCGTTGCAACTTGCAAGCAGCAATATCATAGTACGTTGTGTCTACATGTATATCTGGCATGACAACAACACACGACAGACGCAGTAGCCACTCGCTTACCGTGCTTTTACGTAGTCCCAGACCAAGTATCTCACTGGTGGAGTGCCGCTGGATAGACACCTCATTACCAACGGGAGTTCGAACAATCACCAGCTCCACCTGGATGACGACGCACCGAGACAAGAAATAAAGTTCAAGGAACCGTTGATCAGTGGAACTTGATCTCATGATACCTCCTCCCTCCCTCTCTGCCGTTCCCTCTTTCTCTAACATTAGGTTCCGGATTATGCACTCTTGGTAACTACAAGCATGGTTTTGGTGCAAAGAAGATGCCGTAAGTCATACATGTGCGCGTACAGCAAGACATGGAACAGAGCATGCACCAGCTCATGACCTCTGTGCAAGGTCATACAATGGAATTCGGTTGTCATGAGATATATTCATCAAAGAGAATTTGGAGGGATAAAGGGTCTGCATTGCCCGCCTGCTGACTCTCTGCTTACCTCGAGACCACTGCTTTGAACGTCAGTCACAGCTGTGGATGCCTTGCTGCATGCCTTAGAGTTGATTGAGAGAAGTTGATCACCAACGTGGAACACGTGTGGGTGCTGAATTGAGTTCCAGCCAGCCACCCTAGAATGCAACACACACGCACGCACACAGCAGGTGTCTCCTTTGCGTACACAAGAACAACCGGCTATTCAACTTTCACCATGTCCATTGTAGGTTTTCAGGTGGCTGTTTCAGGTGTGAGAACTGAGAAGATACCAGTGACCCTTACCATACATAGTTGAATGCATCCACCAGGAGAAGATGTTCCATGGCTAGGCTACGCTGTATCTTGACGGTGAGCTTGACACTGATCATTGAGCGCGCACTGGGTGCTGCAAATGCTGGAGATGCTCTGCAAACCGGAGAAGGAAAATTCAACAGGACTGTGAGTCGGTCAGTGTAAGGCCATGGCTGCAAATAACAACAGCACTGGGAATTGCTATGGTGTAAGCACTGCAGCATTTGCGCATGTTTTTTTGTTTGTTCTTATAGGGTCACTGATACACGGCTGCAGTGGCAAAGGCAAACTGACCTGGCTGTGGAAGTCTTGAAATCAGCAGATGTCTTGGAGTATGCCCGGTGCTGGAATAGTGTGAAGAAGTAAGACAGACAAGTATCATCAGAACTGGAGATTGATACAGAATCCCTGTCCATTAAAAAAAAGCTGGGATGAGACAAACGCCGGGTAAGACAAGCAGCAGCATCTTTCACATGTATCGACTCACTTACAACACACTCAACCGAATCTCTTAGACATCATTCATCACGAGCGAAGTTCGTTCAACTGCGATATTCCTATTTGATTCAGTAACAAAGATACATTTTTCTCCGGTCCAGGGGAAGGGGAGTGTTTCGAGTATTATCGTAGTCGCTGACCATAGTAGTACCCCACCAGACAAAGAGTACTCAATACAGCAACGTAGAGTCACTCAGAGTTGTGATAATTCTCCATGTCACGCTGCTGCACAGCCTGCTTCCTGCCCATGCAGCCAGAGAGGTTGAATCTCACATGACAGCACAGGAGCCTGGCGAAAACACGGTACAGTCAGACCTCGTTTATCCGGATCCCTCGCCATCCGGAAGAAAATCGCTGGTTACCGATGTGCAGCATATGTTATGCATACAACATAACCGGACCTCGCGATCCGCATACCGGTGCATGATTTCGTGTACAAACTGGTTAAAACGTGTACAAAAAGCTTCGTCGTATCCGGTTGCATGTGGCTCGCAGAAGCTAGAATCAGGGAGTTGTACAAGCAAAATGAGGTCCTTGACCTGCTGGGTGCATGCAGACAGCACTCAGTTGCATGCACTTGTCTTTTTTCTCGCTTGTTTTGCATACTGTGAACGCTGGTTGTACTGCGTAGGACCCGTCTAGTCCACATGTACATGTATGTACGATGTCACTGCTTTTGACATGCCACATGCATATACAGTATGTGTGTTCAGTTATCCGGTTCCCTCGCCTATCCGGATATTTTTGTGGAAAACAGATGTGTGCGGTTACCGTATTTTACCGGTTGTAAGTCGACCCCGGTTATTAGTCGACCCCCGTATCCGCAGGTCTCAATTCTGCGTTTTAAAGTTTTCACCCAAAAAAGCACTACTAACCACTTCCTGCTACTAACACATCAACAAATCATGTAAACATTCCTTATTGGAGGATATAACGTCCCAATCCTTGAAAAAGGCCAATAAACTGGCAAAAATGTGTAAACATGGTGCACTCGTGCATGCAGTGCAGGTCTTGTTTTGTAAGATACTGATAGTTCCCGGTTATAAGTCGACTCCCGGTTGTAAGTCGACCCCCACCCTTTCTCCTTCTATTTTAAGTCGTAAAATGTCGACTTACAACCGGAAAAATACGGTAAGCGAGGTCTGACTGTAGTGCCAGAAAGTATTGTGAGCCATCTCTGTCACACTTACTCTGAATTGATCTTGCCCAAACGTAGCAGTGTCTCCTGATGGCCCACCACCCCACTGAGGCGGATCACACAAACACACACATACACACATACACACATACACACACACACACACACACACACACACACACACACACACACACACACACACACACACACACACACACACACACACACACAACTCCGTATTGTAAGACATCCCAGCAGACTGATATCCCACCAGACCTTGCCAAAAGGCTGCTACTTGCAGCGGCTCAACACATGCTGCTGGTCTCTGCACAGCTGGTAGTAACAAGATCCCCTCGATAGAAATCAGCCCAAGAACAGATACCGGTAGAGACAGTAAGTTCGTCAAGTTCACAGTACATAGTACTTACCTCACTGCTCAAATTCACGGGCGTTGATCTGCATGGAAGGGACGCTCTGCTTCCTGTAGAAGTAGCACTGGTAGACTTCTTCAGTTGTGGCAGTGACCCAGAGAATATGCCGGACATCCGGTCGTGATGCATCGTGTCGGACAATTGCGTGGCAGTGGATTCGCATCTTACAGAAAGAAAAGGACTTTCAATCTGGCTCGAAGAGACCCTGCCAGAGCTGGGCAGCACTATTGTAGACTGGCTCGTCAGAGTTGAGTGACCACTGAGAGTTGCACTTGGAGCTCTGTCATAGTGATTCGGCGTCGGTGGTGATCGTATAAACGGGTTGTCAACGGTGATGGGCACCGGTGGTGGTGGCGGGCCCGTGTCCATGGCAATGATGTCTGCGCCGTCAGGATGCAGTGCACTGCTTGGTGTGCCATCCCTGTCATAGCTAACACCACTATCAACTTGTGACAGGGAATCCTGACTGCTGGAACGCTGTGTGATTAGTGCAAGCGATCGGTATGCCGTGCCAGCAGAAATTGACGACGTGAGCTCTTTCATACCATGGCAGATTTCTTCTTCGTCCTCGTCTGATGGCATGGGCTTAGTGACCGAGAGCTTGGATGTTACATGTCTTAGACTACTCGTGTTCATACCAGCAGGTGGTGCAGTGCGAGACGATGCCAATGACACATCTGATGAGAAGGCAGTGCTAAGGCTACTGTAGCTGTCCAAACTGCCAATACTGGGCGACGAGTATGCACCAGTAGCAGGCTGTAGGAGAACATGAACCAACGTGGCAGACACACACACATACACACACACACACACACACACACACACTACTACTACTACTACTATGTACAGCTACCCTATCGGGCCACGCCGCTCCCAGAAGCGGGAGACAACGACAAGAAGAGAGAAGAGAAGAGAGAGAAATCGCAAAGTCAACAATATTTGGCATGGCGTTGCAAGTCCTGTGGCCTTGAGAACCGTCTTTCGCAATGCTCGCATTCATGACGGCAGTTGTTCCTGGCTGCACGTGACATCCGTTTCGCACGGTCACAGTGATGACGGCTCAAACCAGAACGAGAGCGGAAAGAGCGGCGACAAACATCACATCGCAAAGAGTCAGATTCATGGCGAATGGATACAGTGGGGACATCCGTGGACACAGGACAGCGATGCACAGCCAGTCCTCCAGCGCTCCTCAACCACCGCATGCACTTCATACATTGCCTGGCACCCTTCTGTTGTGACACAGGCAACTTCCGCTGGGCAATGCACTTGTGTCGGGCCATACACACACACACACACACACACACACACACACAACACACCGATAAGTACACTCTCCCACCATCCCATACACACAATATGTACAGTATCTTGTCTACAAAGTACACGTTTTCTTGTGCCTTGCAGGTACTACTACTAGCATGTTATGCTGACATTTTAGTGTAAAAGTAACCAACTAATAACTCAATTTGTGTGACATCAGCACAGCGGTGGCTACTTCAAATGGTGATATCATCAGAGCACACTACTAAACTCACGGTGGTTATCAGACCTGGGATGCCTGTGACTGGTAAAGTGTGCGTTAATCCAGCGCCGACACCAGTGGACGAAGCTGCCGGGGGAAACGGTAGTGTGTTGGGTCGCCGGCTGCCCTTGTCTCCCACACTCTGGAACTTCTGCTTGATTGATGAGTGTCGAAAGTGGCTCTGAACAACAGGAGGGAATGGTAGGTGCTAGGTGATTACATAATGTAGGTTACGTGAAGTCAGTTCCAGTTCACACACTACACTACATAGTAGCCCACTCCTCAGTACAATTGAGAAAGGGCTGTTGATATTGTATTTCTTAATGCATTGAAGTGCGGCACTGGTTTAATATTTGCTGGTCCAACCTGAGCCGCTTCCACTCACTGATTCGTGGCTCATGAATCATGATACACCCCAAAGAACCCCCCCCCCCACACACACACTTCCTGGCTATAGTGACACAGGGACAGCCTTCAGTAGTCTCTCCCTGTGTGCCCATTCCCTGGTAGGCCCCAGACCCTTTTAGCTAACAGATATTCCACCTCAAAGGTAGTGGTTCCGGTCCAACCCTTTTAAGATTGCCGTTAGTGCTACAACTTACCAGGGATCGTTGCTGCATGCGGCCATTCTTTGGCCGAGGCTTCTGGTCCTGTTGATAGAATGAAACAAGAGAGAAATGTGTAAACTTCACTTCTCAACTCCAAAAACGGTCTCTTCAATGCGATTCAATAGAAGATTTACATTACACCAAATTTTCGGGCCTGGCCCATCATCAGGGTAGTGACTGTGTGTGAAGTTTAAATGTGTATGTGGCTGCGTTGGAGTTTGCGGACAATTAGAAAAGAGAGAAATGTGTGAATTATAATGAGGTGTGGCCTTTTCTACACACAGCTTGAGAGGAAATAGTGAGGTTTCCATGGTAACCATATCTTCAGGAGTTTCATCACGGTACATGTGGACACTCAACTTGAATGCATGGGCAATCTTGCCGCTGTAAGCAAAGAGAGAGTGCACTGTTTTCACAGTACAATGTAGCTAGTCTCACCTCCTCGCAGTTGATGTCCAGATGTTCACAGAACGTCATGATCCAACTCTCCATCGCTGACCTATATCACCGTGTGCACATACACAGATAGGACACGGCCACCGTCACACGTCACATTCACAGGTAGGACGCGGACAACCATGTATATCATAGTCTTTGCCGAGCCATGTCCTGGGTCAGGGACTCAGTGAAGAAAATCAAGTTTAGAGTAGCCCTAAGAGTAGTTTCTTGCCTCCAAGCATGTCATACATCGTCATGTTCCGAAGTTGCATCAACAAAATTAATGGTTATTAATTTTACTGCTGCTTTTCCAAAGCGATAATCATCACAGATATCCACAATCCCGTGACACACACACGCACACACACACACGCACACACACACACACACACACACACACACACACACACACACACACACACATATACACACACACACACACATGCACATACAATCACATGACTCACCCAGTCTCCGGAGCAAGAAAGTAGGAGGCATGTGAGAAGCAGATGCTGAACAAGTTCTTGTAATAGCTATGCTGGTGACATCGGCGTAGGTAGTAACAATCTCGTAGTGGCAACGCCAAAATTATGCCCTCCTCCGCTGGCATAGTAGGAGAAGACTTATCCACATTTGTTAACAGGTCACCATTTGCTTTCCCGTCGGAAGCAGCAGGGATGTTGGCCAGGATCTGCTTGATGTTTCGCGGTTGCTGGTTGAAGAAGTAGAGGAAGTAATGGCTCTGTCCTGTGGGCGAATTATGGCCTGCAACTACACACCAATAGCGAGGCCACCTCTGTAGACATTCACACACACACACACACACACACACACACACACACACACACACACACACACACACACACACACACACACACACATACATACACACACATACGCAAACAAACACACACACACACACACACACACAATGCACACTGTCTCACCAATATCATGGACAAACTCATGGGTAATACTAGCTAAAAGGACATTCCGCAAGGGTGAATTGCTCCCCTCCCCCCCCCCCCCTACTTAGTTTGCATTCCTTGATATCTGTGAGAAAGCTAACAACACTGTACGGTCATTGTACGATGACTGTGGTCGATTGCTGTGGTCTACCAAACCAATGCTGGTACAGCCATGGAATAAGCAATATTGTTTTATATTTGAATGGTTTTGAACACAATGGCTTTTGTTACTATGATAAGCACTTCAGGACTAAAGGCAGCCAACCTGAGCAGCCAGGATCTTTGCTTGTTTCCTTGACATCCGTGGGAATGTCAACAACGCCTTGCTGGACTACAAGATGGTACAGGCACTTGCAAGGACAAAGATCAATGATGTGTGCGGAGCTTTTGCTGCACATGCCGATGCTAAGGTTGGTGTAACTCCTACCAGTTGAAGGCCCGTGAAGAACTCTGGGAACCAAAATGGAGCTTCAAGTAACAGAATCACTTAACAATTGAATTATTAGGTGACCACGATGAAGATAGGCACTAATAAAACACTTGAGCTGAGGAGAATGTGACATGGCCTTGGTCCCATGCATGCAAGCTTTCCGGCACAGCTGAGTACCCAGTGGAATCTGGTGATGAAGATACTGAACTGACAGCTAGCTGTAGCTGTATGCTGGCTTGTGGCACTCAGACTGAGAACACCAGCCTGGTCAGGTTCTTCCTAGAATCAGTCCAGGGTACCATGCCAGGAATGCAAATGACCTGATGGAATATCACGTTCCTCCGCTCTCAGCTGGACCAGTCATGGAGTACTTGTAGTCCTGTATCAGTGGCCTCAACAGTTGCACTACACCACAACAGTCTGTCGTCGGCTTGCAGTCATCATGGATACTAGGCTAGTAGTACTGTGCATTACATAATTATGCGGCTGTCATGTCAGTTACACTCACACATGATCCATGATAATAATGGAACAATGACTGTAGATCTGTACCTGGTGGGTTGCCCTTTGAACAATGCACCAGCCCTATAATAGCCTACATAAGGCACTGAGTCTGTAACTAGCTAGGCTGGATTGGTGGGTTGCCCGTTGAACTGCATAGCACCTGCCCCAGTAAAATCCTTCTGAGTATGAAGCTGGATGGCTAGGTGGAGAGGTTGTCCTGCCTTGCGCCACCACCGGCACACATCACATGCTAATCCTAGCCCTGGGCCACCAGGCAGCAAGGTCACTGCTGGTACATGTACAAGTAGATTGAAAATTATTCCACTGTTCATGCTACTTTAGTTACTTGTGAGGTAGCATTGCACATTCCAGGCGCCACAGGCTGCTGCATTCCACAGAGGATGCCCAGGGGGTCAGGCACCTACAGAGAACATCACACTACGTCCACCCCCCCCCCCCCCCCTACCGTGAGTCGCAGGACATAGTCATTTGCAGACCTGACTACTGCTAGTACTAGGAGAAACCTCTGCCTCTGGATAGTAACTTCAAGTAAACGTTACTTCCCAATATAAGTGGTCACAATTACACAAGCTGGTCATGTCAAGAGGTCACTAGCACGGGCCATTGCTGTATCAATAATATTATTATGTTGATGTCTAACCCCAGACCTGCTGTACGCTGTGACTCAGCTTAGCTTATCACCACTGGCATGGGTATGGATCTGGCTGGGCCGGGGTGCACCCTGTGTCACCGGCGGTGGCTGCATGCCGTGAATTCATCCAGTCCAGTCCCATCATGCAGCACACCATGCATTTACCAGTGACCTAGGTGGAAAGTGTGACCAGTGACTCCCGCACTAGAGGAGGATTGGATGCAGATTGGACTATAAGAGGCACCAGTGACCATACTAATAATGTACCAAAGGATAGATCCCTGCTGATAATCATGTCCATCAAGAAACAATAGGTCTGCACTTCTTACAGGCCAGACCCAAGATTGGTATTTGCTTCGGCCATCACTTCCCTGGACCCTGCCAGTGGGAGAGGCACCCAATGCACGCCACACCAGTGACAGCTCCTTGAAGTACACCAAAGACATTCACTTTCAAGTTTGTTGCAGGAGACCACAAATTAGTTTAAAATAGCACTCACTGCTAGCTGTCAAATACTAGAATACTGCCAATCACACTCTTACTACTATCCCAATGGAATGAGCACAGGCTGGAGAGCCAGCCGCGCGCATTAGCCTGGTTGTTGAACATGTTCCTTTCCCGCCTGTACCCCTACTTTCCTATAGACTACACTACCGGATGCTACAGTCAGTGGCATTTCATGATATACAAACAATGACCTGATGGCTTGCAGCAAGAAAGAAGTGAGTCCACTGGCAACATGATACACAGCCTAGCATGCTCAGAACTTCTAAAAGTCCTGATTTCATGCACTTCACAGCTTCTCCTCCTCCTCCTGGGTTCCTCCCCAGCCACACACCCAGCTGTCATGCAGTATTGGCCATGGCCCGGATTCTCCACCACAAAGCTGACCGACCTAGGCATGCTACTAGTACTACTAGCAATCGCACCAAACAAGCTGACCAGGTACGATGTGCATCTACTAGTATACCGAATTTTGTAGTCTGTTGTCCAAGATGATTCCAACATGCAGGACAACGCCATGGCGCCAGTGTAGGTAGTTGGGTACACTTTACAGAATTATTAGCAACTACAATGTAGCAGATCCGCTAGTAAGTGAGAAGCAGCGCTAGTAGTATACTAGTAGCAACACAAAACTTCAAAAGTACATGGCCCTTGCCAAGGCCAAACGCCTTGGATTTCATACTCTTGCCTCTTGGCCTGGCCTTGGCAGTAGTATGCCATAGACGGCATGCTCATTGATGCTGAACTCAGCGGTTGAAACATCGCAATGCACATGGTGATGTGCTCCTTTTTCTATTTCCAGATGAGGTTGAAGGGGAGTGATTCATTCCACACACATTCTTCGTTCTGCGCAATCACATTACCATCACGCCGCGTCACAACAGTAGTTGTACTGTGCTAAACTATCCGTGTTGTATGTGTATCGTCGCGAGCCAGCTAGCGCTAGCTATCATGGCTATGGCCAGTGTGATCGATTGTGAACCACTTCTCCATTGAAACATTCCACAAGCGCCATGAGCTACCAGCGTAATCTATCACGGCGTCGCAAGTGACCGAAGCCAGCAGTGCCGATAATGATACTGATAGGCCAGATAACTGATTTTAGGCAAGCTCGACGAGCCACTGCCTATCTCCCTACCCGGCCATTGCAAGATTTACAGACATGTCCAAGCATTGGAGCCACGCAACAAGTGCGGACCAATGGTGGTCACTAGTGAAACAAAAGTAACAGTGCGGATGTATTTAGAAGACTAGCACTGAATGTCTGAAGTGAAGCAAAGGCGAATCATGCTCCGGAATGTGCAAATAAACTGTTGTCTTGAGAATGTGGGTCTATCGTACCGTGCCATGCCATTGGCATTGCTGCTACGAGACCCACAGATAGTGCGCCATGATGTCCTCGGCTCCACACCAGCTCTCTCCGTGCTAGTGGTAGTTGTACAATCAAGTTAGTAGTCTACTAGATACGTAATGGTGTGTCCCAAAGCAACACCCCGTGATGACGCTCTACACTACAGTCTACAGCCAGGTAGAATCTACTAACTGCCTACTGGTTACAAACAATTACCGTGACATGGTCAGCTCAGCAGCAAGCATTCCTTGCTGCGAAAGCAAAAGGCACGCGTACACGCACCCTGGTGTGATTCCGGAAACGCAAGCTCGTTCGGAACGCTGCAGTAACGCATGACAAGCTTGTTGTCAATGGCGGAGGAATGCAGTCACACCGTCTATCCACGCACCGCGATCAGGAGTTCAAGCTTACAGTACACAAGACTAGACAAACAACGGGTTGTACATGATGAAGTAGTTGAGAAACCCGACGCCTCCCTGACTTCCTCCTCAGCTCGACTTGACGCACAGACGGTATTATACAGAGGAGGGTGGAGCAATCCGGAGATAAGACTCCGTATTAGTAGTTCAGAACAAAAGCCTTGGATTCTGGCCTGAACATTGCAATGCACTTGCACAACGATGTGTTCATCGCGCTGGTCGTTAGTTTGCCATGGAGTCTGTGTTCTCACCCGGTGCCATGCCGGTACATCATGTACTGGAATGCCGGCCATACCTGCCAGGCTGGACCACAACCAACACTGTGCCCACTCACTAGCCTCCAACGCGCACCCCACACTTACCCGAGTCGACTACAAAGCCCACACTGAGATGATCACACACTCACTAATAGTACAAACGGTGCTGCTGCTTACCTCATGAAACGACATTTCCTTGTCAAATGGCGGACATTTCAGAAAGCCCTGCTTCACCAACACCACCTCAGAGTCGGACGCCATCACCTTGCTGCGCTCAGGAACAATCCTCCCTCTTGACGTAGACTACACCGTGCACTGCAGCACACTATCACTAGTATCAGTAACAACGCAATAGCGAAGCAGTACAGAAACTGATCTGTTACCAATCCATGTCGCTGGCACCGGAATCAGCACTCGTCACTCGACGATGTTTCCGCCAACTGGAGATGTAGGTGCAAGGCACAGCGCCGTGGCCCGCAATGGGGCAACCTGTACCTGCAACACCACCGACAACCAGAAGAAGAACTACTTCACTCCAAGCCTAGGACACTGCTACTGCCACTGCCACTGGATCATGGTCTATTGTGGGCAAGCTACACCTTCTCCACGACAAAAAAATGTGAGTGTCTACCCTATCCTACGTCGACCGCGTGTCGTAGGTTCTACCCGGCCGGATATCAAGCAGCTTTACTACTGACACGTTCGTGTACATGTAACAGGGGCCACAGCTGCAAAAATGTGGCTAGTACTACAGTAGTAGCTACTCGGCCGCGCGCTGTCAGCGCAACACCAGTACTACAAGTAACCCCGGTACGGTCAGATCAGCACTACTCACTACTGCAGTACTACTAGTTGTAGTCCTAACTCAATCTGCCCCTCGTATCCAGGATAGACTTGGGCACTTGGGGCACGGGTGGACGAAAAAATGTTCGTGGTTCCGCACTCCGCGATAGTAGTGCAGGATTCACAAGTGATTGATGGTATGTCACCATGTCTGGAATGGATGTCATTCTCACTCGTTTCAGGTAGCCAGCTCCATCCACTCGACTCCTCCACAGGCACAGGACCACACTCCAGTGCTGCGTGCCAGAACACACAGCGTCACAAGTGTGTCGTTTGCTCTCGCTCCATGATCCAGCTCCAGACGTGTGCGCTGCATGATTGTGATGTGATTTGGGCAAAGTGGCAAAGACGAATCGACCACCACTGGCACCAGCTCTTCAGACAGTTCAGTTCAAGCGGATCCGGGACACACACAGTACGAGCGTACAGCTACAATTGCATCTGCCTTCATAATCAGTGTCAGTAGTGAATCGCGGATCGACTGAGCAGGCTCTGGCACATGCAGAGCGGGCACCCTTGAAAGTGAAAGGTATGTAGCATTCCGTCTCGAATATCTTCCTATTCATCCTTACCATCATTGCGATCATTATTGAGGACAAAAGCAGCTAATCTTGTAGGAGGATCACGTAACTACTGCCGGTAACAACAAAGGATAGTATATACATGCACCTCCCGAGACCAGTACAGGCGATAGAGAGACTACAAACTAGTAGATCTATAATTATGCATTAGCAGTGATGCTCCAAATCGAAAAGCCTTTCCAGACTTTCAGTCCAGCCTCCAGGCCATGCAGATGGATGGTCAATTTTCCGACCTCATGTGCAGGGGGGGGGGGGGTAAGGACTAAGGTGACATGCCGGATATTATTCAACCAAGATAACCAATTGTATTCCCTTGTAGTAGTAGGTTCTTTTTTTCAAGCAGACGAGATCACACCACGCTTGCGAACACCAGCACGAACAGTTCACCAGCAACACTCCACAACAGCAAGTACAGTAGTTACTCCTGACAAGCTTGTTTCGGTCCATAAGATAGTAGTACTAGTGGGAACTCATCAGAGGAGAGCAGATGTTGAGTGAAAAGGGTTCGATAAGAGAATACTATTTTATACAGAAGATTGAGATAATGGCGCAGGGTGTATACAGTCAACTAACACACATATGTGACAAACTAACACAAACCGGATAGTCGCAGTGTAGAATGGACTGGGGTGTTTGAACCCTGCCAGACACAACTAACACTGGCACTTGGCTTCTACTTGAAGTCTTCGCTAGGGTCCAGCGGATTCTGCCCAGCAGAAAAAATGGCAGAATTCAGTACTTTTTCTGGTAAGTTTCATGCATGTTTGGTATGTGGATAAAGAAATGGAGCAGAATTTGTGGAATTGCCCGCCATCAGGTTTGTATGCCAATTCTGCTAATTTTACTGCTTTTCCAGCAGAATCTGCCACCTTTTCGAGCATAATCCGCCGGTCCCTAGTCTTCGCACCTTTCTCTATCACCACTCCAGTATCGACATGACTTGTAGTTTATAGTGCAACCTACTATGATTGTTTGTCTCTCTTTCTCTTCACTCTTCAGTTGTACGTATGGGCGTGGCTGTTATTTTATTGTGGGGAGAAAGTCAAATACTATAATACGTTGTCCACACTAGTCTAGAAGAACAAATCGAAGATTTTGAACCAAATGTTTTCGTTCCCCTCTCATCATGGGCTCATACAGGGAATAAAGCAAAGTGACTGAAACAGCGATACTATGCATGTACAGGCAAAGAATTTAATGACATAAACGTGAACTATAATCTTTGGCCAGTTAATACGCACGGACAGGAGTGGTGTAGGTTACCCACGGAGAATCATTCGGTTGATGTGACAATGTCATGTACACGTACAGTGGGCATGGATCAGAGCTCAGCACACCCTAGGGTGAGAATATGCACTCTTGATCATGAAGCAAGCCATTGAGCCGGGAGATGCTGTACTGAGCCGAGAGGAATGGTTCACGGTGCAGCCTGGTACAGCCATGACACTATCATGTGCCATCATGTGGTGGAGTTATGCAGTGGCTGAGGAACAGGTAGGTTTGAAAAAGTGACATTGCACCAGTCCATATCACCACACCTGCATGCAGGCAGGATTGAGCTAACCTTGAGTTGCATGCATTGGTGCTGCCTCCACCTCTGGTTTTGGGCAGTCTATAGAAGGCTTCACATCATTATCAACTCGGCTCATGAGCAATGATGTGTTTGAGAGCAGAATGCACACACACTATCCAAATAATTACATGTATGTTGTTTTCCTTCTTTCAATCATGATCCAAGCCATCCCACAATTTGACTGGTATAATTATTTGATTTTCGTTGCTCAATTCACGCGGCATCACTGTTATGTGTGGCTTTTCTTGTGTCCTATATCCTCCCAGTATCTGTGCTTCAGGAAGAATGATGTAGGAGCTATCACTACGGTTTCAATGCCGATGCGACTTCCATGATGTAGAATATGTCCCAGGATTGTAGTGTACTTGGAGAAGTCATGCAGTAGCCGCTCCTAAGCACATTCCACAGTGTATTCGTACATAATTACAGGCCGGGTGATATCAAACAATAGTGTCGCAGCTAGTGTGCCAGTCACAGTCTGGATTGTTGATTGAGGTCCAATGAGGAGACTTCAACACATCTTTGTATAATAGCAGACCAGTGCTGGTCAAACACAGCACTTACTTCTTTTCAAGTACTTGTATCCGTGATCATAGCCGGGAATCAGTATTTACACGCAGAGAAATCTTGATTGCAGTTGAACCCATTTTTTGATGGCATGCACAGAGAGTATAGAGTCCACTTACATTTATTTTTAAAGTTACAATGAATAACCTTGCGTACGGGACAGATCTCATAGGCAAGTCAGGAGGATTCATCAAACTGCAAAACAATTGAAGTGGTACTCAGTATTTCAGCTCCAACAATTAGTGAGTTCTGCTTCAGAAGTACATGTGCGAGTACATGTGCCATAAGAGGCAGGGAGCGGTCACGTTGTACTTCTGCCTGGTATTCAACTACTCATTGAGAATCTTGCAATGCCACCACGTATGGCTACAATGAGATGGAATGCCCCCAAAATGAATCCTCAACCCCCCCCCCTTTTGAAATATTTTTCTTGAAGCATGCTGTGTAGCTCTGTAATGAAGTCAAAGGTGGAACAATTCAGATGCAGTCATCATTGGCACCAAGACTCGGCAAGAGTACATAACCATTACATGACTGTGCTCTTGCTGACACCCATGTTGAAGCCCCCCCCCCCCCCCCGCACCATGCACTCTAGCTCTGAAATCGGACGCACGACTATAGCATGGCCATAAAGACAAGGCAATCAGACTACAATCCATCTGCACGTGCTCACAGTAGATCTATGAGGCACGTCAATGAGCATGCTCGGGTACAGCTAGCTAGTGAAACCAAACAAACTGCACAGCTCCTATTGATTATTTGGCTTTCTATGAGACACTGTCATTGTGCCACTGTCAAATCTGGTCCATGGGAAAACAACTAACTTTTCAAGCTCACATATCACAGGGATGATTATCAAATAATTGAATTTATTGGAATGAGACCCCAGCCCCAGGGGTCACACACGGCAACAGAATCTGAGGCTAACATCTAATGGAGGCGTAAAGTATGGGCTTAACATGATACCATTTCCTTTTCGTTCACACAATCAGGTCAGGAGGGAGGCCCTGTCACCAACAAGAACTCCGGCTGCAAGATGGGCAGGACACTAAGTCAATGTTTCATGGACTCACCTCACAAGCCAGTTTGGCTTGGCCCACAAACCAGCCCAGCCCTACTGTACACTGCCTGGTGGTGGGGCTGAGAAGTGCCCGTGCCGTGGCATACCTCCTGGGTGCAATTAAACAATAAACCAAAACACTTGCAAGCACATGGAAAGTCAGTAATCCAGGGCTAGGCACAGGGTGAAATACACAGGAGCACTAAAGTGTATTGCCATTACCACTGGAATGTAACAATAAGTAGCAAGCAATAAGCATAGTAAGTGCCTGCTACAGCAGTCGTATCACCAGATAGTGCAGGGCTAGCTACAGGCAGGTGATGAAACAAGTACATGTACAATGCCACAAGTGAATATGCAACTGCTGCTGTCATGGTCATAAGGTGCTTACCGGGCCCTGCCTGCTCTGCTCTGGCATGGCGCGTGTCTTGTACTAAGACCATAAGCCATGATAAGGACTGGGCCAGCGCAAGGAGCAACACCGAGTGCTGCTCTTCTGCACGCAGAAAACACTCCACACTAGCCATGTACATACCATACTCAAAATGAGATAATGGGTTCCTTCCTGGCACAATTGTCATTGACATTGAGCAACGGTGTTCTTCGAAATCTCACCTAGTGCTCACAGATACCAACAGAACATCCTAAGTGAACTCAATAAAACCTAAAAAAAACCAGATGCAGATATCCAATGCTGCTGGTACATGTACATGAAAAGATGCTTCTCGTTCCAAGACCGGCTTGAACTGAAGCAACATGGTACTGGCCACAAAGACCGGCTTGAACTGAAGCAACATGGTACTGGCCACAAACCAAACTCTAAAATGGACTAAAAGTTTAACTGCGGCAAGTACGTTTCAAGATCAAACTAAGGTATGTGTACGTGATCTTCCAACCTGAGATTGTTTATACTATCGCACATTGCGCCACAATCACCGTACCTAACTCAAAGTGCCCATCGTTTCTGCAACAGTAACAGCACTTCGATACAAGGCTTGCAAAAGTCCTCAGGTGCAATAATGCAAGGGTCCTTTTTTCAATAGTAAGATCAAGGGCACTAGCGGTTGTGAGCAGTTGCATCTTAGGGTACATTGTACATGTGCTATGCATAATAGAGGTCTGTAAAAACTTAAAAACCCACCCTGCTGACCCTCTTGGGTATGCCCCTGCATCCGTCCTAGTATTAACGCTATTCACCCTATGGCCTAAGCGCTGCTGCTGCTGTCCAAACTCAAAATGTCAGCAAGTAGACATGACTGTCAGTGAGAACCAGCACGCGCTGCTTTGCCATGGCAACCACACCTAGAATCGACTCATCTGGCGATGGCAGACTGAAGATTGACTGCAAGGCGGTGTTGGCAGGTGTTCCCGCAGATGCCTCCGGAGCTGGGTAATACACAAAGATGTTCCTGGCATACTCGCAAATGACCGAGTAGGATGCGTCACTTGGACACGTCATGAATTTCTTCTGCTGCTTGGATGCGGCAACGTAACCCAAAGCATTGAAAGTGGCAACGTGGCGGTACATAGGCACCGGATGGGGTGGTGTAGTCGGAACATCGCCAGCTGAAGACGCTGTGTGCCATACACAGGCATCTACATCATACCGAAGGCATACTGCTGGCATACGGCTGGACGCGAGACGAGCGTTAAACAGCCACTGATAGGATGTGACATTCGTCTGCAATATCAGCAAGGACAGCCATGCCATAAGTGATGGCAGCAGTAGCAGCAACAACAGCAGCAGCAGCAACAATAACAGTAGCAGCAACAACAGCAGAAAAGAGCAGGATAGGATTGATCCAAAAGGTCCAAACGCCGTGTCTACTAATTTTTAGCTGAAAAGGCGTCAAGTACGTGTTTGATGTGATGTTAGTAACCGATCGGATGTGATCATTTTAGCACTAAGAACATAACCCCCCTCTCCCGCACACCCTAGAGTGATGTCAAGCAGTGGGCAAACAGACAGGGTCGTCATTCTACAGCTACCATACTCTTTGCACCCATATACAAGCCTGTCATCATGGTCAAGCTCCAGCTCCCACACTACACGGTACAAGGACCAAACCCGCGCCTCACTAACACCACGCTGACATTCTACACGTGTTTACCAAACTCACCTGCTGTAATAACCGTCCATCTTTGGAATAGCACATCAAGTATCGGACATCGTCATCCACTGCCTTATCGCACTCTTCCAGTTCTTGATGCAGCATGTGGCCTTGCTCTGCGAGATCATCATCCGTCACCTAGATGGAACACAGCATCACATAAGCAGCAGCAGCACACACACACACACACACACACACACACACACACACACACACACACACACACACACACACACACACACACACACACACACACACACACACACACACACACACACACACACAACATGTGTACAGACATTGAAGTGCACAGTTAAAAGCAGGCCCGGAGCCAGCTCATGAGGGGTGGTACAGCCCCAGGTAGGCTACAGGCCCCATCATTTACCCATGCCTAATTGCAGAGTCCTGGGAGGATGCATGCTGCATCATATCTGGTTGTTTCAGCTACTCATTCTGCTAGCAAAGTAGTCCTCCCTGGACAAGAAGAACAGTTTAGGAGGAACAGACTCTAGCGAGGATAGCTTGTTGGTGCTTTCACATATATGAATAATACACTGGATATTTCATGAAGGCAAAAATCTGGTGCAGCCATGGCCGTAAAAGCCGTACAAGTGGTGCCAGCCCTGTAAAGCAGAGTAACGGGAAATGAAAATAGGATGAATAGCTATGAGCTGGCACTGATTTACATTTACATGTGCAAGTAATTTCACAGTACTGTACCCACCATCTTGTCAGATGTCATATGCTCCATCTGGCGAAGAATCTTCTCTTTCTCTCCGGCGGTGAGGTTTTCAACGGACCGCAAGGGAAACGCTGACACAGAGCTATCACTTGCACTGTTGGGGTTTTTCAAGATCGCCGACCATTGCTTACCCACTTGATACTTAGCTAAGCATAGTTCCAGCCTGCAGTCATACACAAATGCAACACATACAATTACTACAGTCAAACCTCGTTTGGACGAACTTCAATGGACTGAACAAATTAGTTTGTCTTATCCGGAGTTCTTCTTATCCGGATCTGACAAAAAATCGATATGCATATCATATGTATTGTATTTACGTGAAGGTGCATGCTGTGGTACATGGGAAGCATTTTATTCTTAGCATAAGCCAGAAACAGGTAAGTACAATGACAATGTGCAATGAATCACGACTGAGCCGAAAGTTCGTACAACGCGCTGATTTTGTTCAAAACACGCTTGACAACAATTTGCACTGTAACATGTACGTACAATATGGCCTCGACTATTGAAAAAAGAAGAAAAGAAGGCAGCCAGCCCACGCGCACGCTCGTGGACCGAAACTTCGTACTACATGCACATGACCACACTGATTTTGTTCAAATCACACTTGAAAATAGTTCGCTGTACAGAAGTTCGTCGTAAACGAATAATTTTGACTTGAATTGATGCCTGGACAACCATAGGATTTGCCCTAGTTCGTACTAAAGGAAAGTTCGCCTTATCAGTGTTCGTCCTAATGAGGTTCGACTGTATCACTGTACATCAGTACATGTACTGAAAGCCACAAACGAGATATTCATAGACTGAGTCAGTAACAATATTATTTCCAAGATCTAGACACTATGGATCAACATACACACTCACTTCGAAAACAATTTACTTCACAAAGTATGTTGCGAAAAGCAGTATTGCCAGGTCAATGGGTAAGTCTTCAGAAAAGAGTAGTTCACAAAAGCTGCGTATAAGCGATCAGCCTACTACAGATGAAACCTGGTTTCAGTGGCCACACATGGGAGTCTTAGCGCACAGGGAGACAACATGAGCAACCGCAACGCAAAATCATGTGGGTTTCGCTTCTGGGTTGCCCGCTACAGCCTTCATTAGGGCAAGGCCAATTTATACACGCTTGCATATGGCATCGCTTTTCTGGGCCGCGCTTGGGGTAAGCAGGTCAAGGCGCGATCACAAGTTGCATAGTGACAGTTCACAGATTATGTAGAACTTCCTAATGTTCGAGCTCTCACTTCCTGTTTATTGACTGACATCTACATACGGGCCAAAAGACCCTATTAAATGTGCCATCCACCAAATAAGCACATATGCGACAATTAAAATATATTTAATATAGATATCAAGAATGGATATCAAGAATACAGTACATGTACAGCCAAAATACGGCCCATGAGCTAGGCACATGGCTACATTTTATTCTCCATGCCTCCCTTTTGTTGTCACGTTCTCGTATGTGCTTCCTTGGCGTATGATGTGGCATTACGGGGCCGTTTCGGCCCACATTTATATGTACAGCAGAGTGCCAATTATCCGCACCCCTCGGGCAACGGGCTGTCTCCAGGGGGTCCGGATGAGAAGAATGTTCGGATAAGGGAGCAGTCACACATCTATCTCTAAAAGTTAAAACATGCATATTCCTGCATGTTCTCATAATTTTTCATTCTCTTCGGCAGTACAACAGGAACTACTTCGACGTAAGTGCACTCGTACTCCTAAAAATGACACTATTGCTATACATTTTGACTCCAGCCTGTTGTAATACATCTTGTGCATCGCTTCAATGGTGGGGACATCAGCAAAAATCGCTTTCTGCCCCTCAATTCAATGCAAACAAGCATTTCGGATAATTGATTGTTCGGATAGTTGATGTTCGGATAATCGACATTCTACTGTTGTTACAAATGCCATATCATGACTGTTTCTGAAGGGTACAGATATCCAGCTTCCGCACAAATTCATCGATTTTTTTAATATAAAAGAACTTCAGTGAACAGCAGCGCTAGCTAAGTTGCAGCCATTAGGCCATACCTAATTGTCTACAAGCATCACACCGCAGGAGGGGTCAGGGAAATCTTGAATACTAGGAAACTAACAGGGACACAATAATTAAAAATGAATCAACACTTACACATGATTTTCAATTGTCCACGCTGATCCTTCATTGTCCACACGCTCACTGAGGTTTCCACGGAGAAAGGACTCGCCGTCCTTGAGTCCTAAACTGATTTCGCCCGAGCTACTCAAACTGAAATGAATGTCGCGTGAACGCACATCCTTGTCAACGTTGAATGAAACTGTTACAAGATCTGATGTCTGCTCCCACTGTTGCGTTGTTTGAGGGCAAGATGGAGTCTGACCATCTGGGGCATTCGATTCTTCCATCGCAGTATCATTGGCTGTAGAAGATGTTAAGGTACCTTGACTACTGTCACGGCTGTTGCCATTGGCAGTATGCTGCAGCCGTCCCTCATTTAAAACGCACAACACATTGCTGCCGTCGGATGTGAGAGAAGCGTAGAAAGGAATCGAGCGAGAGGAGAATTCCGAGCAAACAAGTAAGTTGAGCGTAGTCACATTGTCCACAACGGCAGGCTGCAAAGCTAACCACTGTAACGTAAAGCGACATTGTCCAGAATCACCTGTACCGCCTGCAATACCACCGGCCCCACTGCTGGCATTAGCAGTAGCAGCCGTGGTGGTGGAAACACTGGTGCTAGCATCTACTTCATCAAATACTACTACAGCACACTGCAAACTGCCATCCAAACACTCCATGCAGTCAAACAAGAAGAGAGGTCTGCCATGTGAGTATGAATGAGATATGGACCATTGGCACTTCCCATTGCCACTATCCCTGGCAAGAGAGACAAGGAACAGATTGCCGTGGCCATCACTAATGACTGCAGTTTGCAAGCTGCAGAAGATGATAGCCGGTGGACAACATTGGCGGGAGGAATCTATTAGAGGAGGCTTCGGAATGCTCAGCACAGCAGTCGTACTCACTGAGCCTTCATCCTGCACACAGGAAAGCGACATATTGACAACAGATATAGTGTACCTGTATCCATATCATTAAATTAATATAGCAGTACTTGCCAAAAATCCAGTACGTCTCCCCAACTCTAATTTGCATGTGACTCCCTACTGTCTTATTGTAGGCTGAAACATATCTACTACTTGAAAGAAATCATCCTCGGTCTCTTCTTTTCTGAGAGTTCCCAGCGACTGCAGTTTAGAAGTCCAGTATTGGTCCCAGATCGACATTTACCAGTCCCGGACCTATACCAGGAGTGGAGAAATCGTGTTATCTCTTTTGTGGCTAAGCTGATATATTGCTGGATTGGATTGTGGACTCCACGAGATCAAACATCTGCGTTGATCAAAGCTCTGCCGGCATGGAATGGAATGAGCTGCTAAGCGGATAAGCAAATCGTAGTTCACACAGAGTACAGTAAAACCTGCCAAGGTGACCACCTGTCCTGTCCTAGAGGACCACTGAAACCAGGATCAAGGGGTGCTATTTCCAGTCAAATGACCCTGGATAAGGAGACCACCTGGTAACAGAGACCACGTTCTAAAGGTCCCTTGAGCGGTCGTCTTATACCGGTTTCACGTACATGTACATTGTACATATACCGGTATGCTGCGAGCGACACGCCACCTTAACTGTAGAGATGCAAGGCTTCATGCTGCATTGAGTGTTAATGACTTTTTGACAGCCCAATTTGTATGGTTGCATAGCAGTAAAATTAGAACGTATTCAAGCCAATGATGAGCAAACATAGTAGTCATACTCTCATTCGATATACTTTCAAAGGGACCGTCCATCTTTCACAACAACAAACAACTCTCCTCAACCCACGCACCCACAAACAAAACTTTTTCGTTTGGTGCAAAAGATCAATAATTATGGACGGGGCCCTATTTGAGCAATTGGTACACCATGCCTGTGATCGTTTCACTCCCACTACAGTCATTGTTTCTCACCCAGCCGCTCTCAGTACCGTGGTATGCGTGGATAACTCCAAGTAGTTGCAGTTGCTGGATCATGATCAGATCATGTGTAAGTGTCACGTCCCAGAATAAGACAACTGCTGCCTGATAGTCCTGTGATAGCAGGATCTACATAGTGAGCAGCTCTGTGCTGAGCTGTCACGCCCTTTTAGTACAACATGGTTTGGCCAGTGTCTTGTCCCACGTGCTTAGCATGTAGGTTGAGCGACACGCGCTTTCCCACGTAGGTGACATGCCTTCTTGGCATGACACGTTATGGGATCCAAGGCCGGAACCTGGTCAGGTAGGTTCTCGCGTTGTACGTTTCCTGGAAGTTCTTCACTTCCTGGAAATGTGACCCCAGGCTTTGTGCAAAACCACGTCACTACGACGTTCTACAGGTTTCCACGATGCCTCGGCGCTTCGTGCAAAGAGCCAAGACTAATATGACATTGTATAACAAGAGCTAAGTGCAAGACATGAGACGTGTGCAAGAACCAAAACCGTCACCGCGCAAGAGGTCAGAGTATCACGCAAGCAAGACCAAGAATGCAGCAGAACTTACCATAAGAAGCCGCTGAACTATGGCACGTTGGGTGAGCGGGCTCCCCAACGTGACCCTCATATACTCACATTGTACTCTGACGTGGGTGAGCGGGCTCCCCACGTCCCAATTTGGTCTTTCTTCTCTCGATGTCTTTCTTTCTCTTTCTTCTCGAATGATCACCGTACGTATATTCTGCATTTCTGCTGACTGGCTGCGCACATTCCGGTTTGACTTGTTCTGCTATTTCCTGGAATTACCTCGCAATGATCACGCCATATATCTCTGAAGCACCCTATAAAAGAAGCTCTCATTCTCTCTTTTACTTCAGTTCTAGTCTAGTCTAGTCTAGTCTAGTCTAGCAGTCGAGACTCGGTCTCAGCTCTCTGTCTTCGTTTACTTTGAGCTCGGATTTGATACTACTCACAACGTAAAACTAACAGTCTTTGTCTGTTGATCGTGTGGGGTTGAACTTGGACCAAGCCAGCTATATTGGTTGGCCCCTGGGTTGTGTTGGGCTTGTCGTGAGGCCACACGTCTATATTCAGTCGCCGCTCGTAGTGATTTCGGGGTCCGGTCACTCTGAGCCAGGGACGCGACATAAGCTACTGTCTCTCAGAGTCTGTGTACAGTGCGTTTTTTTTAAACAGACATTTGTCGATTTTGATTTTTTAGTTTGTTCTCATTCCAAATTTGAATTTTTTTCTTCACAGCTGCGTTTGTGTGGGTCTTGGATCGAAGAAAATTAAGTTTGGAAATCGGAATAATAATAATTGTCAAAGTTAGATATTCGGACGGGTTTTGGCTGAAAATCCGGTTTTAAATGGTTTTCAGTGGATTTTGATTTTAAAACGAAAGTTTTAGCCAGGAAAGCTCATCACGTGCATGGTGTCCGCCAGAGTTCGAATCCAGTACAGTTCATCTTGATTCTTTTTTTCTCTTCTTTTTCGGTACAACGCATGCATGTACATGTACATGACTGTGCAGTTGTGCACTGCTGTCTGCAGTTCTCTTAACCTTTGTAGGAAACCAGTGAGTCGTGGCTTTTCACGACTTACTGTGGCAAACTGTACTGAATAATTCAAATGCTGTATTGCAATTAGCTCAATAAATCAACCCAGCATGCATGTAGGAAACTTCCCTCGATCCCTGAAAGAATGCAGTGAAAATTCAAACACCACAACAAATCACAAGGGCAATTCACACAGCACCCATAAAGAGACTAAAAGGAAGCAATACATGAGCGGTTTTACAAACACACAAACACACACACACACACACACATACACATACACACACAATGCAAATAGGTCACAGTTGTGTCTGGTTCAACATCTGCGAATAGTAGAAGACCAGCGAGCGTCGAAACGGCCCCAATAATTCCGTGTTTTGTGTTGCACTTGTGACGACAGTATTACACAGTGAACAGATGTGCTAGGACAGCCGACAACGTATATCATCGTTGGCGTCGGCCTCGTCGGTCTCCAGTCACGAACACATCGGCGCAGTTTTTCACGAATCCGTCCCGTCCACCAGTATATGCAGAACAATAAAGCGCTTGCCTTTACCTGATGGAGCTTCATTTGGTTGCTTGCCTATACACTCCTGTCACCATTGTCGGACCAACTCCTAGTAACTGTGTGACGCGCATTGACCCACGTGTCATCCAGGTATGTCTCACAGGTAGGGATGCCGCCATGACACAATCCCGTGCCGTTCCATCATCATGTGTGTGATACCTCTGGTCTTGCCACACTGGAATCCCATGGAACGCAACATTTTCCAAGAGCTAGTTTTGCTCATGTCTGGAAAATCGTCGATGCTTTCTATGCAGCGAGCAGGAACTTTGTCCAGTGTTGGGTGCTCCTTCGCAGCATAGAATCCGTAAATTACTTCTTTACATACAGTCCAAAGCAAATCCGTCAGGGTTGAGTGGTTTTATGGCACGAGTCTCACATTGGGGATTGTCACTCTCGTTACCTTCATCACTGGAGACAGACAAGGCCAACGCAGCACGCTGATTTTCGCCGTCAGCATCCCTGGTACATCTGTTCATGGTGGAAATGCTGACGCCACACGCAACAGCAGCATGACGAATGGAATACTTGGGACCAATTCGATGCCCAGCCATTGTCTCCTCGTCTTCGCAAAAATTGTAAAACAGACACCACCATGGCCCGTTCGCGCTTTGTTATGTGTGGCATGTCGAGAGAACAAGTTGCCACGAACGAAAAGACACTCAATAAAAAGCAAAATAGGGCCACAGAGCAGTCAGCAACAAAATGATTCCTCCAGCCACGAGGAGCTAGCTCGAAGGACACTCTGAACAAAATGGCGAAATGCCACGAGTCACACCTGGTTTTCGAATTTCGCGCGCAGATTTTCGTGACGCAACTCGCATGACATTTTCTCAAAAGTGGCCTTGAGTACGTTCTCAAGGATTTCAGAGTCTATTATAAAAAAACGCACTGTAGTATAGTAGATAGAGCCTGCAGACCCCAGAGTCCAGTACAATCATTGAATGTAATGTACATGTAAATGCACAGAACAACAAGGGCAAGCAAGGCTAGATTGTTGCTACTCTGAGCAACAGTTTCATGCTTACGCAATCATCAGGTAACTGTCATGTACATGTATTAATGATCAACTCACCACAGAGCAATGCACAACATTGAAGTCGCTATCGATGAAATAGCTGCTGAGGCCATCACTGAAGGGATCCTGAACTAAATAATTCCACGTGCTAAACGTGCGAACTAGTTGATATGAATAGTACTTCTCGGACAACTGGATACATTGAGGTTTACATGATAACTGCGATTCGATAATAGAGTGCAATTCAGAATTACTCAGACGATATCCTTCAAAATTTGAGTTGACAAGAGATCTGTCTGGGCGAAGGCCCATGGTTCTGTTCTTTTCGTAGTCTACGGTTGTAGTCGTACGTAGATCTACTACTATACTACTAGTACTTGTTGTCCTACAATCGGCACTGAGACTATTGTACCTAAGTATATCTTGTTATTTCTTCAAGTCTTTTAGACTTTTATTTTATTTCCATCACTGAGATTTGAATGAGTGTGATCAACAGACAACACCCGAAAACACAGTCAAAGTAAACATGGTAAAGACTAAAGCCAAGGTACTATTTTACGACTCCCTGATGATCATGGCTTTGCGCCAGGGAGTCGTAAAATACCGGTATTTTACGACTCCCTGCTTTGCGCCGCTCACAGTTTCCCTGACTACGATCGTCATGACACTAGGCATTTTGAACTTTGGCGGGCGCCACATATGCACGTGGGGGTAAGCTATGCATGAAAGATCGGTTTGAAAAAATGAAAGAACCAACAACCGATGTGATAATGTTTTGGGGCACGTAGTTTTTGAACCCTTCACTTCAGCCCTGCCTGGGTCAGCAAAGGACAGGGTTTACTTGACTGTTTTTTTTCAAAGTGTTACTTGCCTTGTGTAATGGTTGGTTTCGTTGTGTAGAAATGGCCACGGAGGCAGTGCAGAAAGGAGTCCTCAAAGAAATGAACCAAGACACGTCGGCCACTTCGGGTGGTAAAAAGAAGCGGCTGTCTGTGGAACGTCTGTACCAGAAGAAAAGCCAACATGAGCACATCTTGCTGCGACCTGATACCTACATTGGGTCGGTGGAAGAGGTTACCCAGCAAATGTGGGTATACGATGAGGGAGTAGGCATGGTGTTCAGGGATGTGACATTCGTTCCTGGCTTGTACAAGATCTTTGATGAAATCCTTGTGAACGCGGCTGATAACAAACAGCGTGATGCACGTATGAATTTGATCAAGATTACTATTGATGCAGAGAACAACAAGATTTCTATCTGGAACAATGGACGTGGTATACCCGTGGAGATGCACAAGGAGGAGAAGATGTATGTCCCGTCGCTGATCTTTGGTCACTTGTTGACATCATCCAATTACGACGACGAAGAACAGAAAGTGACCGGTGGACGTAATGGTTATGGAGCCAAACTCTGCAATATCTACAGTAATGAATTCACTGTTGAGACTGCCTGCAGTGAATCTGGTCGCAAGCTAAAGCAGACCTGGAAGAGCAACATGCTGAAACCCGGCGATCCCAAGATCACTGATAGCAAGGACGACTACACATGCATCTCGTTCAAGCCGGACCTGTCCAAGTTCAAGATGGACTCGCTGAACAAGGATACGGTTGCCCTGATGACGCGGCGCGCCTATGACTTGGCTGGTACGTCACGCGGTGTCCGTGTTGTTCTGAATGGCCAGACGCTAAAATTGAAATCCTTCCGCGATTACGTCAACCTGTATTTGCAATCCAGCCGTGGGTCTAACGAAGATGGTGATGACGATGACAAGCCGTCCAAAGAACCCGTTGTCCATGAAATTGTCAACGACCGATGGGAAATCTGCGTGGCAAGCAGCACTCGTGGTTTCCAGCAGATCAGCTTTGTCAACTCCATCGCCACCACCAAGGGTGGAAGTCATGTGACATACATTGCCGACCAAGTAGTGCAGAGTGTGATGGCTTCGGTCAGCAAGAAGAACAAAGGTGGTGTTGCTATCAAGCCATTCCAGATCAAGAACCACACCTGGGTTTTCATCAATTGCCTAGTTGTCAACCCAACTTTCGACTCTCAGACCAAAGAAAACATGACCCTCAAGGCAGCCAAGTTTGGCAGTAAGTGTGCTCTCAGCGAGGCCTTCCTGAAGAAAGTCCTGCGCTGTGGCATTGTGGAGCACGTTCTCGAATGGGCTCGTTTCAAATCGGAGGCACAGCTGAAGCAGAAATGCCACAGTACCAAGCACAGTAAGATTCGCGGCATTCCAAAGCTGGATGATGCCAACGACGCAGGCACGAAGAACTCCCGAGAGTGCACCCTCATCCTGACGGAAGGAGATTCAGCTAAGGCATTGGCCATTTCTGGATTGAGTATTGTTGGTCGTGACCGGTATGGTGTCTTCCCGCTGCGAGGTAAAGTCCTGAACGTACGTGAAGCGTCTCACAAGCAGATCATGGACAACGCGGAGCTTTCGGCACTGGTGAAGATCCTCGGCTTGCAGTACAAGAAAGACTACAGTGCCCCTGGTGCATTGGAGACGCTACGCTATGGTCATATAATGATCATGACTGATCAAGATCAGGACGGCTCTCACATCAAGGGCCTCCTGATCAACTGGCTGCATTACAACTGGCCATCGCTGTTCCGCCACCCTGGCTTCCTGCAAGAATTCATCACCCCGATTGTCAAGGCAAGCAAAGGCAAAGAGGAGATCTCCTTCTACAGTCTTCCAGAGTTTGCTGGCTGGGTGAGCACTATCGATAGTACAAAGAGCTGGAAGATCAAGTACTACAAAGGTTTGGGTACAAGCACCCACCGTGAGGCAAAGGAGTACTTTGCTGGCATGGAGCGTCACCGTATCCCATTCACCTACACTGGCAAAGAAGATGATGAATGTATCAAGCTGGCGTTCAGCAAGAAGTTGGCTGCAGAGCGCAAGGAGTGGATCACTAGCTGGCTGCAGCACCGGCGTGATCGTCGCACCCAGGGTCTGTCTGAATCATTCCTCTACGATAGCAAGATGAAGTCACTCAGTTACCAGGACTTCGTCAACAAGGAGCTGATCTTGTTCAGCAATGCGGACAATGAGCGAAGTATCCCGTCGTTGGTCGATGGTCTGAAGCCTGGGCAGCGCAAAGTCCTCTTCACTTGTTTCAAGCGCAACGACAAGCGAGAAGTGAAAGTTGCCCAATTGGCCGGTTCAGTGTCTGAGCTATCGGCCTATCACCATGGCGAGGCAAGTTTGATGGGCACGATTATCAATATGGCACAGGACTATGTTGGCAGCAACAACGTCAACCTTCTACTGCCTGTTGGTCAGTTTGGTACCCGCCTGCACGGTGGAAAGGATGCCGCCAGTCCCCGGTAAGCTTTCCCTCTGTGCCCTTCTTTCTTTCTTTTTTCTCCATAAGGAGCTAGTCCAGGAGAGTGCTGTGAACTTGAACACTGTAATTCTTTGTTCTTCGTATTGGTATGTGTGAGTGCTCTGTGCTCATGCAGGCGCGTAGCACCGTCGTTGGCGGTGGTCCGGCCAGGGGGGGTCGGGGGGATCTCCCCGCGGAATATTTTTGAAATTAGGGTGCAGAATCCTGCATTCTGGGCACTTTTGGCATTGTTTTACTATGGTGGTCGTGGTCGGGCGAAAAAGTGGTCCGGCCAAAGCCGGAGCGGCTGCTACGCCCCTGTCATGGTGGCGCTGATGTCTTCCTACAAGTATATGCCAATTTGCTATGTGGAAAAAAGTCACACAGAACTACACTGCTATAGAGCTGGTGTGTTGAAGTGTACTGTAGATATTACCGTAAAAATCAACCCCTGGCTCTAGAGATACATTGTGAATTGTTTTATTTTTTTGTTACTTCATTCGATGTGTGCATGAATGATGCCGAACTCTGCAGCTCAAGATCCAGAAGATGTACATGTACCTGGCCGGCAATGTTAGCAGCTGAAGCCAACTGTGCAAGGCCTACCCTCAAGGATGATTATCCCTTCAAATTATACGAGTAGATGTGTGTGGGACTGTGCCACTGTGTCACTGTGCAGTTTTAGAGGGTTGTGTTGTATTTCATGTATTCCTGTGGTGTTCAGTTACATCTTCACCAAGTTGTCACCGCTTGCTCGGCGTCTGTTCCCGCAGTCTGATGAAGCCAACCTGCGCTTCCTGACTGAAGACAATCAGCGCATTGAGCCGGAATGGTACTGCCCAATCCTGCCCACTGTTCTCCTGAACGGTGCTGAAGGTATCGGTACTGGCTACAGCACCTTTATTCCCAACTTTGATGTGCGCGATGTCTTGCGCCAGATCCGTCGTCTAATCGACGGCAAGGAGATGGAGTCGCTTCAGCCCAAGTACAAGGGGTTTACAGGAATTGTTGCCCATGTGCAGCCGCAGCGGTATGCCATCTACGGCGCTATCGGTCGTCTAAACGACACTCAGCTGGAGATCACTGAACTTCCTATTCGGGTAAGTCTTCATCTGACATCATATTGCAGGTATGTGAATACCGTAGCAAGTAAAACTGTGTTTCTTGGTAAGGTAGGTAGACTCAGAAGTAACGACAACACACACAGGTAGACTCCTTTTAATTCGAACCTCCAACTTCCAGGCCCCAACTTTGAATTACGCTGTACAGTTGGACGTCAACTACGCTACGTGTTTTCGTACAGGAGCTTGCACGAAAAGTTAGTTGCCGCAGCGTGCACTCGCTGCCTGTACCTCTGTGTACGGCTGTGCAGTCAAAAACTTACAAAATTAATCTGAAAACGACTGTTGTTGCGGGTACTATGATATACCGAATACATGTATTGGCCTGTGGTGAGATTTTCCTTATCCGGAACGTTTTCATTACCTGAGCACCTTCCCAGGGCTCGCTGCCCAGAGGTGGTCGGGTAATCGATGTTTAACTGTATTCAAATTAGAGGGAATCTACCTGTAGTAGTGTTTGAGTAATTGGGTAGTGCTTTAGTTCCTTGTTTCGCCAAGATGATGTGTGCTCTCAATATTGTATATCTTGTGTTTGTTCAGTGGGCTCAAAGGGTTTGATATATGTGTGCTTGGTGTATGTGTGCTTGGTGTATGTGTGTTGTTGTTGCTGCTGCTAGTCCTGGACACAAGCCTACAAAGAGGCCGTTCTGGAGCCAATGCTGCATGGAACTGACAAAAGTCCATCTTTCATCCAGGACTACCGCGAATACCACACTGAAGCCACGGTGCGCTTTGTTGTCACTCTGACTCCGGCCAACATGGCTGTAGCCGAGAAGGAAGGCCTCTACAAGAAGTTCAAGCTGGAGAGTCGCATCAGCACCTCGAACATGGTTCTGTTTGACGGTGATGGCTGCCTGCGAAGGTATGACAATGTGGACACCATCCTGAAGGAGTTCTTTGAGTTGCGTTCTAAGCGCTATTCTATTCGCAAGGAGTATCTGGAAGGCCAGCTGCAAGCTGAGTCAGACAAGTTGTCCGCGCAAGCCCGCTTCATCACTGAGAAGATTTCTGGCAAGCTTGTGATGGAGGACAAGCCCATAAAGGAGATCATCCAGTTCATGCAAAAGAGCAAGTATCCTTCGGATCCTGTGAAGCATTGGAAAGATCAACGCAGCAAGTTAGAAGAGGGTGAAGACATCGCTGTTGTTGAAGGGGATGACAGCGATTCCGATGAAGCCAGTGATGCCACCTCTGCTTCATCCTCACATGACGGACCTGACTACGATTACCTCCTGGATATGCGCATGCGCAGTATCTCCAAAGAAAAGAAGGAAGAGTTGCTGCGCCAACGTGACAACAAGAATACCGAGCTTGCCATACTGCAGAAGAAATCAGCGCATGACCTGTGGAAAGAAGACCTCAATGAGTTTGAAGCCGATCTGATTCGCCGTGAGGCCCAGGAGAAGGAAGATTCGCAAGCCGGCCAAGCTGTGCTGGAACAAGCCCAGAAGAAGAGCAAAGCCAAGGCCAAGGGTAGTGGTGGTTCACGTGCCGCCAAATCCAACGCTCAGTTGTCACTTGCCGCTACCAGTACAGAGCCGATGGGAGAGTTTGTACCGCCATCCATCCCTGCATTCACTGATGATGGTCCAAAGGTTCCCAAAAAGCGCAAGGCACTGGGTAGCAGCACAGATGAGACCGCCACTGGCGATGCAATGGATGAAGGCACTGCTGAGGTATGCTAGTATGTGTGTGTGTGCGTGTGGGTGAGTGGGTGGGCGGTTGTGCAAGTGTGCGCATGTGAATGCCAGGCATAACGATAATACATGATAGACATTCTTTATTGCAGTGAATAGCCGTGGCATTCATGTTAGGTCTGTGGCAGATGCAAACAATTGGGTTTCTACAACTTGTTTTGTATCTTTGTCTGTTCTTAGCAGGTGTAGTTATGATGTGTCTGCTTGTGTAGGGTAGGAAGGTTTCTTTGTCTGCACTTTTTGCATGTTTTCCGTTATGGCACTGAATTAACTCGTTGCTATTGGCAAGACCCAGAGGGAATACCAATCAAGTCGATCACAATAGATGGATGTTTCTCTTTTTCTTTTTCTTTTCAGGCCCCTGTAGCTGCGAATTCTGCTCCCAGCAAACCTCTTAGCTTGGCGGACCGGCTTAAGGTTAGTAGAGTGTGGTATGGCTGCCGGGAGAGTGCTGGGACACATCCGACACATGAAACAATTCACGGCAGTTTGGGGACCGGTTCAAGATCAGATCTTTTCTTGCTGCTGACAGGTGGAACACCTTATCCCCTGCCTGCTGTACTGCTACGTCTTGTGCTGATTTTGTGCAGCTGTGCCAGAATTTCATAGGGTACCTTCAACTACCTTGCAATAAGTCAACACTAAGTCTGTATGGATACCTCCACTGTACACGTACATAGAATCTGATGTATCTGTGGTGTACCTGTCGTTCCGTTATCTAGCAACCACGAAAACCTGCACCAAAGAAGGCCGCCAAGGACAGTGAGAGTGATGATGATGATGATGTTGACTTCGGTGAAGAAGATTATTCACCACCTCCGAAGGTGAGCCGTTTGTGAATAATGTGATAATTATATTGTTCAGAACGCTTCCTGAAGCTTCATGTAAGAACCTAATTGTGTTTTTGGCACAGCCACAAACCCTAACCACCAAATCAAAATTGAATACAATACTCACACCACGCGGTGTAATGTTCTCGTTTTACTTTCCCAGCCCGCTTTTAGCAACCAGTGCAGTAATACAAATAGAACTCCCTGACAGAAACCCACTAAGCTTATGCGAGTCATCAGCATGATCATGGCAGATATCCGGACTGCTCGTCCACTGGCCTTCGTTGTACGTAGTACACATCGTACTTTGAACACGTGATGTGAATTTTTTTGCCATCGAGACCCCATAACTTTGATTGCATGGCTCTGCGAGGTTTGCAAACTATTATCGCAGACGACAGAGTGCGCTTCATTTTGAAGAAAAAAACTATAGTTTACGTACTCTTGCCACTCATTAATCAAGCAATGAAGTCCTACTAAGTAAACATTTTGTCTTGATATTCTTCTTTTGGTATTTCAGCGCACACAGAGAGCAGTGGTGAAGAAGCCCGTTGTGCTAGACGACAGTGAAGATGAAGACGATGACTTCATGCAGAACAGTGAAGATCCTAAGGATGACGATGATTTCAGCTTCTCCAACGATGAGGACCGCCCAGCTAAGGTAAGATCAATACTGTGTTGTGCTGTGTGTGTTCTGGGTACAGGTATAGTTCCTCTGCCATGGCCACATTTGCCAACTGCAACTGAGCTTATAATAACTATACTCTTAGTATTGGCAAGAGTACATAACCCCAAGAGTGTGCAACTGCCTGCACAACCTCTATGCTGTGCTGCGACGGCAGAACTTCACATCACGTCACATGGTTCAAAAGGTTATGCTGGCAAACAGTGCAAAGTGACCACAAGAGAGTTGTACCCAAAGCTGGGCTGCGTACAACCCTGTATCTATCATGCACAGAGTGCAAATAATGTGTACGGGTTCATCACGTGATGTGAAGTTCTGCCGTCGCAGACCCCATAGCTGGAGTTGCACACTCTTGGGTTATGTACTCTTGGTATTGGTGGTAGCATTTAGCTCCTGCTGCTACTCTTGCGATCAGAGACCTCCACTATAGACACGTACGTCGAATCTGACGTATCTGGTGTCTTGTGTTTGTGGTGTGTGTGTGGTGTGTCTGTGGCGTACTTATGGTTCTGTTGTCTAGCGGCCACGAAAACCTGCAGCAAAGAAGGCCTCCATTGACAGTGAGAGTGATGATGATGTCGACTTCAGTGAAGACGATTATTCGCCACCTCTAAAGGTGAGCCATTTGTGAATAATGTGATATAATGTTCAGAACGCTTCCTAAAGCTTCATGTAAGAACCTAATTGTGTTTTTGGCACAGCCACAAACCCTAACCGCCAAATCAAAATTGAATACAATACATGTACGAACACACACAGCACATCACAGTATTGATCTTACCTTAGCTGGACTGTGTGTGTGTGTGTGTGTGTGTGTGTGTGTGTGTGTGTGTGTGTGTGTGTGTGTGTGTTAGGCAAGAGATGCATGCACCTCAATCCACGCCGTTTCCCTTTATCTTTGTGAATTGTGTGTTATCAGAAAGCGAAGAAGCCTGCAGCTGCCACAACAAAAGCGAAGGTATGTCCGTCACTTGTGCACATCACTTGACTTGCCACCGACATTGACTCCGTGCCAACCTCATCAGCTTATGGTGTCAATCTTTGTTGTCTGTCCCTTATTAATCCACTGGTACATTGACTCATGCTGTGTTGTTTCTCGTGCTCTCTCAGGTGGTCAAGAAGCCAGCAGCCACAGAAACCGCTCCTGTGCCCAGCAAGGCAGCCGCGACTGAAAAGGTTTGTGAACCCTTTGGGAGCTAGGCTTGCATGGACTAGTGTGCGCTTTGACAGCACTGGTGATGGTTGTGGCAATATGATCTCATGGTCTCCTCTCTGTGCTGTTTTTTTTCATGTTGAATTGACTCTCTCAGAAATTGAAGAAGCCAACCTCATCAGCGTGCGGTGTCAATCTTTTTTGTCTGTCCCTTAGCAATCCACTGGTGCATTGACTCATACTGTGTTGTTTCTCGTGCTCTCGCAGGTGGTCAAGAAGCCAGCAGCCGCTCCTGTGCCCAGCAAGGCAGCCGCAACTGAAAAGGTTTGTGAATTATTTTGTGAGCCAGGCTAAGCAGGCTTGCATGGAGTAGTTGCCAGCGCAGCGCTTGCGCCACAGTTTTTTTTGGACCGTGTCCAGTCAGTTGGCTTCTTTGACAGCACTGGAAGTGAAGTGTGACTGAGCGCCGTGTTCACAGACTGTACTCAGGCAGGCCTCACTATTCAATCATGTGCGCGCAACAAATCTCACCTTGCTGTGCTGGATACGGTGTACATTGCCAAGCTGAAACCTGAACTGTGTGTGCAAAAGAAGTACCGGTATGTGCGAAAATTGTCACTGTTTTGACATTGCAGCACCGTGGTCCCGACTGTTGTTTGATAATACGCTCTTTATTGATTGTTTCAGTAAACATGTTTTTCCTGATATTCTTCTTTTTGGTATTTCAGCGCACACAGAGAGCAGCTGTGAAGAAGCCCGTCGTACTAGACGACAGTGAAGATGAAGACGATGACTTCATGCAGAACAGTGAAGATCCTAAGGATGACGATGATTTCAGCTTCTCCAACGATGAGGACCGCCCAGCTAAGGTAAGATTAATACTGTGTTGTGCTGTGTGTGTTCTGGGTGCAGGTATAGTTCCTCTGCCATGGCCACATTTGCCAACTGCAACTGAGCTTATATACTCTTGATATTGGTGGTAGCATTTAGCTCCTGCTGCTACTCTTGCGATCAGAGACCTCCACTATACACGTACATAGAATCTGACGTATCTGTGGTGTCTTGTGTGTGTGTGTGTGTGTGTGTGTGTGTGTGTGTGTGTGTGTGTGTGTGTGTGTGTGTTTGGTATGTCTTTGGTGCACCTGTCATTCTGTTGTCTAGCGGCCACGAAAACCTGCACCAAAGAAGGCCTCCATTGACAGTGAGAGTGATGATAATGATGATGATGTCGACTCCAGTGAAGACGATTATTCACCATCTCCAAAGGTGAGCTATTTGTGAATGATGTGATATAATGTTCAGAACGCTTCCTGAAATTTCGTGTAAGAACCTAATTGTGTTTTTGGCACAGCCACAAACCCTAACTGCCAAATCAAAATTGAATACAATACAATCATGTACCTAGAACACACACAGCACAACACAGTACTGTAAATCATATTATCACATGGCACGTGATTGTTGCCCGTACTCCAGCGAATCAGCACCTTTTGCGCCGCGGGCAATAATATGCGATATTGCCCGCAAACAAATAGTTTATTTGCCCGCAAAAAAATTGTTTATTTCAGTGATCGCGTGACTACGACGACTCTGTAGACTGTACGACTCTACGACGAGTCGCATTGTAGCATTGAGACGAAGACGGAATTCGTTTTGGAGATGGACGCCCCGGCAATGGACATGGCCTCGGATGTCTGCCGTGTGGTGCTTGCAGGGATCATTTGTTCAGTCATGTTGGCAGCCTGACCGTCGGTAAGCTTGTGGATAAGATTCAGTTCTGCTCGATGTGGTACTGTGATCACAAACAATTATTTGAAATAACACAAATTCAACTCAGCAATACAGCACGTGCCTTCAGTTTCAGATCCTCGCAAAGTCACTGCCTTTGTGTGGTCTTCCTGTGCCACTCAAAGCTCTTACCAGGCTCATCTGTCCTGAGTCCTCTGCCTTCACCTTTGCTTGAACAACAAACACAACAATTCAGGAATATTTTGCAATGAAAAATACAGCTATCTGGAGCTGAAAAAAAGAAGACAAATTGTCCTCAGAATTACACACCAGGGAGTCGTCAAATACTTGCAGTACTGTATTTGACAACTTCCTGATACACATGTAAACATGAAGAAACTCTTCGTGGTAGCACTCTTAATTTTCAACTGAAATTATGATTCTGCTGTGTTTTATTGTGGTTGTCATGTATATTGCGATGACGATGCCGTGCCGGCAATTTTTTTCTGTCTCCGTCTTTCAGTACTGTATACTCTCTGATGGTCTGTAGCAGACTTTTTGTTAGGGTGTAGGAGAAATATCTTCATTTTTCCTGTTTTGATAATAATAGCACATCAATATACATTGTGGTCATAATCTGTTGGCATTTGGGCTAGTTTCAACAGCAGCCCAATGGTCTGCTCTGTGGGCCATGTGGTAAATTTGTTATCGCATGGTTGCTGCGGGCCTTATGGCATATTAGGGAGGTTTCGCTCTACGGAATTACGTATGAAAATAACGTAGGAACTGCACGGAATTTTCATACGTAAAATCAGAGCTGTTGGGTTTCGCTCTACGTGATTTGGCCACGACTGCTAAACATGCGTTGTTGCTTTGGAGACGCGTTGGCTACATGCGCCCACCGTATGCACCATGAACCGAAACCGCGGTTTCCATGATATTATGCACGTGGTGTACGGTGTGTGTACCTTGTGTTTCGCGCGGCTTGAACGTTGCCATGGACAAATGCGGAAAATGCGAAAAAATATTTCAAAAAGTCCTACGGAGGACCCAACGTAGGAAACAGCTTTCCTATGGAAATCCGTAGAGAGATTTACGTATGAAAGTTGCCCTCGCTCCCCGGCGCGTACGACATACGGATTTTCATACGTAATTACGTAGACTGTCCCCGGGGAAAATTGCGATTCCGCGGCCGCGTTTTTTTCCGCGTTTTTTGCTGTTTTTTAAAGACCGCGATTTTCCCGCGATTTTTTTGTTGCACAACACGTACACACAGTTCACTGTTCGGTCAGCAACGTCTCATCGTGGCGGCTTTTTACTCAAATATGACGAGTGCTTACACCAGAGACTTGTAACTGATTGATTTCACTACATACTCACTGAAAATTGCCACACATCAATATTATTCACTGCATATTTACCGCAAATTCACCGCAAACTATGCCATATTATGCCGCGTTTTTCCCCGCGTTTTTTGCGATTTTTTTCCGCAATTTTCCCCGGGGACAGCGTAGAGCGAAACCTCCCCTATTATTGCCCCTCGGGCCTATGACCCTCGGGCTAACCTCTCGGGGCAATAATATGCCATAAGGCCCTCGCAACCATGCGATAACATATACTTATTTTAACGACCCGCAAAGTTAACGATTTTCTGATTTTCGAAGGTTAACGGTTTGAAAACTTAACGATTTTCTCAGACAGATGCAATAATACTTCGAAGTGCTAGGAATGCTCGTCAAGGACATTCGTTGTTGTCCATCACAGTAAACCAGGAACGCCGCTGCGACATGGTGTTGAGAAACAAGACATTGATCTCAGGAGAATAAAGAAATTGAAATTTATCCAGCGTATTTAATAAAGAGTGTAAAAAATTCCAATTTTTCGATCTCCTGCCGCTTCGTCAAAATTTATCTGAGAGACTTCGGAGTTATTGGAATCGACTGCTGAGCGTCTCTGCTACCATCTAGATCTTTCGATTGTTGAATTCCGTTGAGAATTGACCGAGTTACGATCCGTTGAACACGCGCTGCATGCCATAATGTGAAATGATCGATTTCAATCGTGCGAGGCCCAAATGCATACGACTTTTGCTAACGAATTTTAAAATAACGACTAATCTTTGCTCGTTAACTCGTTAAATTTACTTGTTCGTTACATATTCATGATTTACAGTATTCATCTTGCCTTAGCTGGACTATCAGAAGCTGAAATCGTCGTCATCCTTAGGATCTTCACTGTTCTCAGAGGTCTAGCCAGGATTTTATGCCAGCCGGCCAACGTTCTAGTGAAAATGCATCGTTCTGGGGGCTGTGCCCCCAGACCCCAGTCACATATCCACACAGACACACACACACCACTACAAATCTTTCATTGCAGCTTGCATCTCCTTTCGCTTCGTCCAATTATGGACATTCATCAGGCAGTTGTGACAATGTGATTATAGGTAAACAAAATATGAAAAAGGACGCAAACAGCTACATGAGCATGGATCATGTGCTCACCAACGTCATGTCTGCAGTGTACATTGGTCATCTGACAAGACCCAGCCACGAATGGCCCACAATATGACAGTCCAGAGTCTGTAGCTGTCAGTGTCACAGCCTGTACACCACCGGAAGCAGCGAACCATGACCCGACCTGTTACCAGTCCTGGTGATGTCCTAGATAGGACATCACGGAACCCAGCATGCCCCAGCATACATACTATGCTGTTCCCATAGTGATCGTGACACGTGACTCAAAACTTTGTGTCGCGTCCGAGGAAGATGAACATGTCGCACTCAAAACAAACGCAACGAAGGCCTTTCGTCTCAAAAGTAATTAGTTGTCGTTCTCCTGGCGGCTTGCCTCAAGCGAGCCGAGATTCGCATCTTGCCGCTTGCCTTCACGAATTTTATTTTCCTCGTGGTGGAGTACGCCTGGACAAAGGAACTGGCAAGCGAATCGTTTTGGTCGCATTGAAAATTGCAAGTGCACAAGAGGATTGGCGAAGCAATTTGTGTTCGCACTTTCAGCAGAGCAGTAGCTGCTGCTGCGATAAAGTTTTTACTTTCGCCATTGGTTTCAGGCAGCAGAAGGATCTGGCTGAAAGCGATGGCGATACGTCCATGACCACCACGTCCTGGGTTGATATCCAAGAAAGACCGTCCAAGGTCCAGTTTTAGCCAAGAGCTGTCGTATCCAAGAAATCAAAAACGCCAACAGCAAGCTTTGGCCAAATAATATCTTCCAGGCAGTAATTTACAGGGTAACGGGCCTAGCGCCTGCTGCCTCGTCTTCCTCCTCTGCATGGCCAGGTTTGGGGCGAAATGAACGCACGGGGCGTGAAGAAACATTCCAAAGGCAAAACATTCAAAATAATAGAACCAATCGTTTCCAAAGAAGCGGCGCGTGGCTACGAGAAACCCCACATGAAATCCCCAAACGAAAACGGCCATTCGGTCGGGTATTCGATGGAGAATCGAATATACACTACCTCAATCCCCGCCGATGTCTGATATTCTCCGCCTATTCCCTCAAACTTGACCAATTCGGAAAGAAATCCATCGCCATTACGATCGTGCATCCTCCACATACATTCAGAAATGCTCACGCAGCACTTCTTTTCATCGCGTGTGCGCGACCGACGCTTCCATGACAACTCTGGGACAGGTAACCAATCAGACTCATTCAGAGTGCGATGTCCTAGATAGGACATCTCCCCCCCCCCCCCCCCCCCCCCCCCCCACTGGTTACATTTTACTGGCACTCTGTGACGTACTCAAGTGCATACTCAAATGCATTTGAGCTTGAGTGAAGAGCTAGCACTGGGCCTGAGTACTGGCTACGTACTGTACATACCCACGCCTAGGATATGGGTTGTACTCCACCATCTCGACTCAAGTGCTAGTGCAGTGCACTACAGTCTACTACAGTCTACATGGTGACCTCAAGTGGGTGACTGGGGCCAAAATAACCTTTGGAGCTGTCTCAGACGGCAGGTCGCCTTCCCAGCCAGCTTTGGCTAGGTCACTGCTTCTGCATGAAGTCATTGTCTTCATCTTCACAGTTGTCTAGTAAACGGGCTTCTTCATTGCTGCTCTTTGTGTGCGCTGAAATACCAAAAAGAAGAGTATCAGGAAAAATGTTGAATAGATTCTTGGTTGGCGGGAAGCAAACCAACACACGAAGAGCAGAAACCATAATATTAGTTTCGACTAGGCCTTTCATACCATTGCTGGTCAAGTCGAATACAGTGGTGATTGAAGCCGCAGCAAGCAAGTCCTTATAACCGGCACTTTGGCGATCAGACCAGTGACAAAAGTATCACCTAAAAAAGCGCTAGTGGCGCCAACTACATAGTGAGACAATCAATACGGAGCATACTAGTATTATCAAACGACAGTGGGGACTACGGTACTACAATGTCAAAACAGGGACAACTTTCCCACATACTTCTTTTGCACACACAGTTCGGGCTTCAGCTTGACAATAATATATACCGCCTCCAGCACAGCACGGGGAGATTTGTTGCGCGTACACGCTTGGATAGTGAAGTGTGAGTGAATGCTGTGTTTGCAGACTGCACTCAGGCAGGCTGGTGACAATGCCAAAACAGTGCCTGGTGGTTCAGGCGTAGTTGCAGCTGCTGTGTTGTCAAACACCTGAATGTCTTCTTGAATCAGTGGCTGAGCCTCGACATTCGCGAGGCTGAGAACTTATGTATGTAAGCTTTGAACTACGTGGGAATGATTCTTGAAGGGATTCCCAGCTGCATCCCTGCGAATGGTTCTGGAAGGGATTACGAACTGCATCCAGGCGCTTGTCTGAAGATTGCAAAACATATGTTTGCAGGGCAGACCATGGACGCTTTAATCCTCACAGGAACAGGACGGTGCACTATGGCTGACACTGTGAAACGGCTCAGTGGACTTGATGTGTCCCTGGTTCCCATGTTTTTTTGTGGCAACAAATAGGGCTGTGTCCCTCTCGTCCTTATGTATGCGTGTGTGTGTGTGTGTGTGTGTGTGTTAGGCAAGAGGTGTATGTACCTCAATCCACAACTTTTGCCTTTATCTTTGTGAATTGTGTGTTATCAGAAAGCGAAGAAGCCTGCAGCTACTACAACAAAAGCGAAGGTATGTCCATCACTTGTACACATCACGTGACTTGCCACTGATATTGACTCCGTGCCAACCTCATCAGCTTATGGTGTCAATCTTTTCTGTCTGTCTCTTAGTAATCCACTGGTACATTGACTCATACTGTGTTGTTTCTCGTGCACTCTCAGGTGGTGAAGAAGCCAGCAGCAGCAGCAGCAGCCGCTCCTGTGCCCAGCAAGGCAGCCGCGACTGAAAAGGTTTGTGAACCCTTTGGGAGCTAGGCTTGCATGGAGTAGTGTGCGCTTTGACAGCACTGGTGATGGTTGTGGCAATATGATCTCATGGTCTCCTCTCTGTGCTGTTTTTTTTCATGTTGAATTGAATCTCTTAGAAATTGAAGAAGCCAGCAGCAGCAGCAGCAGCCGGCAAGGGAAAGGTATGACAGCTCTTACTCCCAGATGTTGCTGTGGTGGTCTTGCATGATGATCTCCGTGTCCCCTTGTCATGCTGGTTACTCCCAGGTGTTATTGGGGGGGGGGGGGGGGTGTTGCTGTGGTCTTGCATGATGATCTCTATGTTCCCTTATCCTGCTAGTTACCACCAGTTGTTCGTTGTGTTAACTGTCAGTCATGTGACTCGTGTCTCCTGCTTGTTTCCTGGAAGCTCTGTACAGCCGACTACTGATGTCATGAACACCAGTGTGCAGGAGAATTAGTTCTGTATAGCAGATACATACCTACCACACGCCATGCCTGGCATACGGCCCGTGACTGCATGAGTGCACTTGGTTTACATGCTCCCCTGCAAGATATGATTTGATATAAACAAAAAACGGCTCCCTTTAAAGTTTAATTCTGTATCCGTTCAGACAGTGACATGGACAATGGTTCGCTAATCCCAAAGGGCAAGCGGCGGAACTTGTATCTGCCAAACGGGGTGATGAATGTGGTGAGGTGTTGAGATTCGTCGGCGAGCGGAACCTGCCAGAACCCCTTCTTCGTATCCAGCGTGGAGAACACAGTCGCTCCCGATATCTTAGCCATCGTTTCCTCAACGGTCGGGAGGACAAATGTCTCGCGCTTCACGCCTGTGTTTAGCTTCTTCAGGTCTACGCAAATGCGGACGTCACCATTTTTCTTCCGAACCGCCACCATTGGTGCACACCACTCCGTCGGTTCTGTGACCGGTGTGATGATCCCGGAATCCACCATGTTCGTCAGCTCCTTCTTCACCTTTTGGAGCAGTGGGAATGGTACACGCCTGGCCACTGGGCAGTGGTACAGGCGAGTGCCGGGTAGAATACGTATCAATACTGGTGGTCCGGTCATACAGCCAAGTGGAGGTGCGGGTGGAGCGGAGACGTTGTGAACTCCTGGCTGCACAAAACCCATACGGAAAGAAGCTTGTCGGCTCAACAGGTTCGAACCCGAGGCGGAGAGGACATGGACATCATGCGGGAAGAGTTGTCCGTTGGTGTCACAACTTAGGACTATAAACTTTCCCGCAATTGTCAGTGGTGTGCCATCGGGTCCCAGGAGTGCAGCTGCTGGCTTCTGGAGCGTGGGGGACGGGACTAGCGTGCTAAACGTGTCCGCGTTCATTACGGACGTGTCCGCGCCAATGTCCACTTTGAATAGTACTTCAGTGTTCCCTATCGGAATGGAGCGCATCCAAGGCTCATCAGGCAGCTGGTCAGTTGAAACGCCTCCCATAAACAGATATGCGCCTGTGCTGATGCCTGCAGTTGGTGTAGGCTGCACTGCATGCACCAACTTCTGGCCTGCTCCTGGTTCACTGGCTAGCCTACTAGGCTTAGTCAAGCATACCCTGCTGAAGTGGCCTGTTTTCCCACAAGAGGAGCACTTCTCGGACCGTGCAGGACATTCACGGCGTGAGTGGGTCGCTGGCCTGCCACACCACCTGCAGGACGCATCATCCGTACCAAACGACGTAGACCTACAAGTCGAACTAAACTGCTGTGCCCGGCCGCCGCTGTTGGCCTTGGCAGTGCTGATTCCGGCTGCCTGAGGTGGCGCAGACACTTCCAACTGATGGCGCTGCGCAGCTACTTGGCGATGAACCTGCTCGTAGTTTCGAGCGTATGTGGCTGCCTTGGCCAGGTCCGGCTTATCGAGAAGTTGCAGCTCGAGTGTCAACTTATGATCAATGAGGTTAGCCATGAAACGATCACGGATTCGCTCGTCCCGGGCTCCCGAGAAGCCACATTTGTCTGCGATACGATGCAGACGACGAAGATATTCGTCAACGGATTCCGATGGCGACTGGATCGCCCGCTCGAACATAGTTCTTTCATGTACCACATTCGACACTGGTTTGAAATGCTCGGACATTTTCTTGACCACCTCGTCAAACTTCTCCGCATCGCCGGCGTGATCAAACTTCAGTTGTTTGTGGACTACTGTCGCCTGTGGTCCCATGCTGTAAAGGAGAGTGGCTGCCTGGACATCCTCGTCGTCCTTGTGCAGTTTAGTAACTTTCCTGTACTGCCGAAAACGATCGAACCAGTCATCCCAGGCAGAGGGATCGGCGAAGTCAAACTGACATGGTGGCTGAAATCGAGACATACTAGTGTTCTACAGTGGATCAATACGGAGCTCTCGTATGTAGATCCTGTTCAATGCGCCATGTAGCAAACTCCTGGGCTAGGGTTTACCAACATCTTTATTTACAAGACAAACAACCGAACAGCTAGTAGAAGTCCGAACAAAGAAGTGAAGTGAGTAGAGCTACAAGAAGCAACATAGGCCCGAGTCCCCAAGTACTCGTCCGTGTATGGAAGGATGGAAAGTGTGGAGCGTGCGTGCGTACAAAGGGGTGCACCGACCGTTCATGCGGGGTTCATACAGACGTGTGAAAGCAGCACTCACGTACGGTACATGCAGAGTTCATGCAGAGGTGTGAAAGCAGCTCTTACGCACAGTTATGAATACAAGAGAGACAGAGAGAAAGCTGTGTACAGTTATGAGTATCATTACGTTACAGTGATCAGCTAAAACCGACCTATAGCTTTTGCCGAAAAAATGAAGAAAATCATGTTTTTCATGAGTTGCGCTGAAATGGTCCTTTTCAAAGAAGAAAGAAGACGGCGTTGCTGATGCGACTCTCGTGTACTCCCAACACAGCTCGACATCAAGTGGTTCTTCCGTATCTCTCTGCAAAGCTGTACAGGATAATCAGTTGTGCTAGGCTACGTACACAAGTGCTGAGCTGGAAGCGCTTGCAAGTTGCAATGCAAATAATTCACAACTTCAAACAGCGATCGATCGCACTTGGTTGAAGTAATTATTTGTTGTATGGGTAGTTAGAATAGCTCGTCATCGCAGTCGCGAGTTTCCTGGAGTTTCCAAGGCCAAGCAAGGACTTCTCGAAGCTGAGGACCAGTTATCTCGGTCTCGGCATAGCGACTGGCTTTGATGCCAACTCAGAAATGGCTGGTCCTTTCTCTTTACTTACTCCTATTGGCTTAACATCCGAGTTGTAATAAGCACACCTGATGAGCCGTCACCAGCGATGCGGCGAAACGTACGTAGTGTGACAGTACTTGCTATTGTAACTTGTAAGTAAACGTTTTCCTGAAATTCTTCTTTTTGGTATTTCAACGCGCACAGAGAGCAGCAGTGAAGAAGCCCGTTGTTCTAGATGACAGTGAAGATGAGGACGATGACTTCATGCAAAACAGTGAAGATCCTAAGGATGACGATGATTTCAGCTTCTCCAACGATGAAGACCGTCCAGTTAAGGTAAAATCTATACCGGGTTGTGCTGTATGTGCTCTAGGTACTACCTCCGACAAGCGAAACTTGGCGCGTTTTTTGATATTTTTGTGTTGGTACCACAACTTACTTCACAAGGCTGTGAGGTACGACCTACTTGTAGCTCCATGCAACCGGGTGCAGGAAGCCAACCGACGAGCTGGTGAAAGGCACATGGCTCAGACTTAGTCAGAGGCAGGCCAGTCCCTCGTGTGCCAGCCCAACAGTCCGCGCATCCATTCTGTGAAGGAGAATCGTCGTGCTTTCGCGTTTCAATGCAAAACCAAGGAGTTCTCTCTCTCTCCACTTGGTCACTCCGCCAGCACAGAGTCCATACGTCCATGCCAAACAATCCTAGCGTCTTTCAATATCCCCCAGAGCGATGAGTCTCTGGTGGCTAAGGAAAATCACCAGGAATTGCTGCAGGCAATTTTGGACAGTTGGCGAGAATACCCGGCAAAAAAGTTGGAGTCCAGGCGCGTGTGATGTGGAGGTGTTGCACAGTTCTTACCACGTCAACCTGGATAGTGGCGGCGGAAATGACTACCCTCGACACCATGGCTAAAGCACAGCACACAGGAGCGACACCGATCACAACAGAGGTACTTGCTGCAACTGAATCCGCTCTAGTCGCACTTTCCTCTCAAAACAGGGACAATTCCTCTCCAGAAGAAGCTGCGATCTCTGAATCAGAGGAGAGTGATTCAGCCTAACTGATATCTCTAATGTCCTTGTTGAGCAATACAAAGTTGTATTTTGGTGAGTCAATCATTAGTTGTGATTGTAAAGTGTGAGTTATTTCGAGTAATTTGAAGTAAAAAACGCGCCAAGTTAGTTTCGCTTGTCGGAGGTAGTACATGACTGTATTGTATTCAAATTGATTTGGCTGTAAGGGTTTGTGGCTGTGCAAAACAAAACAAAAACATTAATTTCTTACATGAAGCTCCAGAAACCTTGAGTAATGAGTGGCAAGAGAACATACACTTCAATTTTGTTTTGGCGGATTCCTCAGAGGCAAATTCTGTGTGTGTGTGTGTGTGTGTGTGTGTGTGTGTGTGTGTGTGTGTGTGTGTGTGTGTGTGTGGCAAGAGATGCATGTACCTCAACCCACCTTTCCCTTTATCTTTGTGAATTGTTTGTTATCAGAAGGTGAAGAAGCCTGCAGCTGCCACAACAAAAGCGAAGGTATGTCCGTCACTTGTGCCCATCACTTGACTTGCCACCGACATTGACTCCGTGCCAACCTCATCAGCTTGCGGTGTCAATCTTTTTTGTCTGTCCCTTAGTAATCCACTGGTACATTGACTCATACTGTGTTGTTTCTCGTGCTCTCTCAGGTGGTGAAGAAGCCAGCAGCAGCAGCAGCAGCCGGCAAGGAAAAGGTATGACAACGCTTACTCACAGATGTTGCTGTAGTCTTGCATGATGATCTCCGTGTCCCCTTGTCGTGCTGGTTACTCCCAGGTGTTATTGGGGGGGGGGGGGGGGTGTTGCTGTGGTCTTGCATGATGATCTCTATGTTCCCTTGTCATGCTAGTTACCGCCAGTTGTTCGTTGTGTTAACTGTCAGTCATGTGACTCGTGTCTCCTGCTTATTTCCTGGAAGCTCTGTACAGCCGACTACTGGTGTCATGAACACCAGTGTGCAGGAGAATTAGTTCTGTATAGCAGATACATACCTACCACACGCCATACCTGGCATACGGCCCGTGACTGCATGAGTGCACTTGGTGTACATGCTCCTCTGCAAGATATGATTTGATATAAACAAAAAAAATGACTGCCACACGGTTCAATTGGGGTCGTATCATGTGATTTTAAGGCCCTTGGTGTGGATTTTTTAGGAGATGAAGAATACTAGAATATTCGATCGGAGAAAATCAGAGTACTCGAACTCGGGATCTCAACGCCAACTTTCAACCTAGTTAGGAGTGGAGTCAACTGTACTGTATTCAGCGAATTTCCTATGCCTACGAATCCATCCCTAACCCCAGCTTGTCCGCTTCTCTTTGCTTTCTAACCACTACGATTTACTGGTAACATAGGCTCCTGCAAAGAAGGCTGCGCCCAAGGCTGCACCAAAAGCCGCACCGAAGGCTGCAACAAAGGCAAAGGTAAGAAATTCCATTGTTCCCCTAGCGTGTGATGTGATTAGATCAACAGGTGCAAGTGGAATCAAGAGTAAATTATACTCTTATAGAAAAGAAAAGTTTACTGCATTCCCAACTCGTCACAACCACGCGCACTCAGCCGAACCACGAAGCATAAAAACACCAGCACAGCAAGGACACTTCCGTTGACAGATAATATTTTTCCACACCTCCAGACAGCTGTTTTGCTCCCTGCCGGAGCTTATCAGTTCCGTCAGGGTTCTTACCCAAAGATGCACCAGGAATATCCTCCACAGTTAAGCTGTGTTCACAACTGGCGCGTGGACGCGGTACGCTTGCGGTTTGTGCGTGCCCAAACGCGCGCTCAGCCTTTCACAAAAAAACAGCTATCCGAGTCGTATTTAGCGCATGCGACACCTTCGAGTACTAATTTTTTGACCCCGCCAGTCAGAGTGACTGGCATGTACGCTGGTACGCGCCTGATACGCGCTGAAAATTCCAACATGTTGGAATTTCCATTTCGGCGCGTTTCCGTACGCATGGCACCCCAAAAGCCAGCAAAAATACGCACAAACGCGTGCTTGCCTACCCATAAATTTCATATGGCATTCAATTGACCATCATTTTGGTGTCTCTCAATGGATTTGAGTGAAATATTGACCACACACTCCTGCCACTATGCTGGCCCTCTGGACATGATTTAAAAGTTCTTGCGCCTCACTGACAGGCTTTCCAGGCCGGAAAAACTCAAAATTCCGGCATCGTGCCACGGTGTGCGAGCCACCCAGGAGCCCAAAAAATGCATTTACAATTTTTTCACATCTTCTTGCCCATTCTGTTCGTGCGCGGGATCCAAACCTAAAACAAGTCCAAAAGCAGCCATGGGTGGTGGGGTAGGGCCCCTCAACGTGGCCCTGGAATCTGTCACAACGGAACGAGTGGGCGTTCTCTCATAGACTCCCACAGACCCAAGTCAATTTTTGAATTTTTTTAGGTTTAGGGTGTGCTACGAGGGCGTACCTTTGATACAACATCCAGTGCTGGGACCTCCACAGCAAGCCATTGCCACAGCGCTGCACACCAAATCCAGGATACCCTCAAAAATCGGCAAAGACTACCGCTCACGTTCCACTACTGCCTAGTACTGACTCCTACCTGACTTCTTGACACGACTCAAACTTGCCAAAGTCACGAAATCAGTGTCAACTACAATAATCAAGCCACATATCTGCAACGTCACGAGGGTGCTGGCAAAAGTCCTGCTGCACGGCGGCGGGCTTTGCCCGCAGCCGTGCAGCCCAATACGTGGCTAAAAAAAAACGTGATTTTTTGGACTTTTTTTGGACTTGGAGCAAAATTCTGCACACTTTCGCGTGTTTCCATGATACAAGTTGCGCACGGTCTGCTCAGATTCAAATACAGTGCTGCCAACAAATGGCAGCGTGCAACAACAAAAATCTTTCCTTGCAAGGGCACATTTTCGGCCATAACTCTTGAACGGCTTGTCAGATCGAGACAAAATTTTCAGAGATTTTGCAGCTATTCATGCTCTTTCAACTGATGTAGCACTCATATGAATTTACGGATTCGATTTTTCAGCGAATTTTTGGGTAGGCTGCTACCTTAAGCACTACAGTCAGACCTCGCTTATCCGGTCCTCATTTATCCGGATCCCTCGCCATCCGGAAGAAAATTGTTGGTCACCGATTTACAGCAATGCTATGCACACACACAGTGTGTGTTTTCGATTATCCGGTTCCCTCGCCCATCCGGATATTTTTGTGGAAAACGGATGTGTGCGGTTAAGCGAGGTCTGACTGTACTTCCATACTGGAGTGAAAGGAAGAGAAGACCACTCTGTCGCTGCTACGAAAACGAAAACAGCTCGTCGAAAAGACAAGACTTCCTCCTTCCTTTATTCTTCAAGTGGCCAAAGTTCAAAACTGCAAAGAAATCAAAACCACACTGCAGTGCCCACATTTCGGCAAGCGCCATTGCGCGATGGGTCTATTGGAACTTTCTGCACCTGAGCCTTCCAAGCTGGAAGGTTGTTGGTTTGCGCTTCATAGATGTGTTGGAACTAGGTGTCAGGTCGTCGAATGTCTCATTATCCTTGTCCGTTGTGTGCCTTTGTTGTCGCACTGGCTGACTGTGTATATCTCATTACCTTGGTGGACTATTAGTCATAACTAGTACTAGTAAGTAGTAAGTTAGTAGCCTGTATTTTACTCAACGACTCTCTCTCTCTCTCTCTCTTCTCTCTCTCTCTCTCTCTCTCTCTCTCTCTCTCTCTCTCTCCCTCTCTCTCTCGTTCCACTGTCTCATGTTAGCCCAAGCCCAAAACTATCGAGCTAAGTGATGATGAAGATGATTCATGGATGAATCAAGAACCGTCTGTGCCAGTGACGTCACCAATGTCCCGTATCAAGCGTTCCCGCCAGCCTGTCAAGTACAGTTTTGAGGAGTCTGACGACGATTTGTAGATTTGTACTCGATGTGGTATTGTGTTCCCTCGGATTCTCAGCATCTGTGTGTGTATGAATGTTTTTTTTTGTGATGCAATTTTTATGCTGCTGGTCCAGTGTACATTGGTTTGGGTTGCATGTTTTCTGCACGTCATAAGTATAAGAAGAGTCATAACCCGATGTTGTTTTCACCTAACCATTGTATGTTTTTATTTGCACGACTGCCGGATAGAGATCCTCAAACTCCACGCTGTGTGTATGTAAACAAAAATAAGATTGTTCCTTTTTTTTGTTGGCAATGACATTATTATTAGATTGAATCAACATTAGGATTTCACGTATGAATATTTACTAGAGTTTATCGCGTTATAGTTTGCTTTGCCTTGCTCATAGCCTGGCAATGAATGCTTCATTGCAAAAACTAATACCGGTACATGTACATGTAACTAGCCAGCTGCATCGCCTTACAACGAATGCTGCATTGCGAAACTGATACCTAACCAGCTTGCTTCAGTCAGTCTTGTAGACTACCTTCATATGTGGCACAGTATTAAGGTTAATAATTAGCAATGCTCCTATTCTGTGCACGCAATCCAATCTTTTCTTCTTCTTTAGAAAATGAAAGAAGCACTGATAGAACTTCAATCTATCCTAGGCAGAACACCCAAAATAGACTGACTTAACCCGAGTGAATGTGCATTGTTGGATCCTTAGCGATTCGTGTGGACGCGCGAAAACGAATTTAAACGATACACATGTGACGGTACGAGGCCCAGCACATCGTTTCGACTGTTCAAACATCTCTAAATTTATCCGGCAGAACATTTCCGTTTTCAAATTCTTCCACCTTGCTTGGCCGGCGTTCGGTTTCTTCTGTTATGGTGTACAACTTTATGTTTGGCTCCACGTGTACAATGTAGGGTAAACGAACCGGGGATCTGAAAGGATTCAGATGAGTTTTCATCCCCAGCGTTGTTGTGTAAACGCAACCTTCATAATATCACACTGTATCACACTGTATCACACTGTATCACACTGTATCACACTGTATCACACTGTATCCAATCAACAAAGTCTGGGTCATTACAGTAACAGTTGCGAAACTTTCTCCAGACACAAGTTGTGGTGGCAAAGACAGCAGCATGATTGAGGATATAGACGATTCACTGCCAGCAGTGCTAGGTACATTGGACATTAAACTAATAATGTGCTTGGAGTATGCATAGACTTCAGTATGGACATGAAAACTAATGTTGAAGTTGAAAAGAATGAGAAGAATTCGAAAATGGGTAAGGTATAACTAACTGTACTTACTGTATGCGAGAAATAGATAGCCAAACAGCAATAGTATCGCTCTCATAATAATGTAATACCTTACAGTACCAGTCCCATGGGTACACAGGTAGCATGAAATTGCAAAGGACTACATGGATGTACTAGCCAGTGCTAGCATGAGTATAAATTAATGGAGTTGTACAGTAAGTAGGCTAGCACTCATAGAGTGTTGCTGCAGATGCAATTTTCAGCCTCAAGTCCTTCCTCCAGCAAAGGAGAGGCTGCGTGTCTTTATTCTTCAGCACGTCAAACATGCCATACCGATGCGGACTATCCAGGATGTCTTGATGGAGAAACAAACAACAATACGAAACAACAATAATTACATTTCGATGGAAGACATTCCTAAAAAGAGTCACAACAAAATATCAATGTGGACAGGCCATTGCACATGGAAGAGATCAAATACAGAAAACATCTCCCTTTTTCTACGGTGCTCATACACAGCGTGACTGGGACTCCATGTCTGTTCCTCGACTTAACACAGTATTGTTTTTACTACCGAAGCAAAGGATAACGGCCTACCGGATTGAAAGTCGTCTGTAGTTAGCGGGGTGCCACTGGCCACAGCTGACAGCATTGCCACACCATAGGACAACGACGAAGAAGCCGTTGCGAAGATAGGGAACAGGCGGACGGTCCACAGCGAAAAGTTTGTTTCCTGGAAAGACAGAAATAGTCACCAAATAACATAACAGTTAGCTGCACAGCTACAGGATCCTGCGTGACAAAGTGAGTTCCCAGAAGGCAAACATTCGAAAATAAGCAAACTGAGTCGTGATCCATGATCGTAGTGACGGTAAGCTGTATGGAGCAAAGGGGGCTTCTAATGACAATGAGATTCATACCCAAACAGCAAAGAACAAACTGGGAATACAACTGTAGTCACTATTCCTTACTTCGGCTGACCATAGACTTCTGATATCATCAGCAGGCAAATGAAGGCAAGATGCTACATCACCCTGTACAACACAACACACAACAGCACAATGAAACACACCAAGAGTGAGTGGATTGTGTTGAACTTGAAATGGCTCAACTCTTCTAAGGGAGATATCAGCTTTGAGCTTATTGCCTGCAACACATGCGAACTGCACTATCCAGGGCATACAGAAATTCATTCAAGGATAACATCATATTACCGGTAGGTGCAGATATGCAGTGGTGTTATGCGTACAACTGAGCTGCAGGTGTGCAGAAAGAGACCTGCTTAAATCTTGCTTGTACACACTACATCACTAAATGATGCAATCTAGGAATTTCACCGAGACAGCAACCCATCCGAGGCTTCCGAGCTTCTCACTCTGGGTTTCATGTCAGGGGCGTCGGACACGGTACGGTCACTACGGTATTGACCGTACCACTTTTTGCCCCAAGGTACCCTGTGAATCAATAAAATACACTGATCTGGGATCTAATTTTCCAAAATTTTCTGCTCAACCACCCCTCCTCCACGAGCAAATTGTACTTCAGATGGCTGACCGTACCACACTAAAATACCTTCCGACGCCCCTGCATTTACTGTTGGTTGAACCAAGTTCAGCCATTGCAATGGACTCTGATAGGTCAGTTAGGCGGACTGTGTGAGCTGTATGAATTGTTGCAGCTTGGGAAGCTCCTGGCTTTGAAGTGATTTTCGTCGTGCAATGTATTGCAGTTGGCGGCAACTGCAGCTCATTACATCGATCAAAACCCCAGATTACCTCAAGTACAGTAGTGTAACAGAATGTGGAAAGTCATGTTCAGAATGGAAAGAGTGGCCACTAACCAGTGTCTTGCCAGCGTACTTCAACTCAGCAAATCGATCTGCTTGTGCCTTTGCCTTTGTGCTGTCATGGATACCTGAGACACCAATAAAACAGCATAACGTTACATGTACATGGATTCAGCGCAATGAAACCTACCCCTGCAACACACACAACTTATCATTTACATGTACAGTATGCTTGAAAGAGAGAGAGAGAGAGAGAGAGAGAGAGAGAGAGAGAGAGAGAAAAAATGCGAGCAGGGGAGAGCTTGATCAATTGTTTCAGTTGTGTTTGGAGCGGACACAGTGTTGTACCTGCTACTTACCTAGAGCGACTGTGACATAGCCATGCTGACCACTGGGCGTCTTAACGTCTATTGTGTGCAAGAAAGAATGTGCTGGAATGCTGACATTGTCCTGTACATTGTGGATGAGAAGGAGTGCATGCGAAGGAATCAAACAAACAGCTCGTTAGCAAACATTGCCTGAAGCAAGCAAACAACGAAAAGTGTACATTGCATGTCATAGCGGGAGGGTTGGACTGATGAGGACTGGCTCGTTCAGAACAACGCAGAACGCCATGGGACAACATGCGTTTCTCTCTGCTTCTCTTCCTGCTGGCAATGCTGGCAGTCGTCCAAGAGCACAAGGCACATCATCAGTAAGACCAAGCCTTGGGCGTAGTTCTAAAAAAACACATGTCCAATCCCGGTAGTAATACGCCAGAGGGTGGTGATTAAATTTGTGAATGGCAGCAGTCAGTCGGTCGGTCAGTCGGTCAGTCAGTCAGTCAGGCAGGCAGGTAGGCAGGCATTTTGAGCCCTGGAGCTGGAACAGAGACTTACAGCACAATGCGCCCGGCTAACAATGGAGTTTTCACCGACTGAGACATTGCGTCCAATATGACAATACTCCAGTACCACATGTGGTGATATTGTGCAACTGAGCATAGCACACATGCACACGCACACACACGCACGTCCGCGTGTACGAAGACACCCATACATACACATGCACACACCCAAGCACACAAAAAATACAAAATTAATTCAGGGACAGGTCTGGTCTAAAGCACATGTGAGAAGGCATACAGGAACAAGCAAATTGGATAGGAAAAAAGTTAGAACAAAGTTTAAAAAACAACAACAAACATCATGGATGTGTTTTCACTGCTATGCTACATGCGAGCCTTGTATGATGCAAAATGCATGCACAGCTAGCCGTGTACTGCAGCCTACACCCCTGTTTATGGAAAAATATATGCATGCCCATTCCACAATCAGTCATGGAAGTAACAGTTAGTTGTATGTAGAACTGCAATGTGTCTGGGTGGCCCAGAAACTAGCAGCTACACGAATACAAACATTAAAAACACTACGTAAGGACACAACCTCACATAGCAAAATAAAACTATTTTAATATTGCATGGGCGCACACACCATTGAACACACGAGAAATCAGTTCTTGTAGAGGAGGATAGCACACTTCACTTACCTGTCAAAGTGCTCAAAGAGACATGCCATCAGGCACTGGTTTGGGAAAGAGTGCGCCAAAGGTGCTTTCTTGGCAGCAGCATCACCATCACCTGTACACAAACATGGACATCAATAAAGATAGTGTAGCAGCATTCTAAAGAGCAAGTCACCCACAAAACACGGTATAAACAGCCGCACATTGATCTATACCCGGGCATGAAGATTTTACATGTACATTCACAAGCAAAAGAACAAGCATATGTTCATGGCAAAGTGAACAAACCCACGTTAGAGAACACGGCATCCGTGTATAGACTTGCCATTTGTCCGGTCACCTTCCGTTGTAACCGTTGCAACTTCAACTGCCGAACGCAGCTTCAGGTCACGGCGCAGAACGGGATCGTTGGTGAAATGATGGATGTATTCCTTTGTCGTGCCAATGTGATAGAATGCAGACTAGGAAAGCACAACAATTATGCACATACACATACAAACACACACACACACACGCACACACACATGCACACACACACACACAACATGTCAAACCTTGATGACATTACTACACAGACAAAACTATGGCTGTGTTTACATGAGAAATTTCAACCCGGGTCGAGTTCAGCCCGGGTTGAAAGTCTGTACGATAGACAAAAGAGGTGAGCGTTTACATGAAGACAGTTGACCCGGGTCAAATACTGATATGCCGCCAAAAGTCCACTTCTACAGTCCTGTATGGTCACGTGAATCCGTTCGCGCGAAATTTGCATCTGCAGTGCCGTTCAAACCTGGCGCGAGATACGCACAGAAGTACGTTTGTACGATTTTCTTGACCCGGGTTGATTTCAACCCTCCCCTTGGGGGGAGGGTTGAAATCAACCCGGGGCGAAATTTCAACCCGGGTCAAGCGCAATGCGTCATGTAAACGCGCCATTCACTTTGTGCACATGGCGGGTTGAAATCTGACCCGGGTCGAACTCAACCCGGGTTGAAACGCTTCATGTAAACACAGCCTATGTCTGTTGCATGGAACTGACGTTGCATGGAACTGACAGGTTGGCTAAACTGTGAAAAAATAAATATGATAACTTGGGTAGGATCCAGCTGTTGGGAAATACCCCCCCCCCCCCTCCCGGAATGGTATAATGCACCAATGTTTCAACGCTCCGTAGAAAAAAAGCAATTCTCAAGCATTCTCCTTGTCAGTTTTGTGCCATTTTGTCGCACTCGCTGACTGCATAAGATCTGGTTACGTTGGTGGACAGTTAGTCATAACTCGTAACATGTTGTCCTTCTCCCTTTTCATCATAATTCTCAAGAAGCAATTCAAACAATCTGGTGTTGGGCTGACTGCTCAGCAAACTTTCTCTCTCCCACTCGATTACTCTAAATCTTTACTCTCTCCAGCCAACCTTTCTGTCACAACCTGTAAGGCTACCCATGCTTTGTTTCCACGTGCCGAGCCTTCCCGTATGGCTTTGAGAAACGCTCGTATCGCAACGTTCAATATTCGTGGACTGTGTTCGAACTCATAACAGCAACAACTTGCTCATGATTTGCAAACGTATCGCGCCGACTTCTGTGGACTTCAGGAGCCGAGGGTAAAGGACCCGTTCGACAGAAGTATCAGTAAAACTCACAGGCTAGTGAGCTTTAGCCTGACAGACGACAGCCATGGCGAAATTGGCGGCGCTGTTTCGAACAAATTTGAACCCCACATTTCAAATATCAAAAAAAACCTTTCGGATTGAGTGGGCTGTGTTGACCTATCATTTCCGCAAGCCAAGAACTCATCACTGCCAGTTCAGTTTGTCGTGGCACATGGACCCACGAACCCAAGATCAAAGGAACAGCCTGAGCTCAGAGCTCAGAGACCAGTTCTACAGTGCACTATCTTCGGCATGGAATGGGACAAGCGAACTCTTGTCATCGGAGTGGGAGATTTCAACAGCAAAGTTGGCAGTGCTGTCACCTCGTGTGTCGGAAGTTACAGCAAGGGGACTCGTAACGAGAATGGCCAGGTGCTTGTGGACTGGGCAAACTCGCATCAGTTGCTGCTAGCCAACACATTATTCCGTTATTCAATGCGCTACCGAACGACAGTGACTGGGAAGGTTAAAACAACAATACAAATCGCACTAGAAACATCTACAATATGATTGACTGTGTGGCGGTTCCAGCACATTGTAAGCCTATCATCAACAAGGCCCGATCGTATGCCGGTATAGAAGTGTTCAGTGACCACAAGCTAGTCATCGCTAACATGCTTTTCTGTGAGCCGTTCAAAGTCTTCCAAACAAAATGAAAGGAGTCACCGTATGCTGTTCATGGGCTAGTAGACGGCTCCCGTAGAACGGAATATCGCTCAGCTCTCCAGGCGCGCCTTCAAACAACTAATTGCTGGTGACGAATATGAGCTCAACTAACACACCTACCGGTAAACTCGGCAGAGGGACACTTATACTTTATAGCTCAGTCTCAGATTCCACGACCAGGCAGCACTGTCGACTCTATGCTGGTGGTTGCTGACCTACAGAAGCAACAGCAAGGGTTGCAAGCAAAGCTCTCACAGCTTGGAAATGTACCGGTACCTACTACAGCCCAGCCAGCTGCAGCATCCCTTCCCATAGAAGGTGTCGGTGTAGCTGCGGTCTCAGTCAAGCCCCCTCCCCATACTGGCCTGCTGATCCGCACATGGGTTTGCACAGGCAGAAGCTATGCATAACACACGGCATATAACTGCTCAATGGACCAAATTTGATCTTGTAGTGAGCTCTCTGTCCCCCTAGTTTACGATGAAAGTAACGGACCTGGTCCTTGCCCCTCCTTCCCCTGAGCCATATGATCGGATGAAGGAGAAATTGATCACCCAAACACAAGAATCAGAGCAGAGTGGTTTGTAGAAATTGTTATCCGAGGAAGAGCTAGGAGATTAAAGCCCATCTCAGTTTCTTCGTTGAATGCAGCTGCTGCTGCTCGGTGATGCCACTGTGGAGGATGGCAGCTGTTTCTGTTTCGGCAGTGTTTGCCCTCTTTTGTTAGCATGGTTTGGGCTTCAACGTTCAGCAAATTGAGCATTGCAGACTTGGCTACAACGTCCGACAAATTGAGCCTTGCGGACGTGGCAGATCGAGTATGCGAAATGGCCAAACACATCCACACAGTCTGTGCAAGCTGTTCGCTATGCATCTGCGCCTATCAGAATAATTCACGTTTTCCGAACAATTTCAGTGGCTGGTGCCAAGGTGTTTGAAGAGCCAGACCTATGGGCACTTGCAGGTACTAACCCGGAACATGAGCAACGTGTGGAGGTCAGTGGTGGAAAGCAAGTTGTACACGTCTTGCCTCATCTTCACCAAGCCATCCGTGGCTTTAGATACGTTCACAACATTCGTAGTGTACTGTGCAGAAAGAAACAGAACAAAATACATCCTCACCATGGCCTGGAACAGCCAGAACACCCATACTCAAGACCCTAGCCAACTATCAAGAGTACATAACCCCCCAGAGTGTGCAACTCCCACATACCCTGCTGTCCCGACAGAATTTCAAGTTGATGTCATTATTTATGACGCAATGCTCCTTGCACCAGTGATTTACAACATGTGTACGGGTGTCAACGCATCACACGTTTTTCTTTGCAATAATTTGTACAGGATCGATCGGCTTCGGTCAACCACAGGTTCCGGATTCGTCTGATAATCCGTGTACAGTGCGCATTGCATCATCAAAATGACGTCAACTTGAAATTCTGTCGGGACAGCACCCATAGTGGAGTTGCACACTCTGGGGGGTTATGTACTTTTGCAACTATCCATCCACAACAAAACACACACTTTTATACTTTCTACAAGTAGTAGGATGCATGCTGCCACTAAAGCATGGCACCCGAAGCAACAGCGAGAGCAAGTGCATCGTGTTCATAGAGACTCTATTGCAAGATCGACCAGTAGTCAGGTGCTATGATAGTTCATATACATCGCAACAGCAGCAGCAGCAGCAGCAGCAGCAGCAGCAGCAGCAGCAGCAACAACAACATCTCTTATTGGCCACTGGCCATTGTTAGAATAAAGATTTCGAACAACAACAAAAAAACAGGCAAGCACGCACCGCATCTGACGACTCTTCTCCAAGTGCTTGCAGGAAGTCACCATAGGCATCAATCTCGTCCAGAAGTGGCCGATTAGCACGGTAAAACTGTGTGCAAAGAAATCAAACAACACCAATACCAGCACTTCTAGTTCTACATGACTGTGAGAACATAGAGAGTTGAGAATGATGCAGAATTATGCTCAGCACAACCAATCTACACCATACTGGCTAGTCACTGATTCCACTTTCCAGGGAAACAATTAGGGCTCAAACGGTCACGTGTTTACCCCTAACGGTTAACTGCTAAGCTAACGGTCGGTTTAACGGTTATAACCTATAAGCCACGGCAATCCTGCGGACTTTTTTAACTGTATATTTGACTATACTCAGTCAAAAAATGTACCCTATTCAGTACAACGCACACATGTACATGTACATTCTCTTGCATGCTTATTCATACATACTCTCACACCAAGAGACCAGATATGACCGAGTTGACAGCCCAGAAATTGCGTACGCGTGCGACAGCCTGCGAAAGTGCATACTTTGCAACGACCTGATACTTGAAAAATTGACTGAAAAGTTACTGCGTAACCGTTATCTTTATCGGTTAACCGGTAATTCTTCGTAACCGTTAATTCTTCGTAACCGGTCTGCAACCGGTTAATCGGACTAACCGTTTGAGCCCTAGAAACAATGATACATGCCTGGATTGCCACAACAATATCTATGCACATGCAAATATATTACTCTTACACAAAACTAGACACACAGATACACACAGAAGCATGCTACCTTGCACAGAAGCATCGCTGTGTCGTAATCGAAGAAGAAAGTACTGTCTGTAAATATCTGTTCATGAAGAAGTGGGCAGATGAAAACAGACATGCATGCATGCATGCATGCACGCACGCACGCACGCACACACACATAACAAACTTCAAGTTCCTTCAAAGTACAGTCTGTATCGGCTATAGCGTACCCTTTTGATTTCCGAGATTCTATCACTATAACCGATGCATCACTATATATAATGCGATGTGATCGATTTTTTTCGATCGACACATGAAAGGCAAGGAAATACTTCCAGCTTGGCGTTTTGACAAATGAGCATGCTGCATAGTTGACAGTGCCCGCATTTCCATAAAGAAATTCTGTTATGTACATGTACATGTGTCACTATCAAAATAAGCAACGTGAAGAAAGTAAAAAAATAGGGCCTTTGATATTATTGCTACATGTATTTTATAGTTATCACTATAGACGATAATAATATAGTGTGTTATGCATGTTTTGATTCTTTGTTGCCATCATAATATCCGATATATCATTACATCCGATAATAATGGTTATAGTGATATTTGTACTGGATAAAATACGTTTTGCTTTTGATATTTCGTACCAATATCACTGTAGCCGATATATTCTTATATCCGGTCACTCTATAGCCGATACAGACTGTACTAGTGATTCCCTTTCCTAAAGGACTCTACTTCATCTTGCTCACAAACTCGTACACCGCCACCACCGAAAACCGACTATCAGCTACAATTGTTTGAAGATATTGAGAAACCCCAGGCCAGGTCCATCTTCAGGAGTGGTCCGGAAGATGATTTACCAGCTAGTATCTGCTCAAGAGCAGGGTGTCCAGAAACTGTCACACTACACTGTACAGTGGTTGCCAAGTGACACAACAGCTAGAGGCGATTTACACGACGCTAGTGCATCCCGCCGGGAAATGAAGCACGTGATCCCGAGAGCTTGCCGTGATACGGGAAAAACGATCGATTCACATGGCAGAATGCATGTACAGTACATTGTACCTGCAGTACAAAACAGTCCACAGAATGCCACGGGATGCATTTCCACATTGTGTAAATCGCCTCTTAACGCTCGGTTCATAAACGACTTGCTCACAAGCTCTAGCTTAGTCCATTACGCGAGGGTAGCAGCCAGCTAACTGTCACAAATTAGCACTCCTCGCCGAATGGGTGAAAGAAGAAGCTCCCCTCAGTGAAGTCACTATCACTGAACAGGTGTACGAATTCAGCAGTGGTATCAAAACTCTTTCAAGAGGACATGGACTGGCAGTAACATAGCGGTCACACCCAACACAGCTCATGAACAAACCGTTTCAGATCCCTTGGCAACTGCGCCCTTGCTTTGCATAACATCAATGGATGGCTTGTGTAGGAAGCAGCGGCAAGACTCCATGCGCACATCGCAGCTGGACTGGTTGTAAGCTGAGGAAGACAAGAACATAGCACATTGACACAGTGGTGAATACAGAGACATCATTGCATTGCTTGTGTATGGTTTCTTACTCCTCCTAGCACTTCCACTTACTGAGTAGGATCATACCACAGCCAGTAGCATTGTACCACAGCCAGTAGCATTGTAACACAGCTTGGATGATGAGGAAGCCGTACATACAAAACGTACTTTGAAGTAAAAGCATAGGGTAAGTCCAGACGTCAGAGTGAAGGTTTTCCTATGACCTATACTCTTACAAGAGTTCACACTAGCTGCAGGTGATAGCAACCTACAAAAGAAAGGCCATTACAAGTACAGTCCCCATTGGCATTTCTCACCTTCAATGGCCTCTTCTGGATTCTTCAACACAAACACACCTGTCAAGGAAGGCACGATAGCACAGACTCACAACTTCAGAAATGCCTGCAAACAGTACAGTAACCACACGGAGCTATCATCAGCGTGATAAACACCACATTCTCAGCCAAGCATGTGCATGTAACGTTACAAGTGGACGAGTTTGTAGTGGCTCACACACGTATAGTGTTATGATGACTTCGGGCACAGACATCAACACCGGCATACTGGCGATACACCTACACAGTACACATACATCTCAGCACAACTACCACCACAAGACACCAGCAGTAACCGGGCATACACACAAGGTCTCAAACCCAACTCCAGCTAGCAACCCACCGTGTGTTGTGCCAATTTCCAGCGGTGAAGGGTGAGCAAGAGCAGTGAACCCTTTCCTGTCAAAGGCCCAGTCACCTGGCACCAACACAACAATACAAACAATATGTAGAACACAATAAGACAAACTTTGCATTCAGACTGATGATTGACTAAAGTGGATAGAGTCACCGCTGTACATGCATGCACTTCTGTCTACCTTCTTCCTCCACTGGTAGATCTACTCTACCAAGCTGCCAACATTGAATACACTTGGTGTTCTCAACATACTTCAAAGTACATGATAATTCACTAGCGATCATAACGTCATATTTCAGCAGCATAACAGCTATTTTAGGTTGCAAACTGAGAAAACCACAATATCAGAAGGAAGAGAGTGAAGCAACGATAAAACACAGAGACAGAAGGAGAGAGAGAGAGAGAGAGAGAGAGAGAGAGAGAGAGTGAGAGGAGGGGGTACATTCGGCTTCACTATGCCCATAACCTCTCCGTAATCACTCAATGGCTATTCTTGTACAAGGCACAGAAACACACCTACAGATTGCAGAGCTACGTGTCTGCATGCTACAAGTCTGCATGCTACTGGTATTCTAAGAACACGGTCAGTAGCAGCAGCAGAATACGTGTGTTATCAATGAGAAGTTCATTACTCACCAGAGTATTTGAAATCCAACAAGACATCGGCACAGCACAAAAAGATCTGAGAAGCAGAAAATATGCACACGTACACACGAATGAAGCAATATATTAACAGACATACGAAGGATGCGCCCAGTGTGCTGAAAGTGCTCGGATACCGCACGGGTGTAGAGCTGAGCACAACAGAACAGTAAATAGAGCCCTTGCCCACTGTTCTATTATATTAGCAAACACATGTGCACACAAACCAGAGAGTAGAAACACGTCCAATGAGGACAAAGGCTGCTACCAGGGAATTCAGACAATGGAATCTTATAAGTATATGTACAACTTGAGTACAAAAACATAGCAAGCATGTCCACAGTACTATCCATAATATTACTTACTCCGGGCAACATGCGCTTAGGAAACACAGAGAAGACTTCCATGCAGAACTCAAGACATGTCATGACACGATCACCTAAATGATCAGCACAAAGATATGCATGCACAACAAAACAGTTTTTCACATCCCATGCAATTAAGTGTGAGATGTATCAAGCAGTCAACAAACCAAAACAAACTCAGCAGCATCTCTTACTGATGCGGCTGTCTATAACTGTATGTCTGTGAACCATATTTCGTGTCACATGTAACAATAGCCAGGTGTGCGCTACATCATATTTCCAAGTGGCAACACCATCCGACTTCACTGGACTTAGCACAATGACCACTGCATGCACATCACTGAATTTACCGTATTTTCCGGAGTATAGTGCGCATTTTAGATGTGCTATTTTAGGCCCTAAATCGCAGGTGCGCACTATGCTCCGAATATGAAATGCATGCACTTCAATGAAGATTGAAGCGCGCACCCCCAATGAAGATTGGGGGTGCGCGTTATACAAAGGTGCGCACTATACTCCGACAAATACGGTACACACGCTGGGCACTGCACATCATGGGACTTACCGATTGGCACTAGACCGAACGCTTTGCCCAGGACACTGACATGCGGTAAGCGCTGACTGAAACCACCCGCATGTATGAGAAGAACACGATCTGAAGAAGAAAAAGAAGAAAACACAACAAAGACAATGATGACACAAAAACAGTAATAATACTGGAATGATCGGAGCAGTAGTAGCCGTGGGAACCAGCAGCAGCAGCAGCAGCAACAGCAGCAGCAGCAGCAGTGGTTTGAGCAGTAGCAGCAACATCAGGACACCCCAAAGTCTACCACAGGACTTCACACAGGTAGAGAAAAACTGGGATATGACAGAAGCCACACAGTTGGGACAACCTCTCACCGAACGATACACTGATAGAAATATACTCCCAAATTTGAAATAACACTGACCATCATCTCCATCTAAGTAAAAGTGGGGAGGCTTCCTGCAGGTTCATAAACAGTTAAGAGTAGAGCCCACACGCTCTCTTCCATTAACACTGCAATAGTTCAACTCATTTCACAATAATTATTCCAACGTTTCGGCAAATTGCCTTCATCAGGTTCACAATGATGTGCAAGCTCCCAAACCAGCATTGATAAAGGCCAACAACAAATTATCTCCATGCTACAAGTTTGAGAGTAGGATAATCACAATGGAATTTTAGCATAGACATGCATGGGCACTTGACACACATGGCGTTTTCCCATGAAAACCAGGGTCTTGCCAAGTACATGTACATGTAGTAGGTGTGTTGCTTACAATTCTTGAGCTTTTCACCATATTTCTCATCCAGCACACTGACGACTTCCATTGTTGAGCCACCATTGCCAATCTTAGCACCAGGAGGATCAGCTACAACCACATACCTAGTAACGGAGAAATACGCAAACACAAGACAAAATAATGTCGACAGTATTTCGGAAATTGGCGCTGGTCTTTTATTACCGCCTGTCTGAAATACCGGTAAGCGCCACATCATTTCAGGGCTTTTGTGCGGATTTTTTTCAAGTTGGGTAAAAAGATTAGGGCTTGCAAACTACTAAGCGCCTCGGCCAGTATTGTGGAAAACACGGCATGTTTAGCGGGTTGCGAGGACAACATGATTGCGACTCCACACAATCACCTGCTATTGACCTTCGATCTCACACTGGCTAATATTCACGTGTGCCCTCTTTGCAAAAGTATCGTGAAGAATAATCCATCACAGACATTACACAGCAGAGTTGTTGTTGACTTGCGAAAGTGCTCAACCCACGAAGAGGAGCCTGCGAGTAACAACAATATAGAGTTTCCCACCATTGTGAACTAGTGTCACGGACATTACATAGGCAGCTTGGAGCACATAAAATTCATTCCATTCCAGTATCTGCTGCGATGTATGCACTGTTTCAATACACAACTTGAGTCATCAGAGAATCAACGGAATCGATTTTCACTGATTCTGATAATTATGCAGAGAGAAGACCTCACATGATTTACACATTTGACACATGCTCCCTCCAACCCACTTGCATCTGCGACCCGTATACAACCGATTTGTACAAGGAGTCGTATACACGACGTGGTCTCACGATTTTCACAAGTGGAGCACGAATAGAATTCACGACAAATTCCACTTGCTTGTTAGAACCTTTGTTCACATAGCTGCAGTCCACTAATTCAAGTCATTAGAAAGTGTGTCTAGAATGTGTGCAAAATGTGTACTCAAACATGCCCAGTGAGACTGGAGCTTATGTATAGCCATATAGGTGGACTATGCCCCAAGCCAGCTGCTACCTGCACATGTACATGTACAGGCAGCAGCTGTGCATCCAGATAGCAAAGTACTTACTCGCAAAACGTCGGCAGCTGGTCTTTCATACTCTCCAGTTGCTCTTCAAACGCTCGCTGTTGCACGTTGTCAGACGCAGTCAGTACAACAACATCATAGCAACGTCTTCACATCATCAAGGACAAGAACAACACACACACACACACACACACACACACACACACACACGCGCGCGCGCGCATACACACATCAGTAGGCACAAAAACAGACACTCCAGTATACTGCAAATTACGAAAATACAGGGATCAGGTAAGTACATGTACATGTACGGCATGTTCACTAGTGCTACTGCTATGCCCACGGAGCTATGCCCACGTACTCGTAGCTAAGCCCGTCTGCAATGGCATCATATCAAACCAGCTAAAGGTGGCAGATAAGTTAACAATTTCCCTAAATAGACTATTGCTATACTGTAGTGAACATATGTGTGTTGAGGTGACTGTTTGTCTGATAACCGCTCCATAGTGAATTTTAGACACACCACAATGCACCCGCACGTAGCACAAGCCAACACACTCTCTTAGCACCACACAAGAGAGGACCGAGAGAGTTCTTACGTATCCATTATTCTACTTGTTTTACTCCCATTAACAACTCCACACGTCTTGGTCCCATCTTTTGTGATAGATAGTAAGGTGTAGAAATAGAATGTTATATTATTATTATTATTATTATAGTCCTGGTGGTGACGGTCAATTTTTTCTTCAGACTTTTCCCGTTTGTCTCTTTCCCTCAAAACCAGTTAATATTATTATTATTATTATTATTATGACGGATAACCCAAAGGCAATGGCACCTAAATCAGGGGGTGTCTCTGGACCAAACATACATTGGGTTGCGACACATAGGTGTTCCACACAAATACAATAGAGGATCCACAGATGGGTAATGGTCAGATAATAACCATACAACTGTTGAGATCATGCATCATAATCAAATATTTCAATTGTATTGTCATTGCCCTATTGGTCGTGAGTCATCAGTGCACTGCATATGGCTATCCTTGGTCTTTGGTAACGTTTTACCGACATTTTCATTTGAGAATTCAATTTGAAATTGCCACATTTTTCAAGTCCATGTGTATACCAAGCAAAGAATCACACCAAAGTCGATAACATCGCACTGCGATATACCCTCATCATATGAATTCTTTGGAAATACATATTCTCAGAAGATCTTGTCACTTGAATTGATGTCAAAAGTATTCTGATTTTTCGCTTCAATCTCACCCGTCATCCGACGATACGCCGCCTGCCGCACTCATTGTATTGTTAAGCCCAGCGATAATTGCTACGCCAATTATTATTACACGATATGTGCCAAGATTGAAATAGCTTTCGAATACTGAGTACACAGCAGTAATTCCAGATATAAACCAGATAAACAAGATGTGTTGTTCATGTTTAGCAGCATCAGGATTTGAGTCGAGAACTTGAAAAAAACAATTATATATTACCGGTATTTCAATATTGAAATTTGCGCAAATCCCCGCAAAATGCTGCTGATTTCACGTCACGTGCGCGCGATATCCAGGAAACTTTTGAAACACCTGCCTTTTCAAACTTCGAATTATTTGCTGAACTGGGTGGATGGATTATTTCGAACTGCTGACTGTGTTGTGTCTATTGTCACAATAACAATAACAAAGCTACTTTGTTCCTGAGATATCTGGGCATGGATCAGCCATAACTATACTCTATAGTTTTCAATAATGTGTTGCACTTTATAATAACTCCATTGCGTTTACTTTTTGAAGTATCACTGTAATGATTGGTTTGTGAACGAACTTTGAATTGACAAGAAAGTACATCCAATTGATTCTGGTGAAGATGGCTCAGGTTGGAGTTGACAAATCCCAGAAATATGACCGGCAGCTGAGGTATGATAACTTTTGTGTGTTTGATGATGATGATGATTACCTAGTACCTTTGCACATGTATGAAACACGAAGATTTCTCAACATTATTGAGTTGAAGAAAATTGAATTCAAGTTTTGTAGTCTAATCAGACCACCAAGCTCCAAAATTTAACAAAACGTAGAAAACTCGGATGTTGAGCCAATAGTAATATGTATTAATATAATTATATGTAGAAAGGAAAGAGACATTATGGATACGAGTTAAGAGTAACTCTCCATCACTGTAACATGATACTTTATACAGTCAGAAAGTGCAATAACTAGGCACAAAACTGACACGTATCCATAATGTCTCTTTCCTTTCTACATTTATTTATGGCTCAACATCCGAGTTTTATAATATAATTATGTTAGTCATAACTAGTAACTTTCAAATATTGGTCCTTTTTCTCTTTACATAAAACGTAGAAAGTTTATACATTAGAGAGTTTGGAAGCTTTGTTACAACTCTGAGTTTCATGTAGAAAGTTTATTATGTACTTGGCATTCTGTTCCTTGGGTAGTGCTTATATTGTGTAAAAAATGGGGGGGGGGGGGTCACCGATATCAGAAGAAAAGATGACCAAAGAGCTACGAGTCCACCAACACCACCGGTTACGTTACAATCAGCTCATGCGATAACATTGCACGACACTGACCAACGGTCCTGATGTTCTGCACCTGACTGGCAATCAGCTCTAGCACATCTTGGATGCGCACTCCAACAGCCTTCCAACTTGGAAGATGAGCCGTCCTTACCTATACGGCAAAACGACCGTCGTATGAAACTGCTGCTTGTTACTGCTGCTCATATTTCCATCTAAATTGTCTTGGTCAAAGTACTGGACTATAGTTCTGAGGCGTTCGGTTCTTCACGATTCATGTTCGCTTAGCTTCCCCTCCAATTGATCTTCCAATCTTTACTGCCGAGGTTTTCAAGCCCCAAGAGAACTTCTCCAGACATACAGACAATGACGATGTGACAATGGGGCATGCAGACCCCTTCCGAAAAGCTGCTTCTCACCGTTGGCGGAGATGACCGTGAAGAGGCATGTTGCATCCGAGGCATAGCTGCAAATTGGTTGCTCCGGAAGAACATACAATCATGTGAAATTCACTCTGCTCACAGGTGGCTGTAATTTGGACAATGTCGGCCCTGTTGCTGAGGTCTGTGGTCTCCAGGTCGAACACTACCCAAGGTAGTGAGGTAGATTCACTGTCAAGCTCCTGGTGCTGTACTTGGCCGGTGTGACCAATCCACAAATGAGAGTTTGGGTGGCACTTCATGAGTTTGACATACCGGTGTATGCGCATACAATTTTAAGATCGCAATCAGCAGGACACGCTGTATCGACACTTGTTCTCCCAGTTGTGATTTTTAAAATTGTTATCTCCTTGCCGTTTCTTCAAACACTTGCACACTCGTACCTCGTTTATTTGGGCGGTCCGGGACCGGGCACTGCCCGTAACTTTGAAATGTCCATAACTCCGAAGCACATACATTTTGATGGGGAAAGGCCATAGATATGGCATGGGACGTCACTATTTCCACGAAAAATGACAAAAGGGTTGTGGCATTTCCAATTTCTCAAGCGAACCGTGAAATTGTTTGTATCATTTCGGTTTTATCACTCTTCCATGTGTAGACTGTGGGGTGATCATGGGCAGAAGGCACTGGAGTCATCTCATGTTTGCTTAGTCAACGCGTCATCCGTTGGTACCGAGGTGCTGAAGAGCCTTGTCCTGCCTGGTATGTTGTTAAAAGGAGTAGCTATGTTATGTGCATGTGGGTGTGTGGGATGGCTGCAACTTAATGCTGATACTTTTCAAGTTACTAGAAGAAGGTGGCTGCTCCCAACGTTGGAGCTTGGGTGTTTCAAGTTACTGGACTAGTAAATGGCCCGGTCACGTCTTACAAGCACAGCTACTACTAGCATACCACCACAAGTGATATCCATTTATTATTAATATTTATTTTATTTTATTCGAAGCAATACATGGCTGGGGTAGCCAATGACCACTTTGCGTGGCGATTGAAGGTTTTTTTATAGCCAACCACGGCTAACAAGGAAAAGAGTAACATGTCTGCACATACCGTCCCTACTACTGAAGTAGGACACACCCCGTCCGAAAGGTCTAATGCCAGTAGTATATTATGATGTATGTTTTACAGGCTACTGTAAAGCATGCTGCAAGTTGTTTTCACTGACATTAAGTAGCCGTGCATATAGCATTTGCTCTTGCTTGCTGCTAGTTGCTGCCCTCGTTATTGATTGTGTTGACATGGATTGTGCTCTTCTGATGTGTGTAGGTCTTGGCAAGTTTTCTATCGTTGATGAGAACCGTGTCTCAGGCGCTGATGCTGGATGCAAGTAAGCAGTGCACGGATTACAACCATGTTAGCAGATCTTTTGTGATTCGTTATTTGTACTTATGAATGGTAGGTCAATTTGAATTTGCCTTACATGATCTGCCGCGCACATAGGCACAATGATGACAGGCATTGATCAGTTCATGAATATGTCCTACGTATGGGCCCAGTACTGTCAAGTCTCAGTGTATATTCACCTTCACTCAGATCATGATGGCATTACCCTTCTCTGGGCATCTTCACCGCTCTGCCATTCAATGTTTTATTTTGTGCAATATCTCTGCTTTGTATCCTTGCAGCTTTTTCCTACCTGCCTCTGAGATCGGAAAGGTATTGGTTATTGGCAATTGTCTATGCTTTGCACGTCCGCTTGGAAGCATTCTGTCCTGCAATGACGCTTGTCATTCTATCCTGCACTCCGTCTCCTCCCCGTTCTGTAATATGTGTGATAACACTCACCTCATCAGACTGCGCAATGAAGATCCATATACTCACATGATGTAAGTGTGGTTTGTAACAACGGGAGTGTGAACAACACAGAAGTGGGTGCCAAAAGTGGAAGTGTGGAGCACCTACTTTAAAATAATCCGGCATGATAACTGTATTGGCAATGGATATTATTACACGGAAAAGAAAGGAAGTAAGAAAACAGCAGTGGACAGGCTCAGCCACGTCAAACCAATGAAACATTCCTTGAACTTGTCATTGCCATTGTAGTCGTCACGTTGCATATACCCACTCCTTTGTTGGTCACACTCCCGTTGTCGCAAACCACACTTTGGCATCTATTATGTGAGCACTGTCATATGGTGTTGCTTCTCACAATGTTTTATATATTTTTTATGAGTTCTTTGTACAGTAGTAATGTGTTTATTGCTCCAGGTTTCATTTCAGTGTTGTACATGCCGCACTGCTTAATCCAATGTGTTCCTACGTATGGCGTATTTGTACAAGTGCAGTCTCGTGCTGAAGTGGCATGCAAGTACCTATGCGAAATGAATGAGGATGTAGAAGGCTCGGCAGTGGAGTTGGTAAGTCCTCCAGTACATGCACCATCGATAGATACTTTCTTTCCCCCTGTCCTACTGTGGGGAATAGTTTACGTTTGTATGCTGCGTATTAGCTAGACAGTTTCTGCAACATTCTGGCTGATGCCTCAGCTCCCGGATTCTCCTTGCTTGGTGATTTACTGCCTGTCTGACTTGGCATACCTTGAATCACTGCCCTATTTTTTATGTGTGCATGGCCGGCAGAGCACAGAAAACCTCTTAGCTAAGGATGTGGACTACTTCAAGCAGTTTTCATGTGTCATCGCAACGCACCTGCCAGAAAGGTAACTTGCAGTGAGGATATCAGCTACAGTCAACTTCGCGTATAACGACACTCCACGGGGCATCAGAAAAGTGTCCTTATTCGCGAAGTGTCGTTATACCCGAAGTCCCATTATATGTATTACAGTTGGATGGGACTTTGCTCTGGGCATGGAAATTCTGTCGTTATTCGCAAATTGTCGTTATATCCGCAGTCGTTATTAGCGAAGTTGACTGTACTACTTCAATATTTCTGTCAAGGTGCCTGTATGCTTGTGTTGAGAGGATTGCGGGTGTGTTCAGGGTGACTCCTTATACATGTATGTGTACTGCTAGGATGTCTTGCATTGTTGTAACGGACATAATACGTGATACAGTGTACAGTACATGAAATAAGGTAGTTGGGTACTACTACTTGTAGTCCAGGTATAGACATGTTCAATCATGTGACGGCAGCCAAAAAAGAAAGGATCTGGTGCCTGAGATGACTGCTGTCTGAAGACATGTGGCCTCATTTTGTAGTGTTTGTATATGGACGGTACTGTATGTACTGTATGTACTAGTACAACGTCTTGCTTGTCATTGAATAGGGCACTAGCTCCAGTGTTTGCGGGTTTTACACTTGTGCTCAGGGATTTGGTTCGGCTATCTGAAGCTTGTTGGCGAAGCAACGTTCCCCTGTTGATCGTACAGTGCTGTGGCTTTGTTGCCTATGTGAGATTACAAGTAGCAGAACATTGTGGTAAGTATGCCCTGACATCATGAAATGCTAGAGGACATTGGTGTTGTCGTTCTTTTTGTTGGTTTCTGCACCTGTTATGCCCACATGCACCGTTTTCTGGGGCCCTTTACACGTGATATCTCTCTATTGACACACAGCTTGCCGCTTGTTATCTATATCTTATCACATGAGCTGTTGGAAGCAACCACGCTATGGACCATCCATATTAGTACATGACTTTTAAAAAGAGACCCAGTCCTAATAGAGCTGAGACTGCATCAACAAGAGAAACTTCTCGTCCTTGTTTGTCTTGCTATGCTCTTTCCCGGAGTAGGGCTGTCCATTGGCATTGATACCAGTATGTAGATTTTTAAATTCTTTTCGTCATGACTCCTCTTGTTTTTCATTCTTGTTTCAATGTGTATTTCCGCAGTGGTCGAAGCTCGTCCTGACAATGCACCAGAAGACTTGCGGCTAGATCGACCATTTCCTGCGTTGACCGAGTTCCTCCATACTCAAAACCTTTCCACTATGGATCGAAAGGTAATGTGGATCAGGCCCGTCCCTATTTTTTAGTATAATTTCTTTTGGTATTAGGAAAGGGTTTGCTCCCCACACTGGAGCTCGCACTATTCCGCCAACTTGACTTGACACTTGACTGACTCACGACTGCCATCCAGAGCACACGAGAAGTCCATCGAACCTTCGACTCGGCAAACCGGCAAGAAAGCACCACTCCCTGCTCAATACACAGTATTTCGGGAAATTCACCCTCATCAGTTGAGAAACGGAGCGTCCCTGTAAGTTTGTATCCCTGGTGATGTTTGGGCCTGGAGAGCACTATATAATTGATGCTCTTCAGGCACAATCTTCCTCAGCCCACTCAAGCTCAACTGATGAGGGGTGAACTCCCCGAAACACTGTGCATTGAGCAGGGAGTGGTGCTTTCTTGCAGGTGTGCCGAGTCGAAGGTTCGATGGACTTCTCGTGTGCTCTGGACGGCAGTCGTGAGTCAGTCAAGTGTCAAGTCAAGTCGGCGGAATAGTGCGAGCTCCAGTGTGGGGAGCAAACCCTTTCCTAGTAATCATCGCTGAAGTCGCAACCACTATTTTGTTCTTTTGGTATCATGCTGATGTTGCACGTTGAATCACGTATATCACTTGTATATGCTTACTGTACTTGGACTTGGTAAGTGTGTGTTTTTCTTTGCATTTTACTTTTTAAATTAGAATGGTCAGGGGTATTGCGATACCGGTAACTGGCTCCGTCTGTCTCTTCTTTCTTGGGTGTGTACATTTTCTGCAATTTGGGCGTGCATTTTCTCATTTGTGTTTCATTCCTTTCCGTTGCAGACTCACTCTCATACGCCATACGTTGTACTTCTGCACAAGTTTTTGGAGCAGTGGAAGGAAGAGGTACATGCAGTAGTGTGGTGTTGCTGTGGTGTTCGGTATCGGTGTCATCGGCACAGTGTCGGTGATTGTATTGTGCTTCTCTTGGGTTACATTTTCCACTGTATCTTCGAATATTGAGCTGTTGACAGCGGACTGTCTTGGCTGATGCAAGTAGTTCTTTGTCCCCTCCGAGTATTGTCTACCTACAAGTAGTCAACTACTACTGATACTTGTACCTGTGTCTATCCTGACATGACTGCCTGGCTGTGTTCTGGGGTTTTTTTGGGTTTTTTTGTATAGCGTTATCTCGGCTTGCATGTAATGTGCATCTTCTTTGTGTTCTGTAGCATGGTACATCTATGCCATCCAATTACAAAGAGAAGACTGAATTCAAGAAGATGCTCAGAAAAGGTGAGGGCCTTGTAGTGAATTCTCATTCTTGACTGCGTTGTCACGGTGCTCGATTTTAACACCTACGTAACCGGAGCAGTGGGGAACGACTTTGTGCACCTGAAGCTTTGCCTGGACCTATTTGCCCAGTATTTCCCAGGCAAGTTTTACCTATCCATTGGCCGTAGAAAGCTATGCCAATAGGTCGCAGTGTATGACATTTCTGGCAATGGAAGTCCCGCTTCCCTCCAACTGTGAACATTTCCCTACAGGGTTTTGATGTGGTTATCAACTTATGCCGTGCAGCACCAACATTCTTCTTCAGAATGCTCATGTGTTTTTTGTTTTATTTTGTCACCATCACTGTTTAGGTATTCAAGTAGATGAAAACGGTGTTCCGGCGGATGAGGAAAACTTTGATGAAGCGCTAGCCAAGGCCAATGGATGCCTCAAGCTGACATCAGTAAGAACTGCACGTCATCGTAATTGCCTATTTAGATAGAGAGATATTCTTTAATGCAGTACATGCATCTTTGCCGTCCACACCAGTCTAGGACACAGCAAACAGATTTGCTTTATTCCCTGTATGAGGCCATGAGAAGGGAACAAAAACGTTTGGTTCAGAAAATGTTCGCGATATTCTTCTTTACTTGTGCAAAGTGCGTAAAAATAACTGATACCGTAATATCGCGTAAAAAGCAGATGCTCATGGCCGTATAAGCCGGGGTTCAAACCATGCTTCTATTCAAGTTATGCTTCTATTCAAAACCTGCTTCTACGTCAACATCAGTCTACATTGTGCAGTGCATGCTGCCACGCATGTACTGTGCAAGTACATGTACTTGCACGTGTATGTTGCAGAGAGCAGCTTCTATTCAAATTGTGCTTCTGTGTCACGGCGAGCTTCGAAAAATCAGCTTCTATTCGAGTCATGCTTCTATACAGATCGTACTTTTATACGCGACACTAAAGTAAAAGTTTAAGGAAGAATAACAAGAGACGTCCAGAGAAAAATGTGATGCGTCTAACCCACCTTTATGCTAACAGTTAAAGTCCACCAGGAATTCACAAGAAAATACTCAAACTTGTAATACTTTTGTCGGCAAGTAAAAGTTGATCAGCGAGAGTGGCTTGACAACTTCAGTAGGAAACGGCAGTAAAAATTGATCATGCCGAGAAACTCACGTAGCTGACGTAGAGAGGTTAGTGGACGCAACTTCTTCATTGCTTGCAGATGCTCAGTTGTAGGTGTAATGCCATGGTGACTGGCAGTGTGACTGAGGAAGGTGATTGTGAATATGGAGAAAACACACTTTGCAGGATTGATCACCAGACCATGTTCTTGTCGATATGCGACAACCAAGCACACATGTTTGCAATGTGTCTCAGGATCCGCACTTGCTGTTAAAGATGCCATCAATGTAGACGAAGCAGAGGTCCAAACCATACAGAACCTGGTTGGCGAACTGGTGAAATGACTAGGCTGCATTTCGTAGTCGAAATGACATCACTGTTGCTTGTAGTACACTGCATGCAGGCTAGTGCAGCAGTGCGCAAAACACTGCATCAACACAATAATAGAACAGAAAAGTAAGTCCAGAAAATGCAAAAAAAAACATAAGAGCAAGAGCCCAAGAAAAGTCTTTCACAAACACCAAAAACACGCAAATCAAATAGACGATCCGCCGCAGAGGTGGTGCAGGTCCGGAAGCAGTGCGTCGGAAGTGCTTTTTCACATGGCTCCTGACTATCGGCACCACCTCATACAGAAATTTCGAAACACTACCATGCTTCTCCTCAGGAGGCTCGAAAAGGTGCTGTGTCACTGTCTCAACCGAACCCGTCTGGCACGGTGTAACTACGGGTTCAGCACAGTAGCCGCCATTACTGACTGGCCTTGGAATTTGACAACTGACTCGAGATGGACGCCTTTGCACAGGGTGACACACAGCGAAGGTTTTCTCGCCATCAAATGGGAACCTTCCTGTGGGTTTGTGGGTTTCTTTTTTAATTTATGAAACCCACAGGGAGTTTCCAACACTCTGCTCATGTGCCTTTTGATAAACTGTCTACATTGCATGCTGTGTCTTTCAGGTGCCAAGTGACGTGCTTGCTATCTTGCACGACCCATGCATGGAAAATCTCAGTGCTTCTGTAAGTATATTGTTAATGAACAAGAAAACAGTATCCTTCTTGACCTCTGCTGGCCTGGATAGGACATTTCATGTGGTGAATGCTATAGCTACTCGGTCTGGATGGCAGACACAAACAAAAGTCACAAAGTCCTCTTTTTATGTGTTCCTTTGAATCCTTTCACATTCTTTCCCCTGCTTCATGACAACATACCAAGCAGACTCTCTGCTGCTCGTTTTCATTGTTGCTGTGAACATGTTTTTCTTGCAGTCCTCAAACTTCTGGGTATTGGTGAACGCACTAGGTGTATTTGCAGCAGAAGAAGGTGAGAAATTGAGACCACACGTATGAAGTGCGCCTCCTGGAAGTCTTTTATTGACTTGAATTCTGTGTCGAGTGTGAAGTTTTTTTGCATCTTTTCAGAAGCTGCTTTTAATGTCATCTGCATGATCTGGGGATGAGCTGACTAGAAGCAATGGGCCAAGCTTACTGTGCATGTGTCTGTGCTTGTAGTGCAGCTTTACCCGATACACTCATGCAGTTTGGCACACTGGATTAAGTAATGACCCATGTTTTCCTTGAGCCTAACCCATATGCTGAGTCTCGTGTGTGTGTGTGTGTGTGTTGTGTCCCTAATCCTTGCTTACTGTGCAGGATGTCTTCCATTGCGTGGCTCACTGCCAGACATGACAGCGGATAGTGAGCGCTACATCACCATCCAGACCATGTAAGATTTCCAATCCACGCAGCATGGACGGTGCATGGTCACGCCTTAGCCAGCCTCGAGGACAATACAACTACAATGTGGCAGTGTTTTACTTCTTCGCATGTGCAATATGATCCCAGTTGGGTTTCAGCCCTGCTCAGTGCTGGGTGATAATGAACACATCTGAAATCTCAAAATTACTGATATCGGTTTGACTGACCCTAGCCCTTTTATTTATTCTCGCTGTATATGAATAAGACTCGTTTAACAATCATTTGAAATCGTGTTCAAGCAATTATTCACAGCTGTGCTGTGTCTTGGAATGCTCTGTCATTGGTTGTAGCTATCGACAGAAGGCAGCGGAGGATGCAGATCGTGTGTGGCGCCATGCACAGAGTATATGTCGGGAACTCAAGAAGGTTAGTGCAAAGGCCATGCTGCTGAGCTGTGCTGTGCACAGTGTGCTCTGCGAACGATATACAGTGTAGGAAGTATGTCATGAAGTTCTTTATTCTCAGTATTCCGTTCGGCACATCCTCTGGGCTGGCGCTCTCAAATGTGTTGACCCGATACGGACTAAAAAGGCGGCGTGGAGACCAGCGTTAACGATATTGACTGCACACGTTATGCTACTTGATATTGCTTCTGTAGTGTACTAAGGTCACACTAAGCAGGTTCTTGTGTAGAGCTCGTGTCCGCTCGAAGGTGCGGATTGTCTGCAGAACGTGCAATATGTGTACAAAGCTCGTGTCGTATGACCTACAGGCCTCCTCCACAATACGACCACGAAAGGACGAGATGGTGGGGCGCTCTGGCGGTACTTTACGGTACATGCAGTCTGCTGTGTGTTATCCTGTCATGAGTGTTCTGGAGATTGTCATTCAGGCCTACTATCTAGTATGTTTTCCTGTGTGCGCCTAGCACCACTGTTAGCTCCTTGCTAACTCGACTCCTTTCAACATGCTGTAAGAGGAAGGGAACAGTGGGACCACCCCTGCAAACCAATTTGAAAATACTGTCCCACAGTTCATTGCTGTTGGTTGATTTTGGTGCTTTCAGGATCCGTCGTCGATATCGCAGGAAGAGACCAAAGTGTTCTGTAAGTTGAGACACGACAATTATGAGCATGGTTCCACTTGGCTTTTATGCAAGGTTTTACATGGCATACAACCTCCGGCTTGTCTTATATTCAATGCCCGAAAAATATCTTCCAAAAGCAAATAGATGCTTATCTAGGGAGTTTTGTGTGGTGAAAAGGGGCATAGGGTGGGGTTTAATTGGAGTGAGGGGAAGAATCGAAGATATCGAATTTATTATGCTCCAGTGTAGGCCGAACGTAAGGTTTATACAAGAGGGAGATGACAGTGGGAGGAAGATAAGGGGACATACGCGTAAGCAGAAACACTCTATTGGGTGTCAGGTCTATACAAATTTGTATTAACCCACATGCGTGCACCTGCCACCACACACCCAAGTGTGCGTGCACACACCCGCTAGGCCTTACGGCCAAGCATAATAATATTATGTATGCACACACACCCGTGACCGGAGGGTGTACCCAGTGTGCTGACAGTGCTCAACACCGCGGAGGCACACACACGCATGTATTCCACATTGCAATATGCTTGCCAAACTGGCTCGTACCCGCACACCAAGCATAGAACCTAGTTGTGGGGGTTTGCCATTATCTTTTTTTCACATTTGTCACTCTTTGAAATATCACCAATGATAGCAAATTGCCATGTTAACAAGAGCCATTGGGCACAACAAGCCAATGCATGGCTCATAATTCTTATCGCCTCATTAATCGCACAGCACGGCAATTTGTACTTCAGAAGTAACAAGCACAATTGGCAAAAATGTCACCCGGCAACAGCAAACGGGTACGCCGTTACAAACATGGTACCCCGGCAAACTCAACGGGAACGCACCAGTACAAACACGGCCCGGCAACAGCAATCGGATACACCGTTACAAACATGGTGCCCCGGGCAAACTCAACGGGAACGCACCAATACAAACACGGCCCCGGCAACAGCAAACGGGTACGCCGTTACAAACATGGTGCCCTGGCAAACTCAACGGGAACACACCAATACAAGCTGGCCTGGCAACTTCAAATAGGCACAAGTGAGAAACTACGGCACCCAGCAACAGCAAATGAGTGCACTGCTACAACATCAGTCCACCACATCAATATGCCGCTGCCACAACATTGTAGCAGCAACACAGCAGACATGTATAATTATGTGGCCCTCCCGGCACAGGAAGCTATTGCAAAAGGGAGGGAGGGAGGGAGAGAAATTACCAGCCTGACACGGAAAGCACTTCTTGTCCAATTGAAAAGGCACACCAAACTGCATTCGACTAGCTACTGCGGCGCACATAAAGGCAACAGTAGCAGCAGTGCAAAAAATGCAAATTGCAGACCATACTCGGCGCAGAATAATACTTTATGACATGCATCGTGAGACCATCACTGCGCATGTGCCTGCGTGGGCTAGCTTTGATACTCAAAGCCGGCATTTATTCTTTCGAAGATCTCATTCTGCTGCCTTGGTTCTAGGTGACTGGAATATGACATGCGCACACTTGCGAACGTTAAACGTGGAACCAGTGTGCTAAGCCCAGGGGGCACAAGCTGCTAAGTCGGTATCCACTTGGGATAAGTGACTTGAAAGGGTGGTGTTCAGAGGGGATACACACAGGATATTTATAGCATCATCCACAAACAAGTTGAGTTTGTTGGCTATGACAGTTTGTAGGCTGTCAATCCCGATGTTGAAGGGGGGGGGGGGGGGGGTAAGTGAGAGACCTGCAGCACTCCTGCTTCAGGGGGCTGTAGGATACACGAGCATCACATGTACGCAACCAGCATTGTCAATAAACTCTAGCTCACGAAATCACACACCGCCTCGAATGGTCTCTCCCCTATATAAATTGGAATAATTTAGTTCTGAAGATGGCCTGCCTCAAAACATTGGATAGCAAACTGTTTTATTTTTACGATTTGTAACCGGGAGACTTATTTTCGGTGGTGTGTGATGTGAGCAAGATGAAGTGGCTGCAGTGCAGTCTTTTAAACACCCTAAGAACAATTAATTCCTATGCTCTAAGACAACATGTGGGAATTGTTCTCTTTGCTTTTATGTTCTCTCTTCAGGCAAAAACGCGGCCTTTTTGCGCGTGTTGCGCTCTCGATCATTCGCTGAAGAAGTGCAGAAACCATCAATGCTATCAGCAGATATTGGTAAGGCTGTCTGACCGGTGAACACTAACAATGGCTGGCGTCGTTTCTTTTTCCTTTTTGGCCAGGGATAATAGCATTCCCTGGCTGTGGTGCAGCCCTGCCTGAACGCAGTGTCTCGGATTCCTGGATTCAGTTTCTACTTGGCTCCTTTCCGCATTCATAATTACTGCGCATGTACTGTCAAAAGCGTACAATAGGAGATGTTCCGTAGTCCACCGTATTCTAGAGATGTAACGAATAAGTATTCGATCTACTGAACAGTGCGAAGTAATTTCCCAGCGATATTTGTAGTGTTGGTGGAGACCTATGTCGATTTGGAGAATAATTACGACTTTGCAAAGCACAAATGTATCCTTCGAAGAGCATCACTAGTAGATTGGGAATCGTAGATTATTTATTCATTTGTGAATTAGTATTCGAGCTAACACTGTAAAGCGGTGCAGCATTTCTTGTTTGCGAAGTTAGAATTTAGACCAGTTTGCGAAGATTTTTTTGTGATTCAACACTTGAATTGACAAGCTCAAACCTAATAATTATTTAATTTTTAAGTCCAGAGGTCAATACTTTTGAACGCACTATAGCACGGCTGTACTAAATAAGAAATTGCTTTGCCATGGAAGAGGCAGATGTGTGTAGATCCCTGTAGGAAGGAGTCGTGTGGGTACACCTTGCTCTTGACGGTTGCAAGAAGACTTGTAGTGGTTGTATTCCACTGAGACTCCTCTCATATGTTATTTTGGTGTGTATGTGCGTGCGTGCATGCATGTGGATGGATGGATGGATGGATGGGTGGTCGAATACCTGCGTGTGAGTGGGCATGCTTGTTTTGCCGAACTGTGTATGTGTGCCTTCACGTACACATATTTGTTATGTAGATGATGGTCTCGGTCGAGAGGATCCTCACATGAACATTTATCTCTTCATTCGAGCAGCATTCCGCTTCTATGAGCAACACGGACACTACCCTGGTAAGAACCGGCGATAGGTGAAGAAGTTGCTTTCACGTGAAGGTGAACAAGGTGGTGAAGAAGAAGTGCTGTTTTTCTGCACCAAGTTGTTTTCCAGCATGCAAATGATTCTCCTAGGGATGCATGTGTTGTACTCATGGCAGCTTGAAACTACGAAAATTGCCATGGGCCTGCACGTGCCAGAGAAAAACTTGAACAGCAAATGAATTATTCCAGTATGAGGGTATACTTTTGAACGCACTATAGCACATCAGCGAGAAGTTGCGTCTGCGGCTGTACAACACTTTTATTATTCCAGGACTGACGTACAACTCGGGTACGTGGGGGGTCAGTGTGACCATTCTGTCTCGCCTGGATTCCTTCCACCGCCGTCAGCTAAGGTCACTCATCGGTGTGAAATGGCCACAAATAATACCGAATGATGCTCTCTATACCAGATGCGAAGCTGAACCCTTGAGTGTCATGGTCAAGAGATCACGCTGGAGGCTGTTTGGCCACATCCTGCGGATGGCAGATGAATCCCCAGCTGTTATGGCTATGTTCGCGTACTTCGCCAATCAGCAGCAGTAATGCTGGAGGGGTAGACCGCGGACGACCCTGCCGCAGGCATTGGTGGGAGATCTGCGCCAAGCCAATGCTGGATTGCTCGGGAACCTAGACGCTCTGCAGAGCCTGCGAGCCATTGCCCATGACCGACCCGCATGGCGAGATCTATGTATGAAGATCTGTGCATCGTGATATTCCGACAGATCCTGAAACAGTCAAACTCAGGAAATAGCACTATTATTATCACTCAGGCTGCAATATTCAATGACATATAGACATATTCATAAATGACATATCTTCAATACCCATGAGCTACATTGTATATGATAATTATATCATTATATCATCGCTCTAGCTCAATTTCTTTCCCCTGTCATAGTCCTGTTTATCATGTTCAGGATAAGCGAAGTTGTGGATCATGCTTGCATGGTTGACTCCAACGCGTACATGCAAGTAATAATAAATAATGAGGGTATTTTTTCATCTCAATACTGTATTACACATATTTTTCGGGATAGACTTGGAAAGAGCTTTTGTTGCTGGCGATAATTTTTGTCATGGTCATGCCCGTATCAATGCCATGCTTGTCAGGGATGTGTACGATTGGGTACGAGTGCAAAACTCCTGCTTTTTCTCTCTGTGACAGACTTGTTGTGTACATTCATGCATGGATGGAGAGCTAGTACGTTCTGTGTGCTTACTTGGTGCGAGTTTGCACTTGCGTGCAGTAGTGCATACTTGCACGTGTGTGGCAAGTTGGGAACGGGGTGGGGTGTGAATGAATGGGTGTATGCATATGTGTAACTTTTGCTCTCATGTGGACACCCATTTGTATATTTGAAATGACAGGTGAATCTAAATCAGTTGATTTGTGTTTTGCCATGGTACAGTACTGTGGACACCGTTTCTGTTTTGCGTATCTGGTTTGCTGTTGTCCAGGTGGGGAAGAAGATGACCTGCTACTGTTCAAGGTTAGTGAATTTGTGCACTGAAACTTCCATGTAACCTGCATTGTACCTCCTAGGGCCACACTCTACCTAAGATCAAGTGCTGGAATAGCATATAGGCCACTCTATATTTGTGTCCAATGGTACTGGTATGTTATATCTGGGTTATTGTACTTGGAAGCTGAATGAGCATTGTAAAATTCATGTACATCCTCGCTTATCCGCACCTCAGTTATCTATGGCTTCGCTTATCTGCAATTCACTCATGGGGACGATGTGGGCTACTGAAGACAAAGCAGCGGATACTGTTGCTGCACTGATTATGTGTTAGAGCAATGTACAGAAGGGATAAAGTTGCTGCACTGAATATGTGTTAGAGCAGTGTGATACCGTTGCTGCACTGAATATGTGTTAGAGCAGTGTGCAGTAGGGATACTGTTGCTGCACTGAATATGTGTTAGAACAGTGTGCAGTAGAGCCATTTCTATGGCAGTTGTAGTTGAGATACTAGACAGCCTTAGCAAAAAACGTTATGTTGTAACGGTATTATCGTAAGGGGGGAAATAACGTGATTTGGGTTCGACCTTTAGCAAGATGCACGCTATTTTTAGTACGCTGTTGCCACGAGAATAGCTTTGATTTCGCGCGGTACAACCATTTTTGTCACCATATACGCGATACAAGGTGAAATGCGTACGGACTATGCAATATTTGGCCAAAACACGTACCGTTGGTCACACCGACAAATCAGCCCCATAACGTATATACGCTGCAGCTTCAACGCTATTTGGGTGATCAAGGTACGAGTACCGTAAAAAAATAGCGTTACCGTTGTTTGCTAAGGGTGTCTATTGACAGGTTGTAAACTGTAATGTACTAATCATGCAAGCATGTGCTTTGAACTCTAAAGAAACAGAGTAACATAGCTTGTCACACTGCTGCTTAGTCTGGCCTTGTTCCAATGTCTTGTTGAAAATTGGTATCTTCCTCATCTGACTTCCCTATACAGGAGCTTGTTACCACAATGACAACCGAATGGAATGTCTCTGCGCCATCTTGTGAGGCAACAATGACAAGCTTGTAAGTTTAGTGGCTGTATGAAGGTGCATGTGTGTGTGTGTGTGTGTGTGTGTGTGTGTGTGTGTGTGTGTGTGTGTGTGTGTGTGTGTGTGTGTGCGTGCGTGTGTGCGTGTGTGCGTGCGTGCGTGTGTGTGATTTATCCCGACACAAGAACTTCTGCCTCGCCTAATAGCTATCATCGCCTTCGGCGATGGGCTTTCCAAAGGTGTGTGTGTGTGTGTGTGTGTGTGTGTGTGTGTGTGTGTGTGTGTGTGTGTGTGTGTGTGTGTGTGTGTGTGTGTGTGTGTGTGTGTGTGTGTGTGTGTGTGAGAGAGAAAAAAAGAAGAAGAAGAAGAGAAAAAGAAGAAAAAATGAAAAATAGGGATTCACTGGCCAGAAAAAGTCACTTCAATCAGCTGTGTGGTGGATACCAGGCTAAAAATAGTGGCGGTCAATTCATCAGCCTTGCAAGCTGTTGAATGGTGTAATCCCAGCACAAGTTGCTATGTCTAACATAGCTGCTCACTATCATCGCTTCCGCGATGGGCAGGTCTGAGGTATGTGTGTGTGTGTGTGCGTGCGTGCATGTGCGCACATACCACTGCACCATCCCGACGATTATGGTCACACGCGTCTTTCTTCTCTTTCTCAGACTCCTGACTTTTCTTTCATTCTCCTGGGTGGTTACCGACAGCCAGTGCATGCCGGAGTATGTGGTGTGATGTGTGTGCGGGAAAAAAATGAAAAAAGACCAAAAAGTAGGGATTCACTGACCAGAAAAAGCCACTTCATAGCTGTGTGGTGTAGACCAGGCTGAATAGTGGCGGTCAGTTCTTCAGCCTTGCAAGCTGTTGAATGGTGCAATCCCAGCACAAGCTGCTATGGCTCCTGCTGTGGCATCGCTATCATCGCCTCCGGTGATGGGCGTCAAATGGTGTGTGTGTGTGTGTGTGTGTTGTGTGTGGGTGCGTGCGTGCGTGCGTGCGTGTGCGTGTGTGTGTGTCTGTGGTAGAAAAAATTATGGGCGTTGGTGTGGTGGCGTCGGATTTGTTCCCTTTGGGTGGAACGGTTGAATGCGTGGACAGCTTTCGCTATCTTGGCTACCAGATCACTCCTGATGCTAGGAGTAGCTTTGATGTCTCTCGCAGGATCGCTGCAGCTTCGGGTGCATTTGGCGGCTTGAAGAAGGCTGTGTTTACGAACTCAGAGTTTCCCATCGGCCTCAAACGTGTCATCTACGGAGTGACTGTGCTGGCATTACTCCTGTATGGTGCTGAGAACTGGACACCGAGGCAACGGGATCTCCAGCGTCTGGAGTCATTCCACCTGCTATCTATACGCATGGTCTTGGGTATCCACCGGGCGCGCCAGATGGACAAGCGTGTGTCCTTCAGGTACGGCAGTGGTGGGGAGACATGGAGCAGGTCTCTGACAAGATACGGCGCCGTCGTCTCCAGTGGCTGGGCCACCTGGCTCGCATGGGTGATCGTATTTCCCGCCAACTGCTCTTTGATGCCTTGTCGTCTAAACGGCCTTCACATGGCCCCCACATGGCCCCTGGAAGAGATGGAAGGACACAGTCAAGCATGACCTGGCAGCGGTGTCCATTGGCATGGATGAGTGGCTTGACACAGCGGATGATAGGTCTGAGTGGAGAACCAGGTGTCCGGATGGAGTGTACAGCGTGGTATGTTCTTGTGTACAACCTGCTGGGAAGCCACTCCTGTGTTCGGTCTGCACACGCCGTTTCAGCCGTCCTCAAGATATCACTAGACATAGCATAGCTGCACCTCCCGTCGCTCTGTAAAAGCAAAAAAAAACGTTCCGCCGGACTCGCAGTGTCTCGCGCCACGTCCCGAAGCCAGCATTCCTTCAAGTCGCCCCGTTTGGGGACACAGCCAATTGTGGCAATGGGCGAAGGAAGGAAGGAAGGTGTATGTGTGGGTATGTGTGTGTGTGTGTGTGTGTGTGTGTGTGTGTGTGTGTGTGTGTGTGTGTGTGTGTGTGTGTGTGTGTGTGTGCGTGTGCGTGCATGTGTGTGTGTGTGTGCGTGCGTGCGTGCGTGTGTGTGGGTGTGTTCGTGAGTGTGTATGCGTGCATGCATGCGTGCGTTGGTGGGTGGGTGAGTGTGGGTGTGGGTGTGTGTATGCGACGATTATTGCGTAGTGGAATGGTGTAAGGCCCTAATCAAGAAACAGAACAACAGAATAACAGAAGGAAGCAAGTTTTAGTCCTGCTTGGAAGTGGAAGGATTTCTGCAACTGTTCTGCGACCCACCCTCTCGAGGGTAATATACATGTAGATGTGACACACAGGATTTGGCATTTGTGCCAGTATCTGTAAGACGTATCCCCTCTCGTACCCACCATTAGCATGATTATGTGTCACGTCTGCTGCTTGAGTATTGGATACTCTTACTAAATCAGAGGTGGCTGTGGTCCGACCTGAGCTAAGGCTTGGGTTTGGTAGACCTGATACCAATGTGGATAGGCGAATGTTACTTACTACAGTACTATTCCTCACTGCCGCAAAAGTTTGATCCACTCAGATATCAAAGAACTTGTGTTGAATACCACTGACAATGGTGTTCTGTTCATTGTGTGAACCTACTGTGCAGGGTTGCCAGCAAGGGATCGGAACTGCCTTCGGTAACCGGATTTGTTGGAGGTTAGCTAGAAATACTACCAGTACTCATACAAGTGCTTGTTATTCATTGCATCTCATGCCACCATGGCTAGCACGTAGCAGTTATCTGGGATCATTGCATTGCATAACAGAGCTGATTTCCCCAATTGCTGTCATTGCAAGAAGTGTTGCCTGGGGATCACGTTTACCTGATGGCTCGGGTTGCGGCTAGAAAACCTTCCTTCAATGCGAATGTGAAAGTGTACAATCACGTGTCATACTAGGAGGAACTCAACACCGTTATCTGTGTCGGGACTGCGCTAGCGCTGTACTCTGTGAAAAACACGAGTACATGTGCTGCATGAAATGTTTTGTCAAAGAAATGCTCGGTAGACAGTTTGCAAGCAGTAGTGGTAAACCTGGTTTCGGCAGCAATCCGCTGTATCGCTCACCGCTCATTGGTGACAAGCACTCTCGGAAACAAGCTTTACTGCATTGGTGTAACTGTTAGTCCGTGGCTGCCTGTGGACGGACTGAGCTATCTTTGGCTGCTGGTGAGCTCGGTGGGTGGTTGCTGAACCCAGTTGGTCTCTTTATGTGGACTTTTTTACGTCTCCGCGAAAAAATCCAATCGATTTTATAAGCAACCAACAATTAGGGAGGGCCCGAATATGCTTGCGCATATTTTCGCTTATTTTGGTCCTTTTGACACAAGGTCGCATAAAGTAGCAAATCTAGCATATTGTACCAAATGTAGCATATTTTGCTACAAGGAGCAAAGAATTCGCATAATTATAGGGTAGATGGCGGAAATGGACAAGGAAACTTACCAAGGCACGCTCGGTCAGGGAACCCTTCCAAACTTAGCCCGGAAGGGAAATGCTCATCCAAACACGGGGCGAAAATTTGACCCGAGAAGAGAGTGTCCGCGACTCAAGGTCGCATAAAGTAGCAAATCTAGCATATTGTACCAAATGTAGCATATTTTGCTACAAGGAGCAAAGAATTCGCATAATTATAGGGTAGATGGCGGAAATGGACAAGGAAACTTACCAAGGCACGCTCGGTCAGGGAACCCTTCCAAACTTAGCCCGGAAGGAAAATGCTCATCCAAACACGGGGCGAAAATTTGACCCGAGAAGAGAGTGTCCGCGACTCAAGGTCGCATAAAGTAGCAAATCTAGCATATTGTACCAAATGTAGCATATTTTGCTACAAGGAGCAAATAATTCGCATAATTATCACTGATATCAGTTCATATTTTGAGCATATTTTTCTGCTTTTGTGTGATTTCGAAGCATATTTTGAAGCAAGTGGCCAATATGCGAAAAGCATAATATGCAAAAAATTTGAGCATATTTGGGCCCTCCCTACCAACGATGTCATTACACTCCAATTTCATAACTGGCTTCAGCACTACAGTACAAGGTGAAAGCAGATTTAGACCGACGGAGGTTTCCATTCTAAATATCATTGCACCACTGTCCACTCTAGTCTTTTGCAAACATCTCCAACTTCTGGCAATGTGTATACTGGTACTTTGCGAATCTTGTGGCAGTACAAGTACCGTATATGCTGTAAAGTACCACAAGAGTGCCCCGTCTCGCGAGAGCGCCCCACCTTGATTTTACAGCCAGGGAAAAAGAAAAATCGTATGGCAGAGTGCAACTAAGTTTGTACGGTGTGAGAACCACAGTGTACTAAAGTCACCCCTAGCAGGTTTTTGTGTGGAGCTCGTGTCCGCTCAAAGGTAAATTTCAGTATGGATTGTCTGCACAATGTGCAATGATTATGTGTGTACAAGATTCGTGTCAGTATGACCTACAGACAGGATACTGCCTCCACAATACAAGCACGAAAGGCCGAGTTGGTGGGGCGCTTTTGCGGTGCTTTACGGTACAGGTATGTATACTCACACATCTATGATGTTTTCTTGTTCTCTGCAGCTCTCGTCTCTCAAGAGGTCATCAAACTGCTTACATGCCAGTTCATGCCCTTCAACAACACTCTGATCTATTCGGCAAAGCTGGCAAGCACCGCAACATTTCAACTCTAGACCTCATTATTGATATTCACTGAATCCTAGGATAGGTACACTGCTACATGTATTGGCTTTTCAGATCTTTTTCTCTTTTTTTTATAGCTTTGCAGTGCATCATTTAGTTGTGCATCCGCATCCTTTTATTCTCATATTCAAGCTGATAATATTGATACCAACAGCCTTCTGAAAACTTCTACTTTTTACTGAACTCATTGATATATGCCGGTAACACATGAGATGCACATGCGAAAATTTCTGCACGACTTTGTAATTAGACCTGTGGATTTGTGTTGCATCAAATGTGAGATGTTATCCACCGCTAAGTTGTGTTAAATTCTATTTGAATTTTCAGTAAATGAATTTTGAGTGGGTAGCCATGCAGTTGTTGCAGTTCATACTTCCTGCTGGACTACATTGTAAATGTAAGAATTGTGACCTTCACTCCGCTTTGCTGCTTGTTCAGCAGTGCTTCGTACGTTGCTGGATGGTATGTGCATGCTGTCCAAGTTAGATTGAAGATATAAAGACATGTCAGAAGATTGGCAGCACGTGTGAAGTAGAGTAGGGTACACCATGCATGAAGTCTTGTATTTTTTTTTAACAAAATTAATATCTTGCACCACTCATGCAGGCGCAGCTCTGCATGACCGAACTTGAAAGGAAGGATGTACTAAGCCATAGGATACTCGATATGAATTATAGACTTGGCCGTGAGAACCAACAGGGAAATAATTACTCTTGGTATCAATGATACAATGAGCCGAACATACATGGAATGCCTGTTTATTGATGCAGACATGCATGCAGGGTGCCCTGTATGCAACCTGTGCAGTACAGGTGCTGCACTTTCACCTTTCAACATGCACCGCTCATCCCACATTCGCATCATGCACACACTTCATGTGAGTGGTGATGATGGTGGATGTTCATAATGACTATCATTCAATCTGACAGAATGACATGCATCCCTGACTCAAGTAAACGTAGGTACAGTGATAACAAGGCCCAAGGGAGCTATATCACTCCCTATACATAATACTGGTGCTACCAGTAACAATGCAGCAAGGAAAATGATTCAAAAATACAGTCACAGCAGCGACATTATCAACAGCTGCTGCAACAATGGTGCAACGTCAAAGTAAAAAGCTAGTCGACTAGCAAAAAATAAAGAGGTGACAAAATAAATATGTAATACCAACCAGCATGCCAGCACACTGGGAATAGGCAGGGTGTGGGCAAGAAAGTTTGAAAACACAAAACTAGCAGCTATGTGTACGTACAAGTCAAGAATTCACGTAGTGCAAAGTTCAGACATAAACCAGTCCTAACACAAGATAAGAAAAACAGCGATCGGAAACAAGCTAAAAAAAATACCTATGGCAAGACCACCTTATAACACACGCCACCATAACAGAAAAACAATAGCAATCATAATAATCAAAACTTCAAAAGTACTGTCCACCGTCTAGGCGGAGCAGTAGAATCTGTCAGCGCTCAAGTCTTGCTAGGAGAAATTCAACACACGCCATGAAACCCTATGGTGTTCACCAGGTGCTACTGTGCAGAGTTCAGATCATAGAAAACAGAATATATAAATAAGTTGGCCAGCTCAATGACTGGCACCAAACAACATACCATCGGAACCTGCTAGCTAGTACGGAGAAGACTGACAACGTACCAGTAGAACTTGCTAGGGACGGACAGCACCAGTGGAACCTGCTAGCTAGTGTGGGGAAGACCGACCGCCGTCATGCATCCGATACATCTTCGACCGTACTACTAGATGCCCGTTTTTTACCGATGAACAGAAGCGGAAACATACCGATGATGCAGCCTATTGTTAGACCGAGCGTCCGACCCTAGCCAACACAAAAAGAACACCACGCTTAGAACCTACCATTGGAGTGTAGACTTTTCCTTCGACCAGATTTTATCAGGTACAGCAGTACATGCATCTCGCAAGTGCCAGGCGAGAACAGCAAGCTACCTCAAAAGCCACGAGAACAGAGCTTAGTACATCATGAGTGCAAAGGGCTACACCACGTTCTACTTTCTGAGCCGGTTGGCTGTATGAGGTCAGCAGATGTTTTAGACACCACCAATGTGTATAAATTATATCTGGAAATAAAAAAGGAACTTCGACCGACCGCTGAAATTCTGGCCATGATACCCGAAACAAAGAAATAAATAATCAGTTAGGCCTAATTTCATTGTTATACGCCTGGTTGCACATCCTTGTGTTGCTGCCTGCGTAGAACAGGTGATCCAACATAGGTTTATTTGCCTCCTACCTTACTTCAAATTGACTTATTTTGTCTTTCTTTGTAGAATGTACACTGGTTGAGAAAGCATTTCTTCTTCAATATTCTCAGCCCTACATCACAAGCCACATCATGTGAACATCAAAACATGGTGCTAGTTGAAAGCCTTTGCTCTGCCCTCAATTGAGCTTTCCGCAATTCAGTTTGAAATGACGTATTAAGCCGAGGACTCAACACAGATAAGTCAGCTTACTGTGTAAATTGCGACTCTTGTAGGTCGCATTAGCAGCTGCTCTGATGTTAGCTTGGGCATAGATAATCCCATTGACAATGCCACAGACTCAACACCACTTGCAAGGCTAAAACCAACGCCACAGCACAAAAATAGTAAAACAACAAGTTATTCATGGCACGTTAGATTGCAAAGAGACTCACAGCCCCCTCACTAGCACACACTTACACACACACACAACCTGAACAAAGATGTGAGCACACCATACTCAAACATGACATTATAGTGTCATGCAGTTATGAAGAATGGAACTACTCACCCCATTCCAGCTACATCAGATACTAGATTGCCTAGTGCAGCCGCTGCATGAAACAGTCACAAACACACACACACACACACCCACACCGATGGACACATTATGTCGTCATACAATAAGCTTAGAAGGGGCATAGCAGAAAAGCCTGAAATGGAAGAAATGAAGTCCTTCTAACGTTCTTTATCAGAGTGTGATTTTCAGGACTGGCCCAAGGACTAACCTCGTCAGCCTGACAGCATGGCTTTGCAAAAGTAAGAGTGGAGGTAGTACATATAGAACCTCAAGCACAACCACAAACGTTCTTTTCATCTTAGCATAGTTGGGTCAACTACTCCAACCTACATGTTATCACAAGAGTGAGAAACTCTGAGTAGAAGCAGCCTACAATTGCACATTCCGACTATTGTCCACAGGACCATGCGCGTGAACTCAGCATGCATTGAAACATACAACCCACGCATGGCATTATACAACCATGACCTGGTGAGTGGTGCTACTTACCTGCCATAGTGGAGATGCACAACACTGCTCCTAGTGTCATCTCTATACTTTCACCCTAAGACCATAGCAATACACAAACAGAAAAAGAAGAAGCATTAACTACACACAAGAGTAGTGCAGTACAGGTCATGATAGACTGAAGTGGTAGGTAGGTAGGTAGTGCTTGAGCTGGTTGTGATGGGTTTGTTCAACTGTTATTCCACATCAGCCTGAGAGTTGATAGATGGGCAGCTAGGCAACAAACATACTAATCATGATCACCATCACCAGACATGGTTTTCCTGCTTTGCTTTATTGAATTGACAGTACAAGTACAATAGACCAAAATGGCATCCCTAGACTTCAATGAGGAACCCAAAAACTTACAGCTGCGATCATAATAGCATTGTCCAGGAATCCAAATCCCACAAATGGCACAAAGTTAGCGAACATTACTGTTGCGCATAACACACAAATACGCATGTACACAACAAATACGCATGTGCACACACACACACACACACACACACACACACACACACACACACACACACACACACACACATCACTTGATGGCTGTGTTCATGGTGGATGTTGCTACGATACCCTGAGAAGGGCTAAATCTCACAGGATCCTTGAGATCTGAATGACACCGGAGTGCGGGTCTCTTGCGTCCCACCTAAACTAAAGGCCATGGCCATTGTCCTCCACAAGAATGCCACCGCTTTGCAACATATCATGAGATACTTTGATACTCACAAGCACACTGTGCACTCATACAAACTTTACACCTATGTGAAGCTGCTTCAAGCTCATCAACCAAGATCAGAGCATTGCGATTATTTACTCGCCAGCCTTGACGCTAAGGACACAACACACTTCACAAACCGAGGGAATGCACCGGTGCTCCAGTGTTGCACTGCCTACCTGTTGTCAACGTGCTTTTATCAGGCACATTACAATGGTGCGCTGTGCCGCGTAGTTCATCTGCAACAACAGATAACAAAGCAATAGCATCAATCATAATGATGCTAAGACAAGTGTACAAATATGTAGGCACATAGCCAAGTTGTCAAAAGGGGCTGCATTTACTCGATATACCAGTACAATGTCATGTACACGTACCTGTCTTTTTTACATCATTTTTCAAGACTACCAGCGGAAAGGAGGGGGGGGGGGGTGTGTGTGTCATCCGCAACCTCTGAAATCCCTTGGCTAAGTGCCCCACATGTTATACTGCGAAGGAAGACGGCATACGTCATGATGAACCTGAATCCTTCAAAGACAGGACTGCCAGGTTTGTGAGCAAGGCCACACTCACAACAGGAGGCCTTCATGATCCATCACTATGAATTCTACCAAGAACACAACCCACAGCATGTAACTGCACACAATGGATCGGAAATGGTGAAGTTCATCATTCAAGAAAACCCAATGGTAATCACAGACACTACAATCTGCGGCTGGCAATGCAAGGTCTGACGGTCTGGGGCTGAACTCATATAACCTCCAACTTCAGCACTTGCTGTATTTTGACATGAAAAATGATGTAAACGGCCAATTACAATTCAACACATACCCACACGCACACACACACACACACACACACACACACACACACACACACACACACACAACACACACACACACTACCCACCACCCCACAAAACATGCACGAACACACCATTGGACCTTTGGATGCTCCATACAACACTAGCATCAGAACTTGCAGTATCTCCTGTGGAAAGTTAAATCATTGGGCCGGCTAAAGTCTGCCACAGCCACAAATGAACACTGCAGCCTTGGCTACGAAACAGCATGCTAGGGATGGTCACATATCCTAGCATCTCCTGTGTGCTCAACCTATGACTGGGCATTCCAGCTTGCAACATGAAGTCTCTGTCATTCCAACTAATACTTCCTTTTCGCCTTCATCTTCAAAATTCATATTTCACTCCTGCTTGTGTCAAAACTCCCAATAAAGCGCAAATTCCATGAGCCAGGCTGCCACAGCCATGGCCTGGTCTAAACGGTAAAACCACATGACACATGGCTACTGAAGGCAGCTACACCATCCTTGCCAGAGCTATAAAAAGCACAGCTGACCCTCACAATCGTAACACACACACACACACACATACCAGTACTGTACTTGCTCACTGCCATGGCTGGTCACGCGAGTCTCCTCCCCCCCCCCCCCCCCCCCCCCCGAAGAGGGGAGAGAGATTCAAAAGGAACCTTGGAAATATTACTCCATTGAAGCGCCCAACGGCCGACACCCCCTGAAATCCCCAAACTCTGGGTGGACTTGGAAATGATCCCACTTATGGGCTCGCCACACCTCAGTAAGTGGGTTAGGACAAGGTGCAGAAAAAGGATACGAGTATACACACAGACACACACACAGACACACACCACACACACACACACACACAAGTGTACTTGAACGGTAGCCCAATCAGCTCCTAGTGGCTTGTTGTTGTTGTTTGTGTCCAAGATTCCTTTTGAATTTCTCTCCCCTGTCCAGGGAGACCCACATGACCAGTTCTCTTTGCTGTTCCGTCTTCTTCATCTCCTTCACAGGTTTTCTTTCTTCTGTCGCTGCATCGTTTCTTCCGTATCTTTCCACGTCGGTGAACTACGTGGTCACCATTTTATGCATGATCTTGATGTGCAACTGAATGTTGCTGCGAGTCCTTTTTCCCAGTTGGCTTTTCTCTTGCTTGAGAGACCAAAGTTTCCTTTTGATGAAATGCTTTGCAGATCAATGTGTCCTTCATGTCGGTTGTTTCGTGACCCGCTAGAATGTTGTCACGAGTCATGGCATCTAGCACTGCAAGCACTTTCCTTGACTTGAAAGTTCTCAGTTTTCAGTACGTGTACGTGTACGTGCAGTATGTTGCCAGATTGGCTATGGTCAGCACAGTTCTATAATTTTAGTTGTTCAGAACCTATGTTCAGAACCTATGTTCAGAACCTATGCATAACAATACTGTACATGTACTTTAATACATGGTTTTAGTTTGACAGCATATTACAAGGTGGTGGAACACCGTGTTCGAAAACAGTGTGCCGTACTACAACCATCCACGGTTGGTAGAGCCCCGGTCTTGCGACCATCTGAACCGTATGGGTGTTAGACCCGGTTCTGACCCTCATTATACTAAGGCCAAGGGAGTTAGTGCCCATACGGTTCAGATGGTCGCAAGACCAGGGCTCTAGCAACCGTGGATGGCTGTAGTAAGGCACACTGTTTCCGAATGCGGTGTTCCACCACCTTGTAATAATACTAATATGCTGTAAAACTAAAAGCGTGTTTCTACAATACATGTACAAGGTTAATCTAATACATGTACATTCTATGGGTCAAGATGACAATTCTTTAAAACAATACCTACCTGTGTTGTCACTGTGCTCCCGAAATCGATCCAACTCAACCAAAAGAAGGCGCCGCTGCCTCGGAGATAGAATTGAAACGTAGTTCCTGATTGCCTCTGGAGTTGCCAGGAGTTGATGAGGACTATGCTCACTGAAATAATGCGCCGAAGAAGTACTTTCACGAGTCTGAATTGTAGAGCCTAACATGGAACTGCAAGTGCCTCCAGAACTCATTCCATGATCTCTGAGACTCTGACACAAGGTACGGGAGAAACACAGCCTTCCGAGGAAAGCAGGACTAAGAGCCATAACTACTTATACATTCACAATAGCGAGAGAACATTCACATTCACATGTATTATTCTCTCTCAAGCGTACTAAGGAAAGTCAAGACTGGACACGCCAAACACGGCATGGGGTGGTTTGGAAACAATAATCAAAAGCCAAAAAGGCAAAGTACCATTCAAAACTGAAAAGGGCTGGCAGTTCGGTGCACCGGTGGTCCACACAGTCACAAACTACTTTATGATCGGATTTCGTAATCCTTACAAATGCTGGGGGGATGCATGCAGCTAGCCGCTTTGGCCGCGGGCGGACCGCGTGATCACTTCTTTTGCATTTACCTCGCCTGATTTTGGCATGAAAACGCATGAAAACATCCATGTCAGAGCTAAATCGCTTCAAATGATAGATTTTGATTTAAAATGTGTGATTGAATTCGAACTTGAGTCTGGCAGCCGGCTGTGAATCCGTGTGAAGCTCATCGTAGAATGGGAGTACTAAAAAAGTACCCCCTTTGGCTTTGTTCACCTGAACTGTCTCAGCACTGCAGTGTCTGTGCTGTTGGTGATGATGTGCAACTGCAAGCCCAGCGATTTCTGTTGTTGATGATGCCACCCGACACACATGAACAAGAACGGTCGCTTTTGATTTTTATTTTGTTCAGGAAAAGTCAGTGGTCCATCCCCTTACTTCTCTGAAGAGGCTAGGTTAGCTTGCAAACGATCCTAGCCTGACTCTTCTATTATTTTATTTGGCTCGATATTGTTCTGACTCCTCGAAGAAGCATCCCACGTCTGCAGCAAAGTTCACTTACTGTCCTGTGGGGGGTAGGCGCAGAATATTTCCTCAGGGACTTTCCTCTGGGAAATTTTGAGCAGAAGTCATGCCAAGTGAGGAGTTATCCGCCAATCAACTGGATGGATGGATTGAGCAACTTCGTGAATGTAAACAATTAGACGAAAGCCAAGTCCAGCGCATCTGCGAAAAGGTAAGGGAGCGTGAAACTTTGCTGCTGCGGGAAAACAATTATCTGAACGTCTCTACTCTCTACTTCACTTGTTCTGTCTGTGCCTCATATCAGGCGAAGGAAATTCTTTCTCGCGAGTCCAATGTACAAGAAGTATCATGTCCTGTAACCGTTTGCGGGGATGTGCACGGTCAATTTCACGACCTCATGGAGTTGTTTCGTATAGGCGGCCAGTCTCCCGACACAAACTATCTCTTCATGGGGGATTATGTTGACAGAGGATATTACTCCGTGGAGACAGTGACTTTGCTAGTAGCCTTGAAGGTGAGTTTGTTAAGTTTCGTATCAATTACATCTCGCATGGCGTTCGTGGGTTAAATTGTCATGCTGAGGCTTTTTAAGTTGTAATTATTAGCTTCCCATGAAAGCTACATGCCCTGGTATAAATTGTTCAGTCTTTGACTCTGTTGTGACAGACCAGCTGCTGACTGCAGCATACGATGGTCGCCCAGATTACATTCACAAACCAGCGTACTTAAAGTTCATACTAGTACTGTAATCCGCCCACTATTCACGTCACTAAATGTTCGCGATTTAACGATGGCAAATTGTGGCAACACACGTACACCCACTGTTGAAGTTTGATTTCATGCCGGTTAAAGGGGAAGTTAAGGCAAAAATTAAAATTTCACCAGTTGTAGTCTTCGGGGTGCTGAGTCGAATGGTCTTGGTCCGAGAAAGCTGAGACGCTCCCTTCCTACTTGAATCCCAATCGAACTCGCGCACTTCCACCGAAACTGGGTGACTGCGCCCTACTAGATGGGGATTTGTATGCAAAATGTCATTAAAAGCGCCATTTCGTTCTTATAAAAGCACAGATGACCGCGATTGGCCCATATGTTGTAGTCTTTTGGACGCTGAGTCGACTGGTTTTGGTCCGAAAAGGCTGCGATACAGCGTTCCTCCTTTATTCCCAATCGAACATGGTTGAAGAAGCGGTCACGTGCTCCTGGGTGCCCAAATCACCTGGTCACCACGCCAGCAGGCGACAACTTTCACACCAAGGTTCAACTCAAGTGACAGGACTGCACCCAAAAAAGGTCAAACAGGCTAGTAAGTTGTACCCTGCAGGCACGGTGACCAGGTGACTGGCGTACGCAGGAGCACGTGACCGCTTGTTCAACCATGTTCGATTGGGAATAAAGGAGGAACGCTGCATCGCAGCCTTTTCGGACCAAAACCAGTTGACTCAGCGTCCAAAAGACTACAACATATGGGCTAATCGCGATCATCCGTGCTTTTATAAGAACGAAATGGCGCTTTTAGTGAGATTTTGCATACAAATCCCCATCTAGTAGGGCGGAGTCACCCAGTTTCGGTGGAAGTGCGCGAGTTCGATTGGGATTCAAGTAGGAAGGGAGCGTCTCAGCTTCCTCGGACCACGACCATTCGACTCAGCACCCCGAAGACTACAACTGGTGAAATTTTAATTTTTGCCTTAACTTCCCCTTTAATACAATAATGTATTCGCGCTACTCTCGCGAAAATAATAAACATTGCTACGCAGATTTGTAAAACAGCAGGGTGTTATAAGTATCTGACAGCGCGATTTTCAGCCACCTTTGCTAATTATTATGTTTGTTGGACGACTCGATGGAAATTGCTTGAAGTAAATGATGTTCTGTGTTTTGTGCATACCTGTGTTACAGGTACGGTTTCCCAACCGTATTCATATATTGCGTGGCAATCACGAGAGCCGTCAGATCACACAGGTCTATGGCTTTTATGATGAGTGTCTGCGCAAGTATGGCAATGCGAACGTGTGGCAATATTTTACAACTCTGTTTGACTACTTGCCACTCACCGCCCTGGTTGACGGACAGGTATGTGCGTCTATGTGTATGCCTGTGTTTGTCCAAGTTATACCACATTCAGACAGGCGTGAATGTCATGCACAGGTTTGAACAAAAACGGCACTGACTTGGAGAACACGAGTCACATTTGCTTGCTTTCATGCCAGAAACGTTGTGCAAGTATAAGTACACTTGTGAAGAATTAGTAATGTTTTGTTACTTTCGGAGTAGTTTTCTTCGAGTTGGCTGTTAGAAGTCGTGGAGAGACACGCTGATGGCAGCTTGTTGCGTTCTCACACAGCCTGTGTCCTGACGTCACTTCTCTTAATTTCTCACTTTTGTGTTGCATTCTGAATGTAGATATTCTGTCAACACGGTGGCTTGTCCCCATCCATAGACACACTAGATCACATCCGAGCACTAGATCGGCTGCAGGAAGTTCCACATGAGGTAAGTGTCGCATGAGTGTTTTGTTGATACTGTATAGTGTCAGCATCTGTTCTTCTGAAGAAGACATTCATTGTCGAATTGTAAAATTTATCAGTATCCGTCAGAGTCGAGTCTCCTGTAGTGTTATTTGGCTATATCCAGTTATATTTATAAGCACCTGTTTTTGCCAGCTTTTATTTACCAGAATTGCCCTCCAAACGAACCGTGTTTGTATAAGGTTATGCCCTCTCGAAATGAACAGCCAGGCCTCCCCCAAATACTCTTTTTAAAGCTGTAAACTCCAGAATTGTGAGATGTCTCACTGTAATTCTTGCTGTGACTCTCTTTTTGCTGTGCCATCCTGTGCAGGGGCCAATGTGTGACCTTCTGTGGTCAGATCCCGACGACCGTGGCGGCTGGGGTATTTCACCGCGTGGTGCAGGCTTCACTTTCGGCCAAGACATTTCGGAGTCGTTCAACCACACCAACGGTCTGACACTTATCTCTAGAGCTCACCAGTTGGTGATGGAGGTATGTTTACTTGTTATTACTTCAAGATATCTTCATCTATTACACTCAGTCTTGTGTATGTGCGCACTTCAAAATAGGAACATCGCAGACTATTTTTTGTATAGGGCTAGATTAGGGTGTGTTGATGATGTGGAGGGATCAGTTGACTTGTTATGGTGATTGTCTCCAGTTGTGTCACATGTGATGCAAATGTGGACCTTTGTTGGGAACTCCAAGGAGGAGTTCTATGTGACTAATATGGTAGATTCCCCCAAATCAGGTTTTGTTGATGGTGCCAAGCAGTTGCTGTTATATTTGGTGACTCCTAAATTTCTTTTGGGCTTGAGTAAAGTGATCCTTTTAATTGCAAACGTCTGCCAAAAAACACCTTTTTATAGGACTGGTGCACCAGTGTGACCTTGTTGGCTTAACGATGGCCCATGAGGAGAAGCCAGTTGAGCTTCCTTTCTCTATGTACCGTAAAATCCCGCCAGAGCGCCCCTACCTCCTCGACGCTTCAAGTAGGTTCAGGTGGGGGGGGCGGGGGGGGGGGGGGGATGGGCGAGTCCTACTTGCCGCATTCAGTACTACATGAAAAAGTAATCACCCTACGAAAACTGTTCGTGCATCTCGTACACCGACCAAAGGTCAAGAGCCAGGCGTCGTACAGACCCGTCAAAACTCAGGGTTTGTGCGATCCCTGGTCAAGAGGGTGGGACTGTTGCGTACGTTTCCAACGGGGTCGAGCACGCGTCTGCAGTACAGTACGGCATCACAGACTGTGACAGAGTCTTACGAGGATACAATCAATCACGTCCCTGACAAGAAGTCTGGGAGGAGCGGATGGGAGAGACGGGGCGCTCTGGCGGGATTTTACGGTACAGTGAAACCTGGAATGGCGACCACTCGACCATGGCGACCACATTTCCTTGTCACGGACGCATTCACAGTCAAAACAGCTCGGATAAGGCGACCACTCGCTCAACGCGACCGACGACCACCCACCTGCGACCGCGTTGCATAGTGCTAGTACATGTAAATGTGTGCATTGCATGGTGCACCATGCATGGTAGATCTACACATCAGTGCAGGAAGTGTAGATGTGCATGGTGCATGCACGACACTTGACAGGTCTGAGGACCCCAGGCACATGAGTCGTGCTAGAGTAGCATAGGTGTGCGCACTGTGATACACTTAACGAAGTATCACATGTGGATATGGTCACGCGACCCACGGAACCTGGATAAGAAGACCACCTGGCCACGGCGACCACTTTTTCTCGTCTCTTGAGGGGTCGCCTTGGACAGGTTTCACTGTATATGTCACATGTTGCCTGAATGTGGCAAAAGAGAACAAGAGAGAAGACACCGTTAGGGGACATCACACACAAGTTGCGTCCTCTCTGGAATAAACATTATTCACTTTACACTCTAACCCCTACCTCACAAGCGAATGACATTTCCTATGCTGTACGATGTGAATCACAGGTCCTGTCATAGACTCATAGTGCATGTACATGCTGGTCAATTGCGGGTTTTGGCTCGACCACCTCCCCCCACCCAAGGAACTGTGTTCGTTTCAGGGACGACATCAATACTTTTCGTTTGTGAATTTTGTTTCCATTTGTTCTTGCTGCATGAATAGCAACTTTTGGCAGTACATTTTTTGAAAATCCTACCTTCGGCTCTTGTGTACTGTTTGTGTTGTGCAGGGATACAACTGGTGCCATGACCGCAATGTTGTCACCATATTTAGTGCACCAAACTACTGCTATAGATGCGGCAATCAAGCTGCGATCATGGAGCTGGACGATGGCCTGAAGTATTCGTTGTAAGTGGAGAAGTAAACCTTTTATGGCCTGTGCATACAAAACTTTGACCACTCGCGGTCATTGGACATATGTGTACTAAAACTTTCGTAACTCACTCAAATCCTACCCGAATTCCGCAATCGAAGCACCTAGAAAAGAATTGCAGCAATTACTGAAGCACTCCGACTTAGTATTGTGGAGATATCACTATCGACATTTCACGGCGAAAACCTGATTTTTTCTCACTGGCTGGCCTTGAGAGAGGGATTTTCCCCGGATTTGCATGCTGAATCGGTCCAGCACGGGCTACCTCAAAGAAGCCAGTGAGATAATTTGAATGGTTTGCGATTGGGATGGTGAAATGGCTGGCCTTGCCGTTGGTAAAAACTCTTGAAAAAATCAAACTTTATTGCATCCACAATCTCATAGTTTTCCGCTCTGCTCAGTTCAAGTGATCAAAACGCCCCACGGGATGATTTCCTATTGGTTTTAGTATTGGGGACACCCGAACCATGGGAAAGTATGCTGGCATTAGGGTACCCGAACGTCAAAACATGGAACCGTTTCACCCCTATTTCCTACCACCTACCAAAAGTTCTAAAGCCTAGTTCACATTCGACGGGACAGGGCGATCTGACGGCGTCCAATGTGAACACCAGGAACGTGAACGCAACCGTACTACAGTACAGATCGCGAAGCGACGGGAAGACTTGGATCGATTCAACTTTTCATGCCGTAGACGGGGACGCAAGCGTACAAAACGGCTGCAATTCAAGTGTGAACAGGAGGTGGCGGCGTGCGCCGACTACTCCCGATTCGTACTTCGAAATGTTTAGGGCCGGGTTCCACTGCGGCTCCGCTGCTCGTCTTTCGCGGCTTGAAACGTCATCATTACCATAGTGACCGCGGCTCGAGCTGGAGCAGCGAGTCCGCGGCTCACCGCGAGCTTTTGCTGCGATTCTTCACCAAAAACTGCGAGCCGCGGTCGCGGCTCGACCTGTTTCCCGTACTTTGCATTGTTTTGTACGTCAGAATTTTAAAATTCAAATTTTAATTCGTTGCGCAGGCCAGAACACGAGGATTTGTTTGATTTCGCGCGCGCAGGCAGGTGAAACGTCATCAAAAAGTGTGGACCACGACCGCGGTACCCTCATGTGCGAGTGACAGTGGAACCGCGCTGCTCCGCTGCATGCAGCCAAGTGCCGCGGAGCCGCAGTGGAACCCGGCCCTTGGCATTTCGAACACTGCGCTGCCCATGGTAACTCACAGAATGGCTAGAACGACTTGAGTTAAATTTTAGCAAGATAAGATCTCATGTCACTTATTGTATTTAGGGATAGTTCAGGAGCGTGACAGACGAACTATTCTATCATTTCCTGGGGCTATTATTTGAATGCCATAACTTCCGGGGCTAATTTTTTGGTCTTCATGAAAAACAGGTGTTGTGAACTTGATTCCGCTTCTTTCAAGGAGAAATAATTGAAAAGAAGTTCCTAAAAACGAGAAATTAGGTCACCCCGTCACGGACCGTGCCTTGTGACTCGCGCCTTTCGACGTTGAACGTCGCAACGACTGCTGCATGTCATGTCGGACGAATCGTACAGGATTTTACAGCTCACCCTAGCCTTCCCGACAGACTCTTACGTCCCGTACCGTCAGCGTTCCGTCGAATGTGAACTAGGCTTAAAGGGGAGCTGTCACCAAAAAAAATCTTTGTCTCATCTTGCAGTTCCTTGGCTCCTGATCACGATGGTGTTATCCGTTTTTCTCTGCGATGGCTGGAAGTGGGTGAAAACTTGAAGAGAAGGTGCCCAAAATTGTCCCGAAGTACCGAGTGACGTCACGCCGGACTTGACCTCCACGCGTACATTCGTCGTCAAAAACGAAGTCCAGCCCGTGTGCTGGTCGATTGAGCTAGCTGTTCCGATGTACGGTGCACGTGTGCCTTTTGAACTCTAACACAGATGGGTACGTCGTACCGAAGGAGAATGCCAAAGAGGCAGAGACCCACGTGCAGCTACACAGCCAAATCAAAATAAAAAGCAGCTGAGCTCTCACCTTTTTTGACTTCTTCCGCGAGGATCTAAGTTTTTTTTGTGAGCACGGAAGTCCGTCGTTGTTTTGAACTTTTCGTGTGAGGAACAACACGATGATGAGCGCGTATGCCGAAAACAGTACTCCTCCGGCCGGCGACAACACCACCAACCCGAGCCCCAAAGGAACGCAATGTAGCTAGGTGAAGGCGATGTTGCTGAAGATGCAGATGACAAACTCCGACGTCTTTCATTTCAGAGCCGGGTGGGCAACACCGCCACCTTCGATACAACGACATAATTTTCCGTACGAGGTATGTGTGTCACACTAACAGCAAACAAACATCCTTCCACTCCTTCGTAATCACAAATAAAACAAAGAGCTGGAGCTTCGTGGAGGAAGTACCAGTGCGACAAACTTCTGTCGACTTTTGTTTGTTTTGTCCCTTTTTGGCGTTCTCATTGTGTACAACGTACACATCAGTGTCCGAGTTCAGAAGGCAAGCGTGCACCGTACATTGAACAGTTGGCTCGATCGACCAGCACACGGGCTGGACTTTGTTTTTGACGACGAATGTACGCGTGGAGGTCAAGTCCGGCGTGACGTCACTCGGTACTTCGGGACAATTTTGGGCACCTTCTTTTCAAGTTTTCACCCACTTCCAGTCATCGCAGAGAAAAACGAATAACACCATCGTGATCAGGAGCCAAAGAACTACAAGATAAGACAAAGAAAAATTTTGGTGACAGTTCCCCTTAAAAGAAATAGTTATGGACAGCCGACTCCCAGATGGCTTTCTTGTGATCTGTCGAGTTGTGGATTCTGATGCCATGATAAGTACTCAGCGGAAACTCTTTTTTTTTCACGGGTGTGGGCTTGAGTTTGAGGCGATGCGTACCCTGTCCACGAAAATCAGTGCGTGTCCTCTCCCGGTTCTATACAACCAAGAGTACATAACCCCCCAGAGTGTGCAACGCCTGATCCAGCTCTGCATAGGGTCTTGGTCGAGCGGAATCGGATCTTTGCGTCATAATACCGTACACATCTGAGGGGAACCCGGGGAGTCGCGGGTACTCTCGGATCAAAAACAATGGTGGCCTGCCTCGAGACCGGCCTTGCGCTGGTGTGGAGTGTACGCATGACATCAGAAGATCCGATTCCGCTCGACCAAGACCCTATGCAGAGCTGGATCGGCGTTGCACACTCTGGGGGGGGGGGGGGGGTTATGTACTCTTGATACAACTCCCTACTAAGTCAACAATGGGAGAGTCTGTGCAAATTCAGACCTGCATTCAAAGGGATACAAAACAGTGTGGAACCGTGAATACCTTTCACACAGCCCAGGCTACACAACAAGGGGAAGACAGATGAGATGTGAGAAAATTGTGGAAGTTTTTATCGGTATAAAAGGACCGAGTGTTTGGTACTTATGTTCATCAGGAGAGCAGCGGAGAGATCCCAACCTGGTGCCTTCATGTGCACCTACCAACATGCACGAGTCACGAGCAGGAAGTGGGCAAGATGGAGGAAGCAGTGTAGCAAAGGTGGCAGTCCGTTACAGTCTGCTGGGCTCTAGCGGTGAATCCAATGAGGCAGAGGAAGTTGCCTGGTTGTTGGGATTGTTTGTTTTGAAGTTCCTTTTTTTTTGTAGAACTTTGCTGAATTCTCTCAGTACATTGCTTCATCTTGTCACTGGCTGTTTCTGGAAGTAACCTTGTTCATGGTACCCTGTGTTTGTGTTGGCTTTTGATGTGCCTTATCCAGCTTGCAATTTGATCCAGCTCCACGCCGCGGCGAGCCACACGTAACAAGACGTACTCCAGACTATTTCTTGTAGGTGTCTTGTGACTTGTCGTTGGCCTTTAACGAAGCCGGTGAGCTCATTTCGTTGAGGGGCTGTGTATTGTTATTTCTTTCTTTTTCTCGTTGATCTGTAGTGCCTGCGTGTCTGACATGTGTCTGTGTGAATAACGTGTTGTTTGTGTCTCATTGATCCGCATGCTTATTGACATCAGCTCTGGATAAAAATAATAATATCAAATCTAATATTTTCCGTCCCCTTTTCATGTAACCAACATGTATATACATGTACCTGCTTTCCGCGACATGTCAACAGTGTCTCGCCTTTTCTTAGCGCTATGTACTTATAATACTGTGGGCATGACACTGTGACTTGTTGTGTTCATTAGACTCTGCCATACCATCATTGATTTGGCTGTGAATATAGCATCGTATAGTTATCATGGCGTTTCTTAATTCCTTTGAGGTGTCTGTGTTTTAGTTCGCCATGAGTGTTTTCTTTTGTTTTCAATGCTGGTATGGTCTGGATTTCTGAAAGTTTTACTTGCATAGTTATCTTGTATAGCGTAGCAATGAATGCCTGTAGTCATGAAACGAACTCACCAATCACTTTACATCAGGCTGTTTTTTTTCTCTGGACGTGCTATGCAGTATGTGCTGATATTTTTTCTTATCCGAAGTTGATCCTCGGTGAGTTGTGTAGAGTGTTGTTGTATTGCAACATGCTTTGGTGCGAGCTGATGGAGAGAGCAAGACGCAAGAGTAGACAAACCTGTATCTGCCACGATCTTTGTGCTGAAGTATTGACTGCCGTTGGCGTATGCATGTGTAAGCACAGGGTTAGCTTACTGCTTCTAGTGAATGCCAGGGGTTGTCACCGGAGTTCAAATGTTATGACATTATGCAACAGCACCTGTCGTCTAACAACTACAGTATATCCTCTTCTGGAGATTGATATTATGTGCAAGGGACTGTAACTGCTGAATGGGTGTCCTTACCTCAGGTTACCATGTGTCTTACCTGTGCATCTCCGTTGCCCTTCGCTTTCGGGCAGGTTCCACCTCTGTATGCTTGATTCACGGACAGGGTTTCTTTTTTTTTCTTTTTTTGCTATGGCTGAGTCCAACCAAGAGTACGTAAGTCCCGTAACCCTCTTGGATCTAACCTTTGATAGTACCTTCCTGCTTTGCACTAGAGAGTGAGTGGATTAATTTTGTACCATTACTACATGTATTAGGTCCATTGCATGGATATTTTAACTTTTTTTAAGAGCAGACTAAAATCACTTACTTTCTGGTGCAATGATTCGGCAATGTGCATTTTGTGTTTGGTGGTGATTTGGTGTGTAGTGTCCTACATGTGTGATGTATTCCGGCTGCAGCTTACATGTATCCCAAAGAATGTGCAAACATACAACTTAGTTAGTTGTAAGAGTACAGGTACTGACAAGCTAGTGACAACATGCAGTCATCCTCCAGAGAAATGTCTGTAGGCTGGCATTTCAAAATTAAAAATGGGCATGACATGATGAGGCTGGGGTTACACGAGTCTATAATTACTTCGAAGTATGCTTATCATGGACCATGTACATGTAGCTATTACACATGCGTTAGTCTGCTTGTTGACGTGTTTGTTGCTTGCTTTTCCATTACAATCATGTACATGTACCGGTATGTACTTACTCCTCACCTAAAAAGAACAGACCATGCATTGTATGTATATACAATCCCATGTAAATGTACACAGCAACCAAAAATAATGCATTATTATGTATGCACGTACCATTGTAGGTGAACCTGGCCAAGCTGCTTGTGTTTTACACTATCTATGAGTGGCAAAACGCATGTACTGTCATGTACTTCTTCTCTCTCTTTTTTTGTACTGGCAGCGATTGAAGCAGGCCATGCTCGCAACAAGAATCAACAGCATTACATTCGCTCACAGTGCAATGCGTTGGTTTTGTACGATGACTAGTTGTAGTTCTCTGTACAGTCAATGTTGTCATGTATACTGCTGAAGTAATCATGCCCGGTCACTGATCCGGAGCATCACCAGGAAAGAGTCAGATGTGTTGTCCACACAGGTCGCATTGAGAATTGAGAATGGCATCCTAAAACAGAATGTAAAGATAAGTAAAGTATGAACGCAAAACAGAAATTATGTACACCGCTAAAAGCGCTGACGACACTGCAACTATAAAAGAAGGTAGATGAGATGCAACAGGAAAGAAAGCAATGGAAACGATACAAAGAAGAAAGTGGTCTACGGTATGTACAATGACTATAATAAAACAACAAAAATCTTAAATGAGATACTAACGAAAAACAAGCAACCTGACTACAGATTGAAAATGAGAAACAATTATTAAAACGGGCAGGGGGGGGGGGGGGAACATCGATCGTTGTCGATGCATGCAGGTCTGCAAACTACGAAACTATTTACACAATGCCCGGTAAATAGGAAAACGTAAAGAAAGAAGCCGAGGAAATGAACGGTAATATCAAGTGATGCAAGGTGGGAATGGATGATGTTTCCTTAAAATAGCACAGTTTGAACCATCTGTAATGATTGCTGTTTTATGTTGTTTGGGTGCTGCTCTTTACCAGTAGAGTGATTGAGCAATGAAGCGCGCTGCACTACTTAGCCAGCCCTCACCATTAGCATCCTCACCATGCCGCAACACAGCCTGGTACAAGGAGAGAGAGAGAGAGAGAGAGAGAGAGCAGAAAGAAAGGAAGCCAGTATTGTAATATGATTGTGTAGTAAACTACTGTTGTATAATATACCAGTAGTGACAACACCCAATTTCCAAAACGTGCTCCGATCGCTTCGATTTTGGTCTCATTCGATTCTCCCAGGCGTAGTACATAGGAAATCTGCAAGTATTATTCAAATCGGCCCAGCCATTCTTGAGTTAGAGTGATTTGAAGTGCACCACATTGGACTTTCGCTGGAAACAGAAATGAATGGGAGTGATGGGAGAATCGAGAACGACCGCACAGTCAGTGCATGCAGTACAGTGTACAGTGCACACGCCTCGTCACTCGAACTGCGCGTACGAAATTGCATACTTTGGTACGCTGGCGCAGAACAAATTCGCTCGTAGAGGAAGACGAAAGCTTCTCACCGCCTTGTAATTTCACATGGCCAGTAGTTTTTCGACGCTGAAGACGATGGAATAGTCCGCGACGCTGCGACCCGACCAGAACCACCCGAAATTCATACCCTGAAAAAGCGCTGAGCGCAGAGCTCCTAAATTTTGTTGTATGGAAACGGGACTTCGGGTCTCAAGGGCACGAACATCTCCTCTCTCAGATAAAGCAATTCACTCGATGCGATATTCTACAATTTGACCTGGCCACGCCGAAAAGCACTGCCATGTCGGATTCTCCCATCGGAAGTATAGAAACTTGTTTCCAAAAATCAGCGTCTGGGTGCGAGGGAGTAAAGTCACTAATACCAGGGGAGTGTGAAGGAGTCTGGCAAGGAGGGGTAGCGGTCTACTCAGGACACATGAACGGTCAGTAACATCTGATGAACCCTGGTCAATGGAACACATTTCGTGATGCTTGAAGATACCAGCAGCAAACAGTGGTGGTAGTCTTCTCAGAATCTGAACCAGCACAATACTAGTACAGCACAGCACTCGTAATGTCGCAGTATGCTCTCTCCGCACCGGCTCCACAAAAACATTGGTTCTTTTTTGTTTTCGGTGTCAGGGTATGGCACATCCACCCCCATCTAACCACCCCTGTATACAATAATGCTAGCCACACAAGCTGAAGAAAGCCATAAGACTTTTTCATGGCAAGCTACAAGCTTGTCTGCCTGACCATTGGGGTTTATTGAGTACATGTACTTGGTTTAACAGTTTACTTACATTATCTGGAATGGTTGGATCTTCTTCGGGCAGGTAGTCAGGCATCTAAAGACGAAAATAGCAGAATACACACAAAATGTCATGTAAGCACAGATGCAAATAGAACACCATACACTACATGTCATGTACTTCGGTAATTACGTAAGTGCAGCCTGACACAAACATGAGAACTCTGCTACTACGAAGTGTGTACATTAGCACAGTGCGTATCGAAGAGAAAGAGACAGCACATTGCACTACATACAGTGGCTAACACATTTATGTTATGTACATTTCCCAGGAAAATGGTGCACTCACCCTCGGGGAAGGCTCAAATGCCTCTGTGACAGAGACAAATGACATCAGCATTTCTTCTCCAGTTTCCTTCTTCACGACCTGCTGCGCCTCCATATCGTCGATGTCAGAAATCGCACGACATAACCGCTGCAGCAAGACACCAAGACAAACACAATGATACATTTTCAAGATAGAAACTCAAATCGGAAGCAAACTGAGAAGAGATGAATAGAGACAGTATCACCTTATAGAAACAGCTGCAGGGGCGCTCCAAGCTGACAGACCAGCAAGCATATGCATACTAAAAACAGAATATGAATGCGAAAGGAGCAAGAAAAGATCATACAAACTCAAGTTTCTACTGTTCCACACACACTCACCGATGGATGGACGTTTCCTTTGCACCGTACTGTACACCGCTGGCGCGGTATGTTGAAGGTGAAGCTTATCACCCCCTTGACTCGAACAAGCTCCTCTTCAATGAGCTTCTGACCACTCTGCAATGAATTCCAACAAAATCCAGTTTCCTTATCCAATTCTACTTTGAAGGATTTCTGAAGAACAAGTGTGCATAAAGTACTTACAAATTACAATACCCACACGAACCTACACCTTATGTCGATGGCTCTCAGCAAATGTACAATATATACGACTCACAACATATCGCCCACACCTGTATGAGCATGCAATGGAGTAAAATCACCTGAAATAACACCATCACAGTATACAGGTATGCTCACCTCATCCTTTAATCCGTCGATGTGCAAATGTATCGTCTGAGCGTTGTTCGTAGCCCCAGCTACGAAAAACGTTCCATTGGTAGCTTGCACAGGGTCTTTTCGTCTATTGAAGACACAAACACACACACACAGAGTCTACCTGACTGCATATCCATATACAGTGAAACCTGTCTAAGACGCCCGCTCACGCTCACAGGACCTTCAAACGTGGTCTCTGCTACCAAGCGGTCTCCTTATCCAGGGTCATTGGACTGGAGATAGCATCCCTTGGTTTTGGTCGCAGTGGTTTTCTGGAACAGGTGGCCATCTTATCCAAGTGGTCGAATCGACAGGTTTTACTGTACTGTGATGCACTCATTTTTGCTCTTTGGTAGATCTCAGTGCAGAGAGCCCAGACGCTAGACACATGCATCATTCATAGTGAACAACAAGTCATTCAGACACCGGGGGGGGGGATAGGATCGGACACTAGACCGGCGACTACTAAAAATATTAAATATTTTGATCCTGTTGACTCAGTGTGTGATGGACTGTGGCTCATAAGCACCCACATTCAGCTACAATTATGTACACGACTTCTGCAAGCTCAGTGTAAAAGGCTTCAAGCAATTGCCATGCGATATCAGTGAGTGTCCGTGTATCTACCTGCTTTCTACTACAGTAGTACATCTAATGTTCAATTTCGATGGCAACGTTTACGAACCATTCAGTGTGCATGCTTCTACGACAAGGTGTGTACGACATACACGTGTTGATGCGCAGCACTACAATTGTAACTGTTATGAAATAATAGCCTTCCAACATCAGATTCGCATGCACCATGCTGAGCCACATACACTTTGAATACTAAGTGATTAGGAAAGGAAAGTTCCTGGTGTTTACAGGCTGCAAAGTCACAGAATACAAAATCATACCTCTGCACAACACCTTTCGCAGCACCACATCCAGGTGGTACGTCCGACAGTAGTTCAAGCCCCACGGCACGGTGCGCCATTCTGCCTCATCAGGGTAACATCGGACGTGAAAATAGATTTGTAACTCCTGGGTAATGCAATATGCAACACTGTGATACGCTTGAAGAAAAAATGGCAAAGAAAACACTCAGCTCATCACTCATCGGTGCAATCCTCCTGTTCAGAACTTACTTCAGACTGAGCAGACTTCAGCAGATCAGATCAGGTGATATCTTCTTCCCGATCCAAGCAGGCCCACGGGAGTAGTAACGTGTCGGTAGTTTATTACTCTCTCGCCGTGCCTCGCACGCTAGTGTTTGCGTACGTGCTTCGACTGCTACCGCGCGCCGCCGCGCGCGCGACGAGCTGCCCTTGTCAAGGCGCGACGTCACAACAAAAAACATTTTTACAAACTTCTTCTTGAAGCTTCGAAAGCTTCGAAAAACTTTGAGTTTGATATTGAACCAATTTTTCTTTGATGAAGAAGGAAATAGTTAGTACTGGTTCTGAGATTGGAGAAATCTTTGTAGTCAACCATGGAGAGTCTGCTGGGCATCACTGCCAAGGACTGTGTGATCATCGCTGCTGACAGTACCACGGCACACAGCATCAGCGTTATGAAACACGGTTAGTTTTACGAGTCTTTGGATTCAAGTATTGATTGTCATATTCAAACCTTTCACTTTTTTGTGGTGTCTCGATGTATCTAATATCTGTAGACCAGAACAAAATGTTTAAGCTGGGTAAAAATATGGCCATGGTGATCAGCGGAGAAGCTGGCGATCCGTCAATTTTCGGGGACTTCATGCAGAAGAACCTTGCTCTCTACTCCATCAAGAATCGTGAGTACACTGTGCACTTTACAGTACCTAGTACATGTACTTCTGGCTTCTTTTGAAATGGTTAGTTTGGGGTTTCAAAATAAACGTTTGGGTGGCTCCCTTCACATTAGGATGACACATCTGCCGGTGCTGACTGGATTGGGCCCTCCTGGCTGGGAACCCATTGGATGTACATGTACAGGAGAAGAAAATAGTCACTCTAGAATTCAACTGGAAGTGCCTGCCCACCAGTTTCTGTACTTCGCTATACTGTAAACCTGGAAACCTTTGCGATTCGGAATCCTTCGGGCATTTCGCGATGGGTGTGAGATCGCGAAAGTAAGCCGGCGCGAACGTAGAACTGTAGTAAAGAAACTGAGGAAATTGACTCCAATCGCAAACATATCCAGGTCTATGCTCGCAAACCACGAACTAAAATGGGCGTAAACGTTTCCCGGTTTACAGTTGTTGGAGTTGATCCAATCTGACGAAGAAGTCGTTTTGCCGACTTCTGACGTCATCAGTTATAACCAATCGTCTTCAAACTTGCTGGTGTGTTCAATCATGTTCTAGTCACTCACTATAGCAGCTCTTGGTCTTCTTTCATGCGTAGAATAGTCCTAGAGAAGCAAGAAGGTGACCAATGTTAGCAAAAAAATGTTGCTGTAAGAAATCAAAAATTCCAATATCTCAAGCGGAGTGAGAGGAGTGCTCGTCGTACCTAGCCAACTGGCAGGATCAGGTCTATGGTAACCGCATTCTATGATTCTTGTGGTTGGGTGCGATGGTGGGCTCTCTCGATGTATGTGTTTCCGTGCATGCATGTGTGTTCTTGTTTCTAACCAGAGTACTCCCTTGGTCCACATGGTGCTGCACACTACATTCGCCGCACATTGGCTGAGAGCATTCGAAGCAGGGTATGTCACTGGCATGTATTTGTCCAGATTTTGTGTGTTATTTAGCGGTGATTTTTGTTGTGCTTCTAGAACTTGATACATCATACTCCTGTTTAGTGTTTTCTTCAATGCTCTCGCTGGCTCGGAGCCTTGTGGTACTACAGTTCATTCGGAATAGAGAGAGAGAGAGAGTGTGTATGTGTGTGTGTGCGCGTGTTTGTGTACATGTGTGTGTGTGTGTGTGTGTGTGTGTGTACGCATGCGCGAGTGTGTGTGCGTGCACGTGTAAGTAGGAACATTGTACGGCATGTACATTGACTGAGCTGGGTTTATGATTATTTTCTGTTCTACTGTTGTTTTCGCCTTTACAGCGGCCATATGGTGTCCACTTGCTTTTGGCTGGATGTTCAGAAGATGAAGGATCCTGTCTGTACTACATGGACTACCTTGGGAGCTTAGCAAAGGTTTGTAATGCTGTCTTGTTTCAACTCTATTCTAGTTCACTGTGCTTGTTTTGTCAAAGACCTTTTGCACGTTGCGACGAAACGAGTGTGAGACGAATCCCACTCAGAACAGCCGGCGGATGAAGAGACATGCACTCGTATAAAAAGTGCGAACGGTTTCTAACCTTTACATTCTATACCCTGTACCAGACTTGCCATTCTGATCAGTGTTGTGTTGCTTATTACCCGGTACCTTTTACAGATTTCCACAAATGCACGTGGTGAAGTCCAAGTACTAGAGCTCGAAGTAATACTTAGAGCTCTAGTACTTGAACTTCACCATGTGCATTTGTGGAAATCTGTAAAATAATCTGTGTGGGCAACATTTCGCATGGGAGGACATGCTAGTGAATTTTTTGCTTTTCAATTGTACTGTTCCAGGTTCCGTTTGGTGCACATGGGTACGGCGCCTATTTCAGTCTCAGTATCATGGACCGCTTACACAAGAAAGGTGCGTAAATGTGCTTTATGTTGTGCTAGACTACTAGGGCTATGGGGCTGCTTCACCACTGATGCTACATGGTTGTAGAGGATTTCTTTTAAAGCACTTTTAAGTTATAAAAAAGTCATTGGATTTAGAATCCAGATGCACACCCTAATGTACATCTACAGTGCACTGCAATAAAAGACAACATTCCCCCATTTCCCTTGAAGATATGCTAGCATTTGTTGGAGTAGCTTTTGTTTGTTTGATACCGTCCATAAATACCAATATTTATTTGAAATTTCAAAAGATCAGTCGGGAAAGTCAGCGCCTTGTCAACGCCTTCTAGGTTCGGCCTGGTCTCTTTCAGGCAGTTCACTTCCCGCCTGATCCTTTGAAGTTTGAAGTTCTCCTCATCCTTTAAAGGTTTGCTGATCTTTGCGTCAATTTTCTCACAGTGCATTGTGTTTTTTTGCAATTCATTGTTGAATCAAATAGCATTTGAACCCTTCCCCACTCCCCTCCCCATAAGGTCAAAAAGACGGGAAAATTGTGCGTCAGATGCACCAGCATCTGACGTGAGTAAATCGGCTGCGTTGACGCTGCTGCTAGCACTTACTTAGTACAGTAAAACGTGTAACTAAAGACCACCGTGACTAGCGACCAGCCTGGTACTACCGACCACTTCGCCAGGTACGGACGGTCTCACATTCATATAATTATGGTTGTGCGGTGCAAACCTCTAACTAAGGACCACCTGCCACTAAAGATCGCTTTCTCTGGCCCCAAGGGGTGGTCGTTAGTCACAGGCTTTACTGTACCCGAAAAACAGTGTCTTTGAACATAGCGTACCGTTCCTTATCGTATACCGGAGTGATTCGAGTCGCCACTGAGTGATTTTGTGAAGTGTGCCAGGCCAAGACAGACATGAGCGGAAAAAGCACCAATACAGTTTGATACCACGTCAGCATCAAGTTCTCGGGCTTGAGGCTGCGTCCAGCGGCAAACTTGATGCAGTGTGACCGAAGCCGTACAACGTTCGAGAAATATTGTTATTTACTTATCGCCCATGCTGGTTATATCTGTGTTTGTTTTCGTAGATTGCGATCGTGAGGAAGCCATTTCAATAGTCCGTGAATGCATCAAGGAGGTGAGTTCTTATTTATTTTGCTCGTCTAATATGTGGGTGGGGGGGGGGGGGGGTGTTTGGCTGTCAAAAAGTGTGAGTGTATTCCAGCTGCTTGTTGAAGCGTTTTGTCTCATCAACCTACAAGTATTATCATTGTGCCATGCTCTACTGGGATAATCCGCAAAATGTTGTTGATTTTGGCTTTTCTTTCCTTGCGTGGATTTCCAGATCCAACATCGACTGATCATCAATCTTCCATCGTTCAAGATTTATGCTGTCACCAAGGACAGCGTTGAAGAAATTGAAGACCTCAGCATGCAAGAATAAGTTGTGTTCCTCTCCTTGTTCTTTTTTACTGCCACGAGTACTGGTACTTGTTTATAAAGTTTGGTGGATTCTAGCTGCCATCATTGTACATAGCTGTATTTCATCATTTCATTACTTGTATGTATTCTCGTTCATGACCAGTTGCACCTGTACATTGACAAACCATTCTCGTCCTCATCATTTTTTTTTAAATAATATGAATTGCAATTCCACCCTAGGAAATAGTGACACATTTTGAACATGTTCAACTGTAGTTCATGCTGTTGCTGAATTGTATGTGTCAGCAGCAAAGTTGCCCGTTACCACAACATGCATTACTTATTGTGGTGTAATCCAGAGTAGTCATGGATTGTGTTGCTCAGGGAAGATAATTTTTAAATCATTTGAATTGTGTATTGCACGACTGATTGGAAGCAATGACCAGGGGGCAGCTAGTTGTTTCTGTAGGCCTCCAAGCACACTGCATGTTCCTACATGATTTCAGGTACATGCACTGGTGGTGCTTTCTATAAGCTGTGTTTGTCGACACAAATGTATAGCTGGTAGTATTGTGGATGTGGAAGTCTTTGGAGCGGCGGCACAGTGCGATAACCAGGGAGTCGTACAAACCCGCTTTTATGACACTTCTCCCTGACAACAATGCAGTCATCATACCGCCTCTTCCCAGAGGGAGCGCCGGGCATAGATCATAACGTGAATGGAAAAAATCAACGCCAACACCTCCAGAACTAACTGTTACTTGAACTTTGAAGAGACAAGACGGATTATGCAATGGCGTATTCGGACTGCTGGTCATGACAGTCATGATCAAGCAGTCCGATTACTGTACAGTCTGTGTGTATGCCATTGGCACATTGCACAATATCCGTCTTTCTTCAAGTACTCATTGGTTGCGTCATATTCACCGTCCTATGAGTCATCAGCACGTTGTTGTCATAGACATGGTACGGCGGTAGGACATGGGTATATGGGACGCTTCGAATTTTCAAGATGTGATAAAACAACGCCAGAGTATTTCTGGGTTGAAAAGAAGCATTTGTTGGTGTTGTCGGTTTCTTGCAACTACAGAGTCTGAATGGCATTTTCTGTACGGAAGTAAATTAATGTGTGTCTTCAATTTACGTACTTCATCGTAGTCTGCCTTTATTTTGCTGCTGAGCCAATATGCTGAGGACAGTTGTACGTGGTTTGCCACGTCTGCAATGTCCTGGAAGATGGACCAGTTCATCTCCCTCTGCTAGCCTGGGAAGCCTGGATAATCCGTTTGATGTCATTATTGCTGGTGGTGGGATGGTAGGAACAGCTTTGGCGTGTGCTATAGGTTAGTGCTTATTCGTGAAAGTGGAAATGCGACCAGTTGCTCCTGGAAATAAAAATACAATTCTTGGGATAGAGTTATTGTCAAAGGACCAGCAGAGCAATGGAATATTTTGCTTTGGTGTCCAAACATCATTGTGCATGATTACACACCATGATGCACACCAAGAGCGAATCCATTTCAGTGATTTCACCCACTGCTTTGGCGACAAATGCGCATTCAAGCATTAGCAGGCCGGTGTCCATTCATTCCTGCTGAGCAACATGCACTGTTCAATTACTTCTCATCTTTGCCTGGAGTTGATGCATGTGTCTATGATAGGCCTGTATTGAGAAGAGTTTTCTTCGGGCATCGGGTTCGGGCACTAGTATTTCTACGGGTAACATAGGCATCCTATCAGGTAGTATTTCTATAGATACACCAAGGTCTCTTTGTATGCCTTGTGCCAAGAGTACATAATCCCCCAGAGTGCACAACTGGGATGGGGTTGTGGGACGGCGTAATCCGCGGTGTACTAACACCATTTTTTGGGTCGGACTTGCCTCATTCCATCGACGCGGTGCACCACGGTCCACACTTCCCCTTCTTATGATGTCCTATTATGACGTGCAACACAGATTTCGCCGTCCCAGATCTGATAAAGTGAAGTTGTGCACTCTGGGGGGTTATGTACTCTTGCTTGTACCATGAACGAAATGCAACCTTTGTGTAAGTTGGAGTTCATTGCAACCCTCTCTCCAATGAGCACAGGATTGTCCGAATTGGTCTGATAGAACCAAGGTTATGGCAGAAATCAAACACAAAGGTGCACATGTAAGCACATGTACATGCTTGTGCATAGTACCAGATCAAGTATTTCAAGCATGGCACGTGCTTGTTGCCAGGTGACAGCCAATGAACGGCCAGGATAAACCGGCCAGATCAGTCGATCTTGATCGCATATCCAGTCAAGAACAGCAGCCATACAACATTGCGCCGCACATGTGCACTTACCATTTTTCGAAGTCCTTGCCTTGGTCAACATCTCCGACAAGTTTCTTTCATGCTATTCATGACCTTTGACCTTTGTACTTTGGCGGACTGGCGCACCCTGCGGTGGAGTGGTTTACTTACTTTAGTTCCGGTGTTGCATAAGATACTGCTTTTTCCCGTTCTGGTTTGTTTTTTTGGTTGTCTTTCGTTTATTCAGTCAGTGAGAGTAGTTTAGTCATGTAATGTCTCCCCGTGACTCAGATCCTTCGTTCATCTAGTGTTTCTTGTCCAAAAATGGCTGAACCTGCCCCGAAACGTTTTGCTTCTGTGACCGATGCCGATGTAGACGCTGTGATTGCTGGTCGCATGCCAAAGAGCGCGAAGGACACTACGAAAAACTGGGTTGCGGCTTTGGACACATTCGTGAAGAAATCGAGTATGGTGTTGGACCTGAAAACGTGCACCAAAGATGAACTGTGCCATATGCTTTTTTAAGTGCTACGTCGGAAGGAGGACGCAAAAGGCCGAAACATACCAGTACAGCTCGTATAAGGGATTCCGTGCAGCTATACAAAGGCATTTGAATGACCTAAGAAGAGATTTCGACACTTTCAAAGACTCTGAGTTTCGCCGGAATGATCAAAAAGCTAAAGAGAGAAGGATGAGCCCGATTGCCCACAAGGATGTCATAACAGAGACAGACATGAACAATATCAACTATCTCTTCAACACTTAGAAAGATGCCAAGTGTCTAACACAGCAAGTTTGGCTTAACATCAACATGCAACATGCATTTTGGCATTCGCTGCAGAGAATTGCAAAGTAACATGTGGAAGCAAGATCTCGTCTTCCTCAAAGACGGCGATGGAGAAGAATATATCAGGCTGGGTACTGAGTTTGCCCAGAAAAACCACCAGCTGGGCGCCATTGCCACACCAGCAGGCCGTATTCAAAACCCGACTCAAGTCTTTTCGGTGCAGAGACTGATCAGTCGACTGCACCCTGAGTGTGACCGTCTATTCCAACGACCGAAAGCACAGTATTCACCTCGTGAAGAGTATTTGTTTACAAAGGCACCAATTGGGCAAACACGCTGGGTGAGATTATGAAGACGATCTCCAAAGATGCCGGAACGTCAAAGACGTATGCCAACCATTGCCTGAGGGCATTCACCATGAGTCGCCTGAACGCGGAGAATGTCCCTGAACGACATATCATGGCCATCACTGGGCACAGGAACGCTCAGTCTTTGATCAGCTACCGCCGTCCAACGGAGGACCAGGAACGCCCAGTCTTTGATCAGCTACCGCCGTCCAACGGAGGACCAGGAACGCCACATTGCAGCACTACCGTCATGGTGAACGTGCACAGCCTGCTGCAACAACGGAACTCGTGCCGAGCTCTCAGTTCGGTCGAGATCTGCTTGACCTATTCAGTGACCTGCCGACTGACTCACCTCGCACTGCTGTCTGTGCCTTCACTTCTACCTGTAGCTGATCCAGTGTGCAGCATGGTATCTCTGCCAGCCGTGCCATATACATGTATTTCGCAGTCAACCAGCAGTACTACTGTCTCATCCACTGTGTCACTGCCCAGCCAGCCTGCTTCAGTCTGGAGGGCCATCGGCGATGTTGATGTTGGCGAACTTCTCGCAAGCTTGTCACTAGCAGAGCTCCTCGCTCTAGAAGCGCTGTTGGAATCTGCAGCTGCTCCAGTCCAGCGAAATGCACAGCTCAATTTTGAATCGGGAAATAACTTCTCCGGAGCCGTTTTCAATTTGAATTTTACTCTACAATAAACAGCATCAAACATTTTGCTTTTCATTTCGAAACTGAAATAAAACCAAGCTTGTCCGGACCGAGTAAAGTTGTTTGTGATGTGGACCTTGTCTGAAGCGCAATCCTACACAGTTGCGTCCGGCGTACGTCCCTTGGGCGTCGCGGGCAAGATCACTCACAGACCTCGGGCCTGATCAGAGCGTCATGCCCTCGTAACTATGTAGGATTATGTATTTCAGCGATTTTCTTACCCGACAACCTGTGAGGTCGTCGGGCAACACGGGTACCCAAGTACATGTGCACAGGCCTAGTTTGTAGTACTTCTTACGTGATCTTGTACTTCAAGTAGATATGATATTATGAAACTGACAAGCAAAACTGTGTGTTAAGTAGAGCAGTTGTGTTCTATTTATTGCTTTCTTGATGTGCAGGCAGTCGAGAAGAGCTCGCATCGCGGAATGTTCTCTTGCTGGAATCCAGTCCCAATCTCCCACGGATGCCTACGGGCGAAAGTGACACACCGAAGATCAGTAATCGAGTTAGTGCATTGACACCTGGTAGTGTTTCTTTTCTTAGTGGTAAGGAGTGGCTCCCCATGCGCGGTGCATTCTATGTATTCAGTTGAAATGACATGTAATACCTTTTCGGAACATTGCAATGTTTCTAGCTCCACTTTGAACTGTAGCTTCAGTAGTAGTCCATTGCTGCTTGCATTGCACATGGTTGCTTTCCTACTTCATCCTGGTATGCCCTTGCTAGGTCTGCGGAGGTTTGGTACATTGCTCAGGCCAGTAATGGTGTTCCGTAGCTGAATCACAATAGTCGTAATGTGCCTGTGAAATAACTACTTTTGAACACAAGGAGCATATTTAATAGTCGGGAGGGTGAGCAGCAACGGGGAGTAATACGGTCGGCCGGAGAGCACAATACATGTATGGTGGGGAGTTAAGACTAAGTGAGAGCACATTGTTATGTTCACTACACAGATCTGTGCTTGAGTACATGTAGCTACCTATTTCGACTACTATTCTCGCAATGCTGATAGCCCACACTAAGAGTGACAGCCCACGTTAGTCTTCTCACTTTGCTCTCATATGATCTGTTGATACTGTCTGTGCCAAGATCTCGGAGCATGGCCGAAGATAGAGCAACTCCGTTCGCAGTCATTTTCCAAAATGCATGTGAGTACGTATGTAGTGCTGCTGACAGTGACGTGATTTTTAGGTTGCACATGGCCCATTATTGCTGTCTTTACCACATTCTTTTAATCCAATGAGTCTAACAAGTCTGCTTTAGTATGTGATTGGGGGCTGTACAATGGACTGTAGTGCGTGTACGTACATGTATTTCCTCTGGAGTTGTTTTGTTCTTGGTTGGCCTGTTCAGTGTACTTGCACATACACTTTCCATCTAAATGTGTGTGTTTGTGTTTGTGCCATGTTGTTAGGTGTGGGAGCGTGTGCGTGGATCAATGATTACGTTTGATGCATCGTCAGTTGATCCTTTATCCATTCCTGGATATCACCTTCACTCTTCACCAATAATGGGAGTTGTCACTGAGAACTGGTTGGTACATGCTGCTCTGAACGAGGTACTGGAGGAACGCAACTCATCTAATATCACTTTGAAAACTGGTGTTCGTGTCAAGACAGCCAGCTTACCACAGGAGCCAGCAACAGCAACCAGCACTGATGAGGTGGGTTACAGTGATAGTGTAAGAGTGTCTTCTCTGTCTACTTGCATGTACGCTGTAGTACGTGACCGAATGACAAGGCAAACTGGATTTCTCTCAGGAAGACTTGGTAGCACAGAACTTAGACTGAAAGAATGACTGAACCGAAGAGAAAACTAGGCTGAATCAAAGACTAAAGCTGAACTGAGAAACTGAAAGACAGATGCACACTGTAAAAAGCCTTATATTTCTGAAAACATTCTACAGAAATCGATACGTATACGGTTGCTAGTGAGCGTTGAGAATGAGTGAGAATGGTTGCCTTTGGTACACGTAAACCGGTCAATTTTAGGAAATCGTTATAATTGCGGCTCGTTAGAATAATGGCTTTTACAGTATAAGAGGTTGAAGTCCATCTGCAGCTCTAGCAAGCAAATTATGAATGGCAGCAAAGAACAATGGCAGTTATGCATCACTGGTCACATAGTGCCATTGTCTAGGGGGAAGGGTACAGATACTATCTATTGTATGATGTGTATTGTTGGTAACAAGAGGCCTACAAAATTCGTAATTGACCTGGTGGAGCCAGCAATGAATTGTGCAATACATATTGGTTTGTGTAAGAGGAAGTATGTCTACGACTGTACATACAGTCTGTATCGGCTATAGAGTGATCGGCTACAGTGATATTGGTACGAAATATCAAAAGCAAAACGTATTTTATCCAGTAAAAATATCACTATAACCAATATTAGTAGAAAGGAAAAGGACATATGGAAACGAGTTAAGAGTAACTCTCCACCACTGTAACTAGATACTATATACAGTCAGAAAGTGCAACAACTAGGCACAAAACTGACAGAGTACTGAGACATTCGACGTCCTGACACCTAGCTTCAACACATCTCCGTAGCGCTAACCGACAGCCTTCCAACTTGGAAGGTTCAAGGTTATGGAAAGACCAAAGAGGGGAAGGCAAGCGCAACGAAAACGAGCACAAGCTACAGTCCCAACGGAACAAAGAATGTCGATTGTCACTGGACGATGACCAAGTTGGGTGGTGTGCTGCTTTGCTGCTTCGAATTGTAGTTAGACCGCTTTGTCAAATCGCCTACTGGTCTCGTCATCGTCCAGTGACAATCGACATTCTTTGTTCCGTTGGGACTGTAGCTTGTGCTCGTTTTCGTTGCGCTTGCCTTCCCCTCTTTGGTCTTTCCATAACCTTGAACCTTCCAAGTTGGAAGGCTGTCGGTTAGCGCTACGGAGATGTGTTGAAGCTAGGTGTCAGGACGTCAAATGTCTCAGTACTCTGTCAGTTTTGTGCCTAGTTGTTGCACTTTCTGACTGTATATAGTATCTAGTTACAGTGGTGGAGAGTTACTCTTAACTCGTTTCCATATGTCCTTTTCCTTTCTACTTTTATTATTGGCTCAATACCCGAGTTTCAAATAACCAATATTATCGGATGTAATGATATTATATCGGATATTATGATGGCAACAAAGAATCAAAACATGCATAACACTATATTATTATCGGCTATAGTGATAACTTTAAAATACATGTAGCAATAATATCAAAGGCCCTATTTTTTTACTTTCTTCACGTTGCTTATTTTTATAGTTTTTTTGTATGATAGGTGTCGGGAAAATATGTCTCCGGAGTGGCGAGAGTTTTACACTAAAACACAACTGGTTGTAGATCCGGCTTTCAACCACCTCCAGCTCCCTGAGCTCGTTAGCCGGACGCTGGTATGCCGACCGAGACCCACGGACACACATGACAGCGGACCCGAGCAGCGCGAAAGACAGCCTGCAGCGCACATATGCAACATGGTGTGCACAGGGCATGCTGGAATCAGCCCTGGCAAGCAAGCCACAGAGGCGCTTAAGGAACCTTTCACATTCAGGGGAGGCAACACCAGAAGTTGGCAACACCCGCGGGCTGAATGTGCCACGATCCACATTGAGGAGTCGCTCTCCGTACTGCAGCTTCTTCTGGCGCTCGTGCTGAAGCAATAGGGCATCCAGTGGTTGGGCCGAGTAGGACGCCGCATCAGGATGGAAGACGCGTACGTCAAAGAAAGCATCCTGTGCTCGGGTCCAGAAGCCACGGGCACGGATATCAGCGCGGGCATCCTCGGCGGTGTTTGCCGATGCAGCCGTAAACACCTCTCCAGAGAGTGGGGCTAGCTGAGGCTCGACTGCCACTGCGTGGCAGACCTCCGTGAGTAGCTCCCCTGCCATGTCACGGACTTCGTTATGGCGGATTGTAGCGAAGCCACCCTGGGGGCAACACCTGGCATGAGCCGTGGAGAACAGAACTCCGCAGGCACACTTCGTGGGGACATCGAGGAGAGGCCAGTCATACCGCAATGCAAGGCGTCCCTGAACTCCTGCTTCGAGAGGTGGAACCCATATTCCTTGAGAGGAAGAGCAGTGAGCCAGGAAGAGGGGCCTTTGCGGGACAGCTCATCCATACAACGGGCCAAGGGGCGGTCCGCAGCTTCTTGGAGAGCAGCGAAAGAGGCAGCACTAGCTTTCTTGGAGGACTTGGCAGCAGATGCTCTCTCACATCGGGCTAGCTGATCCACAAAGTCGCAGGAATGATGCTGCCACTCTCTATCGTGCTGGTGGATGATCTCGTCAACCTGGCTGTTCGTGATGGCTTATTTTTATAGTGACACATGTACATGTACATGTACGTAACAGAATTTTTTTATGGAAATGCGGGCACTGTCAACTACGCAGCATGCTCATTAATTTTGTCAAAACGCCATGCTGGAAGTATTTCCTTGCCTTTCATGTGTCGATCGAAAAATAATAATCAAAAATCGATCGTATCGCATAATAGTGATACATCGGTTATAGTGATAAAATCACGGAAATCAAAAGGGTACGCTATAGCCGATACAGACTAAAGGGTACGCTATAGCCGATACAGACTTTACTTGTACATGTTTTCCGTATTTTTAATATTGAATGCACGAGATTGCGTTAGGTGGGGTATGATGGAAGAAGGGGAGAGTATTATAATGGCATAGTAGTTGTGCTCCTCCACTGTTGGTATAGGCTGTTGAGTTATTTTGCAAGCATAACGCTTTTTGTATATTGTGTACTAGTATTCTCTCTTTCATTGAAAGCTCATTGGTGTATTTTTTATAATTCTTGCTGACAGGAAGTGAACCCACCAGCATCACCTTGGTCGACTGTGACATTGGACGATGGCACAGTATTGCACTGCCGACTATTGGTGAGCTGTCAATGCCAATCTTACCACTGCTACCAGTGGTATTGCTGCTGCCGCTATTGTTTCTAGTTTTGCTGCATGGAGAAATGTAGGGTCTTGTCCTCTCGCACCTTCCAACAGATGTAGCACGACGTTTGCAGAGGGGAGGGTGGTTTTACCACATGTATTCTGGGACGTGTTGTTTTGACAATGAGCTCTGCTGCCCACACCCTTTGCTGGAAGAGAAGACTTGTACTTTTAGGTTCATTGTGTTCCCCTCTTTTGTATTTGTGCAAGGTTGGCGCTGATGGACCCAACTCCTTGATCCGCTCATCGGTCAATATCGAGACTGTTTCGCTCAGCTATCAACAGTCAGCTGTTGTTGCTACTCTGAAATGGGAGGAGGTGTGTACCTGTAGTAATAGTTTTACATCATGTGCACCACAACAATTGCTTGCATGGTGCGTAACCCTTGTCCTGAAGCAGGGTGGGAATTCTTGGACACAGGTCTTTTCTTCGTCTGCATCACGGTCCTGGATGATGTGCCATTCTTCTCAGTTCTCCCCATACAAAGTCGGGAATGCTGCTTTTGTCCTCCGTTTCATGGTATTCACAGTCAAACCTCATTAGGACGAACTTCAAGGTACTGAACAAATTTGTTTGTCTTATCGGGAGTTCTTCTTATCCAGATCTGACAAAAAATCGATATGCATATCATATGGACTGTATTTACGTGAAGGTTCATGCTGTGGTACACGGGAAGAATTTTATTCTTAGCATAAGCCAGAAGCAGGTAATGAAAATAGTTCGTCTTCGCGAAAGTTCGCTGTACAGAAGTTCGTCGTAAACGAATAATTTTTGACTTGAATTGATGCCTGGCCAACCATAGGATTGGCCCTAGTTCGTACTAATGGAAAGTTCGCCTTATCAGTGTTCGTCCTAACGAGGTTTGACTGTAGATCTTTTATAAGAAGTATAATGTTTCATTTGTGAAAAAATCTTAGATATCAAGTTTTGACCTTTCGTTCAATAGGAACGTATTTTCATATTTGATTTGGAGATCCCTTGGTGTGAGAGGTCATTTCGCAGCACAGTGTAGGGTGTAACTTAGTAGTGCTGTCCAGATATTAGGTAGGAACAAGCGTTCGTTGGTTTTGTTAGGTAAGAGGAACTAATGTCTTGATCACTGCAGGCTTGAAGTATTCATGTACGATGGCTTGCTTCGTCATGTTTTGGTGTTGCTCTCAGAATGACCAAGCAACTGCTTTTCAGCGTTTCTTGCCGTACGGTCCCATTGCACTGTTACCGGTAAGTCTACTCTGCCCATACAATGCAGCTACTTGTAGCTTTTCACTCATTGTTTACGATACCAGTACAAGTATGTACATGTGTACTGTCATGGTTGTGTACAGTAGTACTCGGATAAGACGAATCCCCTCGGGACTGGAGAGAGCATGGGTGTTGACAATTCCTACCTCGGTGTATCTCACCTGATATTTACTGTCATAGTGAGTGCATGTACTGCTTTACTGCATGTCATGCACAAGTCACAGGATAACATACTCATCTCTCTGTTTGTGTGGATTCATCTTTATTGCGGTATGTCCCACGTGACGATGAGAGTTTTGTCATCGGCTGCGATTCTAATTCGGATTAATCCTCCCGTAGATTCTTTTGACCACAGTTGTGTGGTGATTTCTTGTTGGTATGGAGCTCAGAGTTACATTCAACCTGTAGCTCAAGGATGAAATAGAAACACTTACTCTCGATTCTGCGGAGGTCAAGCTTGACAAGGTTTGTGTTTGCAAAGTCGAACTAAGTGCCTAAATTCACGTTTTGGAGAGGATTACAATGTCATGTAACAGATAGGATTCGCACTCGCCTGACTTTAGCAGATCCTGCAGTTATACAGACAGTCCAATGACGTAGGAAAACTATGACTGTGCAAGCACGAATCCGTGATTAATGTGTGTTCCGGCTGCTTTCCGGAATGAAAACTGCGATAGTTTGTGTTCCAGTTTGGGAACCAAAAATGTTTGCAAACTCGAATGCGAAATTTGTCGTGCCAAACCTCCATACTGTAAATGTATCACCAACATCACGATTGTGTTGCAAGTAATACGATAACATAGTATGTTTGTGTACTCCCTATTGACTATTGATTTTTCAATAGTTGACAGACTCAATGGCATCGCTTGTGTGGACAACGACTCCCGAACATGCCAAGGAACTGTGCGAACTGGATGAAGATAGGTTCCTTCACAGCATCAACTCGGCATTCGTAAGTTGTTGCGGTCAACTATTAGCTAGTTTTGTAGATTGTTCATCATACAAGTAGGCACTATACTAGGCCTGCAATTCACTGCAATTGTGCTGAAATTGTTCAGGATTTGCACCATTATACCACAGCATATCCATTTCCCGTTTGCATCTTCCCCTCAAACCAATGAATACTTGTACAGGAGTGTTGTATTCTGTAAAAAGAAACATTTGTGTTTGTTCTATGTGTGCAGGAAGTGAATTTTGCCCAAAGCCCTTTGGTGAATGTTTGCAACAATGCCGTGAAGAATGTCTTGTCAGCATATCGGTCTGCTTACCCGACACATGGTGAGGCATGCAGAATGTTGGTGGTGGTTGCGGCAGCGGGGTTGGGGAAGGTGGGGGGGGGGGGGAGAGAAGTGGTGTTCTGTGTGAATTGCTGGACTTCACATTGGAATCAACACATGTGACAATATGTGACCCTTTCGATATGATACCTCACTCCCTCAGACTCTCAAGAGCATCCGTTATTTGCGCATGTTGGAACAAACTTCCGCGGCATAACTCTGTTATCCATTAGTTCAACTGGATGGACATTGGCATTGGCGATGCAAAGCACTAACCACTACCACTTGCTTTGGAGTAGCTTCATGCTTTGCGTGTATCAAGTCCAGTGTGGTAAAAGTGTGTGCACTGGGCATGCATGTCAACGAGTTTGGACTGGAAAGCTCTATGAATCTCCACATGAGTTCATGGTGCATGCAGTTCATATGGTTGTGCGAGTATGTCACTGGTACTTCTTCTGACTCTGCTCACATGCTAGATGTTCCTTCAGAGGCTGTAAGCTGCCCGCATGTAACAGAGCTGGACCAGGGCAGTCGTGGATTCTTCCCGTTGTCCATCTGCCATGCCAAGGACTATGTCGACAAAAGAGTCGCACTTGTGGGGTATGTTCCTTTTCGGAGTGGTCGTAGATATTGCAATGGATATGTATACACAAGTACAAGTACAGTGCGTCTCTGTGATTGGTGTACTTCTTAGGCTGAGAGGTGTAAGATCGCTGTACTGTGCAAGTTGTGCTGTCTTGAGCCTGTTGTACTTTGTGTTGCTTGCATATGTTTAGTGATGCAGCTCATCGCGTACACCCGTTGGCCGGTCAGGGAGTCAACTTGGGCTACGGTGATGCACGTGAACTGACGGACGCAATGGTCTCGGCTGTTTGCGAAGGTCAAGACGTCGGTAAGTTTGTTGTGAATATACGGTATTTGACGGCATGCTACCTTTTTTCTGTCTTTCCCTTCTGGAGTTGGCCTTGACGTCAATCACAGGGATGTGGTTCATGCCACACATGTATCTTCAGAGTAAACTTGTCTTTAGCACCATGCATAAAACTTTCTTTACCCAGAGAAACGACACTGCATGCATGGCACTTATCCTGTCGATTTGGCAACAGTTACCATGTAGCTGAATGTTCCTCATTCCACATATTGCTTCCTCTGTTGTTTTGTTGCTGCTGCTACTGCTGCTACAACAAAAGGGTCTTTGCGCCATCTAGAGGATTATGAGAGTAAGCGACTATGGCATGTGTTGCCAGTAATGGGCGCAGTTCACGGTCTCAAACATCTCTACGGCACATCAGCTTTGCCTGTAGAACTGCTACGCTCTATCGGTCTGCAGCTTACTGATGCTGCATATCCTATCAAGGTAATCTTGCCATGTGCCCTGTACAATACTGGAAGTGGTTAGTACTGCATTGCACTGCAGTTATTTTTTGATTTTCTGTGACTCGCATGCATATTCTCAGAATCTGTGTGAGTGAACTTTGCAATACTGTCTTGTTTACTGTAATGGACTGCAGGTTTGACTGACAATTATAGTAACGTGCCTTGACTTTGTGCATATGTGCATGCACTCATCCATGTGTTCACGGCGCATACCCATGCGTGTATGTTTGTGGTGTGTGTGTGTATGTGCATGTTTGTGTGCGTGTGTATGTGCATGTTTGTGTGCGTGTGTATGCGTGTGTGTATGTGCATGTGTGCACACACTTTCACGTCTCTCCTTTCCTGTAGGCGGAAATCATGGCCCATGCTATGAAGTAATGTTTTCCCCCGGCAACACTACGCTTTACAGTACTACTAGTACTGGCTCTCTGCCAGTACCATGGATGTGAGAGAGTCGGGGACGATGGTCAGGAGACGCAAGTACCAAGTACCATTGTCTGCTTTCTGCTAGCAGTGATGTCAGACATCTCCTGTAGGATTGACCTCGTCTTAGGCAGTCACTGCTGTCCTCGTTCACAACGTTGTCAAACTTGACTTAGCTAGAATAGCCCCGTTACAATCTGCCTCATTCCATTATTGCTGCTAGCCTGTTGGTGCTTGCCGTGGATCGAAGTTACAGAGAGAATTAGCCGGTTGAACTTGCATGAGTGCGTGATTGCCAAGGTGGAATATTTCCGGGCCAAACTCTAGATGAACACAGTCATGTCAAACTTTATGGTAGACCCTAGTTTTTAGATGTAGCCAAGCTTCACATTTGGACACTTGTCGACATTCGTGTACCAGGCATGTGCTTGAAGTACCTGGCAGGTGTTTACTGTTTACCTTGATGTACTGATATGTGCTCAGTGATCTCCTCAGTACAGGTATGTACCACCACAGCCTCTTTACACACAGGCTTTTTAATGACGCTTCTCTGTAAGAAATATGCGGCTGCAGTCGTTTGCAGGTATATAATGCACCCTATGACCATTGTTCGATGTCGTTTCACCCCGCCCATGTCTGTACAGTCATGTAGATGGGATTTTTTTCTAGATTTCTATTCAAGTATACATTTTTCGAGATAAAACCTCAACTGATCTATGCAACTACTTCGAAGTTTTAGTACTGTAAAAGCCATTATTCGAACGGGGTGCATATATACTGATTTCTTAAAATTGGCTGCTTTATGTGTGCCAAAGGTAACGATTCTCACTCATTCTCAACGCTCAATAGCAACAGTATTGTATCGATTTCTGTATAACGATTTCTAAATATTTTTTAACGACGGATTTCTCCTCGTTAACTCGTTAGAATTAGCACTTCGTTATAAATATGGCTTTTACAGTACATGTACACTACCGATTGACCCTGCTCCATTGGCGGTTCTGCTCACATGTATGTTGTGTGCAGAATTCCTAATGTGTTCATAGCTATCTTCCTGGCAGGCACCGGGGTGTTCCCCATTAAGTCTTTGGGAATTCTCTTTTTATGAGACACTGAGGGACTCACACAGCATGCTTCCATTACGGCAGTGCAGAAATGGTTAAAAACTTTGTCTTGCATGGAAAACAGCCACTGTACAATGTGGGTTAGGTACTTGAACAGTTGAAGTACGAAAAATAAAAATGAAGTGTTGGAAGCGCAATTTAAGCCAGCTAGCCAGCTAGTACCAACAAACAGCAAACTTCTAAGACCGCCTAAAACAAGAGATAATCAACAATGCTAAATGTCAACAGCTTTTCAGCCTAGATGCTACTACAGATAGCACTATGTGCTACTTGTACTAATCTAATTTTACGCATAAACTTCATATCCATGATAAAAACCAGCTGTATTTTGCATTCGGGGATATATCAGCAGAAACAAGTAGGGCCTGACAAATAGAATAATGCAAGGCTTGTATTCAGCAGCACTGCTTGGTGAGACAAGCTGCACTAGCTATTGCTTGATGTGCACGCCATGATTTGCTGGCACACCAATAAACAGCGTGCAACAAGACTCGCATGAAGGTCCAGCCTTCAAATAGAAAACTCTGCGGCGCCGTAGATAAATTCAGAGGCGAAGCCTACACTCTCCTTCAAGTTGATGACGGCGTGTGCCCAGAGTGCAGGTACAAACAGAACATCGCCAGCGTGTTGTGTGCATTCTAGTGTTGATCCGTGTGTATAGGTCTTGTACCAATCCAGAACCGGCTGCTTGCTGTAGAGCGACTTCTGTGGTGGGAAGATGAACCAGCGCTTGGCACCATAAACCAGCCCGTTCCATGCAAAGTTGTGGAAGTGAGGCGGAGCGCCGGTCAACGCTGGCCCGACGTAGAACTGGACTGACTGTGTACTGATGTGAGTGGCATTCGGATCCAATGCATCCGGCTCTTTGAACAGTGGGCGCATGGGATGGTCTGGAGCAAGGGACGTGAAGATGTACTCTGCATTCTGAGCATTGTTGCCATCTTTCTCATTCTCTGCAAGCTGGCTGAGATAGCCGAGGTAATCGTGAAGAGAAGACACGCTGTGTTCCAACCCAAACGTGTCCGCGTACGGAACAGTCGAGCGCTTGAACAACAGTGAGCCATATTCCCGATCAACAGCCCGGCGTTGTAGCTTTCTCTTCAACTCAGCCCAATTGCTTAGTCCGTGTCGAATTATAACGGGCTTCTGGAGCGAGAGGTAGTTGCGGAAGAATTCATCTCCAGTTGTATCAGCGGGGATGGAGTCAATGTCACATGAATCAGTCAGCAGTGTCTGTGGTACCTCACGATACGTGTCGAGCCACTCTCCTCCCGCTGCCTGTAAAGGACTGGATCCAGTTTTTAAAACTGGTGTGGGACAGTCAGCAGGAAGTGGAACATTCAAGGAAGCTGAGAACTCACTTGCAGCATAGCGCAATTCACAGACGTAGTCCATCGCCGTCCGTCCATACTCGTCTTTCTCTGACACCTTGACACCAGCGCTCAGGATCTGCGGTACAATGTTGGAGTGGCCACGCAATGCTGCAACGTGCAGTGACGTCATGCCGAGCAGAGTGCGATGCGACACATCCAGGCCTTCATCAATCATGGACTTGAGCGCACCGGCATGGCCCAGGTGTACACCATGCAGCAAGCTGCTCCAGCCAAAGATATTGTTGGCCACCTTTGAAGCACCAGCCTGTAGCAGTGCGCCGGCTAGACGTTGGTCAAGAATACACGCACCCAGTGTATCCACAAGATCAGATTCATAGATGGTATGCGTTTGCTCATTGAATCCTGGAAGCAAGTCGGAGCCACACGCTTCCCGGATCATTTCCAATGCATTGGTACCAGCAAGAAGAAGACTGCGTGCAAGATTGACAATGTTAGCATCAAATCCACTTGTTGCTAAGCGAAGCATATGTGCTGTCATGACGTCGTATGCTTCTTGAATAGTTCCCATCTTGTTGTGATAGAACTGATGTTCCATATAGGTCTTCATGAAGCGCACACCATTCCACATGTTACCCAGGCCGAATGAGAACGTTGCAAAGTTCTCCATCATGTCATGGTCATGCTCGTATAGCGTGATCAGGATCTGGTACATGCGATCGGCCTTGCGCAGAGCGCGCGTCTCCAGGTAACAGCGCAACAGTTTGGACATGGACAAGAGCATTGTGTCGTAGTCATCGGCCTCCTTCAGAAAGACAAGCTCATCCTCGCGTTGCCAGTAGATATCTTCCATCATTGTCGGCCAACTTTCGGTGTAGAGATTTAGTTCCAAATAAGTTTCCAATGCTTTGGTAGCTTGTGGATACACTTTCATGCTGAATAGTAGCGTTCCAGCACCTTGACGGAATTCTTTGTTCTTCGGATCGGAAGCAATGGCGTTCTCCATTTGGACCAGAGCTTCTGCTGTTCTGTTCATCTTGACCAGGAGTACAGCCATATTCCATGTGGCCGCTGCATTCTTTGGTTCCTGGAACACACACATTGCCAGAGTGTCTAATGCCGCTGCATAGTTTGCCTGGCCCTGAATCATCATCTTGCGTGCCTTCTCCATCCACTGATCACATGTCAAGTTGGCTTCCTTACTTAGCTGCTTGATTGCGGCTTCCCGTTTCGCATCGTCTGCTGAGAGCGGCGGAGGCGCTGAAGAGCTATCTGACTCGGGTGATGTAGCTGTCGTGCCATCAGGTGATCCTCGGTCTTCTTGCTGTTGTGTTTCCTGCTGTTCCTGCTGCTGCACTGGCTGCTCCTGTTGCTGATCCGATTGCTGCTGTTGTTCTCCTGTCTGCGCTACCTCCTTCAATTGCTCCGCTTGCACAATGGTGTCTGCATCCTGCTCAGCCGGCTCATCCTCAGGCATCTCCTTTTCTTGTTGCTGTTGTTGTTGTTGCGGGTGTGGTAACTCTGATTCACTCTCTTCCTGTGCTGCTTTGCCAGCTTGATGCTCTTGTGTCTGCTCCGGTTCCAGGTCGCCTTGCTGCTGTGCTAGCTCTGGCTGTTGCTGCTCTGTTTGCTCACGACTGTTGTCTGAATCTGCGTGTCTGTTACCTTCTTCATCATCGACTTGAGAATGAGATTGTTGTTGCTCATGCGGCTCAGCATTGTGTTGTACTGGTTCACTCCCTGCGTGCGCCTCCTCTGGTGCTTGTTCCTGCTCTCGTGGTACTTGTTCTTGGCTAACGTGCTGTTCCTCAGTTGGAGGTTGCTTGTTCTCGTCCTGTGCACGACTGTCATCAGAGCTTGGAAAATCGGCACTTTTGTCATGATCTTGATGTTTGTCCTGTGCGTTATTTTCTTCGGGATCTGACTGTGCTACGGCATCGGATATAGTCGGCTGTTCGGCTGGTGGCTCTGACGGCAACAGTGTTTCGTCAACCTCCTCAGTATCAACTTGTGAAGCGGGTTGCTCATCCACAGCAACATTTTCAGCATCAGTCGAATCCTCAGCACTTTCTTGCTCTAGTTTCCTCTCGGTCTCATGCTGTTGTTGCTGTTGCTGCTGCCTTTGACTGGTTTCCTCCTCATTGATCTCAGCTGCATAATCGTTACGTTTGTTCACAACGTGGTGCTCTTCTTCCGGGTGTTTAACTGGTGGTTCTGAGGGCAGTGGTGATTGCTTGCCAGCTGCTTTTGGCGCCTGCCATACGTATACACCAACACTTACGATGGCCACAACTGTGCCCAATACGAATAGAATTTTTATCAGTGATCCTCCCGAAGTCGCTCCATCGGATTTACCGGAATTTGTTGCCGAAGTTGGCTTCGCCTGAGGAGAATCTTTAGAGCTTCCCTTGCTACGCTTCATGATAAATTTCTGTTGATGAGCACAGGCACCACCAGGTTTGATTATGCTACACAAGTTTCATTTTACACCAATTTGAGCAGAACAGAGACGATGCACTGAGTATGAGTGCGTGCTCATTCGGAGGCGAAAAGACAGTGCTAGTGGGGTAGTTGAAGTAGTCGACGAGGAATATTTGGACAGCTAGACAGTGACCTGGTGACACTGCCACGTAGTCGCTGAGCTTACTGTCACAGGTTGCGATACAGCATTGCCGTACTTCGGAAAGTTGTTGTTCGGCTTTTTTGTTGTGGGCACACACAGTCTGTGTGACACAAGCGAGATTATGTTCATGTGTTTGATCGATGTGTACGCTTCCCCACGCTCTGCGATCGCCATTTCTGTTGTCATAGGGATGATTCGAAGGCGCGCGCTACATGATGTAGAGGGCTAGGGCCTAGGCCAGGGGACGGCTCCATACGGCATACCTGTACCGGGACGCTTTGACAGCCAAATTTATAGACCCAAGCCCATCATCAGCGTTGATTTTTCACTCGAAATATGTTTGCGGAAGGAAACTGGCATGTTGAAGTTTGCTCTGGGGCCAGAGTCAGTCGAACTGAGCCACACCTTTGTGTTGCCTCCAGGTTGCCCAATTTTTCGCTTCAAAAAAGTTCAAATCAGAGGTGGCTCCAAACCGGACACGTTTTAGAGTGCACGTCAAATTCACTCTGGGTCTGAAATAATTAGGTAATTGCTATCGCTCCACGACGGCCAGTACAGAGTAACAATAAGCCTTGTGTGTGCTTCCATTAGTTTTGATTGGTATGCGGTGCTTTATTGGCGAGAGGCGAGCCGCTGTTTACCTGCGACAAGAAGTTGATTTTTCGACGAAAGTCGTAAAACTCAAGTCGCAGTGCACTAGTGCGAATTCGCGAAGCAACACGTCAAAAACTCACCTGCTTGATATGGCGCTTCTGGTCATCGCAGAGCCATGAAATTTTGCCTCGGAGTATAACACATCGTAGTCTCACTGTGACATATGTTTTCTAATCAAAATACCAAGAGAGAAAGTGAATATTGAGTCCGTTCCGGTTTGCAACCTGTGTCCTATTTGAAACCGTCCCCTCTACACCTGTACACTATGTACATGATGTAGGCGCTAGCTAGCATTACATTTTTATTTTGTAGTCTTGCAACAAAGCCAAGACCGTAGTTTTTTCAGAACCGCTCAGCTCACGGATCGATCGCGGATAGGATTAGGACTATAATAGGAGTGTTCTGCCCCTGGCATGGCAGGCCAGGGCGAACATGACAGGTCGCTTCAGATTCGAAATATTCAGCCTTTCAGGCCAAAGCTCAGGCAGCTGCTGAAGCAGTTCTGACTCACGGCGTGCTAGCTGGAGCTACATCAGTACAAGGACATAGGTAGGGCGGTGGGCTATCCACAGCGTTGGCGATCCACAACTGCTGACTGAGTCACTAGTCAGTGGGTGACTCAGTCCGCCCCAACCAGTTACCTGAGGCTGAGCCAGGGTCACAACACTGACTTCATTTCAGCCAACTCGACATGACCAGGAGTCCAGGACTCAGGCTAGGAGGATCTAGGACTAGTAGGAGTACGGATGACAGCTTGCACCCACCCACGATATCCTTACACTAGTTACAGTAGCACTGGTAGCGATGGATGAACTAACTATTACATGACTGTACTTCCCCGCAGCTGAAGTATCTGGGACTGAGACCTGAGACTGAGTGTAGTGATGGTGCGTCCGACATGTTGTTTAGTGATCCAGCAGAGGCTGAAGATCATTATCAACGAGGACTTCAGCCTTCACTGGCTTGATCTTTGACTTGAGTCCCTCCAAATCTTAGGCTGGGTGAACCATGGTAAACGTGTCAACACGTGATTGGCACTTTTTTTAGCAGTTTCCCCTTCTGAACACGACTGAAGACGGGGATTTTCCCGACGACACGAGTACATGTATCATACTCATAGTCATAGAACGACGACGGGTGTGTTTGTATGTGCATCATGCATGTGCAGATGACATGCACACAACTAGTACTAGTACAGACTACAGTGTGTGTGTGTGTGTAGACGGGTCTACCAGTTACAGCCTCAATACAGGGTCAGGGAGTCGTAATAGTAATACACCCGCGCACCAAACTGCACCACCGCAACGTACATGCACCAGGGAGTCGTATAGACCCGGGAGGCGACACGCGCATCACTTGTGCACAACCATGATCGACTCAACGATTCAAAATATTACGACCTGCTCGGTGTGGGACAAGTCCGTACATAGGTCATAGCGCGCGGGAAATCCGTAGATCTACATAGCGAGAAATCGTCGTCTTCGTCCTTTAGCTGAACAATTGTGGTCAGACTTTCGATCTCCATTGCCGAAATACAGCCATCTGTGGCCATCGCTGAGGAGTTCACTAATAAAGGGTCTTGTTCACTGGCTTACTCACTGGCTTTGCACTGCCACTCGAACTCTGAGGCACTTTGACCACCTAAGATGAGGTAATCCTTTCTTTACAAATTGCCTCAATATTTTCTCACCTTTAGGGCAATGAAGTAATTTTTTTCCTCGTGACTAACTTCGACCGACCAAGTTGCCCTGTCCCAGTGATCTACAATACTTATATTGCACATTTGTGAAATATTGGACCTATCCAGATAAACGAAATGACTTATATTCGAAATTACATTTTTCAAAGTTTTCCTTCACAAATAGTCCCAATTTGTTCTCACCTTTAGGGCAATGAAGTAATTTTTTTCCTCGTGACTAACTTCGACAGACCAAGTTGCCCTGTCCCAGTGATCTACAATACTTATATTATTGCACATTTGTGAAATATTGGACCTATCCAGATAAACGAAATGACTTTTATTCGAAATTACATTTTCCAAAGTTTTCCTTCACAAATAGTCCCAATTTCTTCTCACCTTTAGGGCAATGAAGTCAATTTTTCTTCAGGACTAACATCGGCTAACAAAGTGGCGCTGTCCCAGTGATGTACAATACTTATAATCATTGCACATGTGAAATATTGGGAGTCACAGAGTGAGGAAATGGCCTAAATTGAAACTTGAACTGTTCTGCCAAGTTTTATGCAGTGAACGCAGGGCTGAGAGCCCGCAAGAGCCATCCCGGAAGATCTTTTGCGCCACCAACCGAACCTTCGGTGAATGTTCACAAGGTTAGAAGCTCGCACAGATAACACACATTGGATGCTTATAGTAATACAATGCACTCAGGAATGTGTGCAAATACGACAGAATTAATTCCAAATAATGTAAAGTCAACAATAGCTGCCTCAACACAGTGCTATCAACCTTCCGTATTTTCCATATTTGTACGGAAAATCACTACTTCGTCCGCGCTATGGATTTTGAGAAAAATGTACGGAAAATTGAACGGGATTGATCAGTATGTATAAGCATTGCAAGTGCAAGCTGAGCGATGAAAAGAAGAGAACCGAGTGGAAAGAAAACGCTGCAGGGGAGAGTCCTTAGAAAAGACTTAACAAATATCATAATATCGCTGCACGAGATCATCCTTATAAGTTATAACGTCAGCTGATCGTACTGTGGTTGATTCATACGGCGGTAAATACACACCTGCCTACACACGCTCTCTAAACTGAAAAGTTATTCTGGCACAGAGCTCTCCTTCCCGCCACCACCACCATCATCAGTTCGCGTCTGGCGCCTAGTCGATGCAGGGTGAGTGGTGTCCGACATAGCAGGCTGGTACATCAGGTAGCGTATGGCGCATAGCAGATGACACAGCAACAACATAGCTTGATTGCGACGTACCTTTCGTCCCGGCTGGAATCATCAGGCAATCTTCTTCTTAGATGTCTTCACAAGGAGCTTGACTTGGGAGAATGAAGTTGAAGACTCCACTGCAACTGCACTGATGGTTGGTTCATATGGTGGTAAATACACACCTGGCAATATGGGGGAAATACACACCTGCCCAGACACGCTCTCTAAACTGCAAAGTTATTCTGGCACAGAGCTCTCCTTCTCACCACCACCACCACCACCACCACCATCAGTTCGCGCCTGGCGCCTAGTCGATGCATGGTTAGCGGTATCCGACATGGCAGGCTGGCACATCAGGTAACGCATGGCACATAGAAGATGGCAACGACATAGCTTGATTGCGACGTACATTTCGTTCTCTTGGTTGTGCTGTAGCCTGAAAAAGGAAATAAGACAATGCATCCACATGACACAGACAAGTAATTACTGTTACAAATAATGCATACTGCTTGATAACAGAGAAAGAAATGCTACTCTTCAGTTCATTGCTGGGGAAGACTACTCAAGGCCACGTCACTCCGGCAATTCAATGTGCAAATCAGCAGCAACACTTGCAAACGTATTCTTACCAGCTGACCAGCAAGTTACCAGCCATCAGCTCTTCAAATAATTTCAACTTAACAAAGAGAGGAGATGGACAGATCGGAAAGTATCGTGGCAAGCTCAGGACAACACACGTCCGGCCTTATGTAACAACAGTGGAAAGTGCGTGCCATGGTATATTTTCGAAGGCATATCCAGAACCAGCTAATGTGGACTGGGATAGGCCTCAGCGGCTAATGCTAGTTTTTTTGGGCAAAAATGCTTTTGGCAATGCTAGTTATTTTGGTTGCTAATGCTAGGTTGAGTGCTCGTTTGCAGCATTAATGCTAGTTTCAGCACCAATAAAAAGGAAAGAAAATGGTGTACAGAAATAATTTTTCGGATGGTCTTGTGTCTAATTTCATTGTAGACACGATCAGATGAAACAGGGCACCATGGTAAATTAAAGATAGAAATGTGATACTAGTAGTCGATACACGGTGGACAATGTCTGGCAACTATCTTCGTGTCCCATTACAGCTTGGGAACTCACAGCTCATGGCCGAGCCGACCGCGGTTGTACTGGAGCACGAGCTCCACTTCCAGGTGGTCTGTCAGTGTTGAGGCTTGCTAAGGGTGCACCCTTTGGGGTTTTCTTGAAATAAACTTTTTTGAATTTTTCCACTCGACCATGCTGAAATACGGCCAAAGTCATACCTGCGCAGGAAAGCTCGCCCCTCCGCGACGTCTCCTCAGCAATTTCTACTCCAACACTACTCCCAAGGCCGCAGAACAAAGTGTAGTGTTGACTCTGACAAGGAAAAGCAGCGGTGATCACTTGTCACTCCAAACGACAAGCTTCTCCTT